GACGGATTAGATCAGCGTGTCCAGGAAGGACACGACTTCGATTCGAGGGGGACCTCCTTGAATGCACGCATATACACATGGGAATTAAGGGGCCGAATAGTCCAGTCGGGACTGTAGTGTGCGTGGTGTGAGCAGCTACCTCCATCTTCGGATTGGAGCTCTATGATTGTTTCTAAGGGGGAGGGCAGTCATAGGGAGGGCCTCGGCAGGTGAAAGGGGGCCTGCGTTATGTTTTGACCAAATACGAAAGGGGATACATGACCTGGTGCTGTAATGTCTTTTTCAAGCAAGGAGTCTGTACTTCACCAGACAACATTTAAGGTCGGCCCAGTATTATCTCATTGAAAAATCAAATCCTTTGATAGTTCCCAATTCTCCTTGTGTCGAACTGTGTATTTCTGAACTGGCGCAGACTTCAGAAGCAGAGGATCTGCGCAACTCTCGAACTCCGCTAATCGACCTTCCGTGGCTCGCTGGCGGTTTGCCGCATCTGTGACCAGTCAAAGTCGGATAAATAAGTTGAATCGCTTATTGCGAGATCTCTGTCGTCTGACGCAGGATGTCAGATGCCCTATTAAATGTCAGTTTCTAGGTGAAGAAAGAAAGCACGCTAGACGATCTCTCACGTTATTCTGTGCCAGATGTGGTGGTCGTTGTTATCTAAATCTGACGGGTATCGTTCGTTTCATTATTCTAATCTTATAGCGCAGTCGTAGAACGTCATGTCTGCACACTCTGTAGTTGAGTGGTTAAAAGTGCTCATTTAGCGATCGGCAGGTCAATAACGTAAGCGGAGACAGTGATACGTCAGCATGCTTTGGTCCACTCATCCAGTGGTCAACCGTCCAATCCGTCATGACAGTGCTATACCCACTCGCTATCCTATGTATACTCGTCATTCCCTTATTCATAGCGCTGGTCGCTTACTTGCAGCCTAGGTGGATTATATCGTATGCTTCTCGCTGTTTTCCGCAGGTGTTATTCTGCTGCGACGATGGAGTTCGTCAAACAATAAATAGTCGCCACGCCGACAAGGTCATTGCCCTGACTATTGATGATTCCCCGTCTCCGGTGGGTTACTCGAAAGCTTCCGAACAACACCACAGGTGGGAATGGATATTGTAATGTACAATAAAATCGTTTTTTGCAGCTTACAGCGGCAATTTTGACTCTCCTGCGCCAGCACGATGCTAAGGCGACATTCTGTACGTAGGACCGTTCACTCTTTGCGATGCGCTAACTCATACATGGTATCTTGTTCTACTACAGTTGTTATTGGTTCATATGTGGAAAAGTTCAATACTCTCACTGGAGAGGGGAGCACATCTGAACTAGAGTCTGGATCGTTTAACGATCTGATGACTGCAATAGTGTCCCATGGTTGTGAACTGGGAAATCACCTCATGTTTGATCACGCCAGTGTCAAGCTACCTCCAGCCATCTTTGAAAAACAACTACTTCAAGTTGATACCCTGCTGCGAAAATACGACAATCTCGCATTATCGCCTCCCAGGCGACGAAAGAGTGTTGCGATAGTCGACAGTACAGTGCCTTCCGGAGATCTTCCGTCTATACCATCTCCCACTGCAGATGCGTCGAGAAGTGAGCCGGTTCAGTTAGAAGCACCGGTCAAATATCGATGGTTCAGGCCGGGATCGGGGTGGTTCAACTCAGCGATGCTAGCTACCGTAGAGAAGCACGGGTATCGGACGGCCTTGGGTTGTGTATATCCACATGATCCACATATTTCCAATGCCCGTTTAAATGCATGGCATGTGCTCCGTGGGGTGCATCCTGGTGCTATCATCGTACTTCACGATTGCCGGTCATGGACCATTGATACATTGAAGATACTCCTACCCGAATTACGCAAGAGAGGATATGCTGTACGAACCCTCACAGAGGTGTACAGATCGAGACAAGTCAACGATGGCTGTATATAGTTGGTCAGGTAAATGGAAATGAAACCGAAAAGGATGTTATCATCTATCGGTTGGTGCAGTCTTGTGACTGGATCCTAGTTTTGGCCGTGCCACTTGGGTATGGAGGATTGGGACCCGAGGCTGACAGTAGGACAGTGTAGAGGCGCGCACAGCAGATAGATCAACAAGGAATCTGAGGGAATTCAAGTCACCTGTTCATGAGCCTGGTGTCGGTTTACAACCATGAAACCTGCTTTGGATGTATCTATTACGTCCGTATCTGTCATGATTCGGTGAACGCGGAAGACTCGTGGTGCTTGTGGGGCTGTGGGAGGGATGCTCGGAGGACGCGGCTGAGCGGTGATTGGTCCAAGGACAGGACCTATTCATTGCAATCCATAAGTTCATCGCAGCCTGCAATACGATGAGCATCGAGAGAACGATACCTGTCTTGGCATGTTGATTTCGATCCAACAAGGAGTCAAGGTCTGCCTTCCGCTCATGCTTTCTCCACTTGTTCTGAAAGGGATAGTTTGCAGTCAGTTGACTCCAAATTCGACAAATGCTTTTCATTCATCTGCGGTGGTACCTCCAACTTGTCCGAAAAACTCCGCAAGTCTTGAATCGATGGAGGGCTTAAACCTCTGACACATTCAGCCCTGCATGTCCGCGGTTAGCACAACCATCGCCAGTTAAACAAGGATTTAACCCACTTCGATCGGTGGTCTCTCTCATCATCCATGGCTTGCCGTAGCGCTTCCACTTCAGTCAACAGCCTGTCTTTCTCGCTCATGAGCGCACGACTGTTTATCGAATGTTCAGTGTTAATTTGACAGTTGTCCTGCTGAGACGGGACACCAAAAGACAATCCTACCGAAATTGACTTAAGACATCAGTCGCATCGAGGATGTTCTTAACTTGACCTGTATCCAGGAGTGCAGGTGTTGATCCAGGTCGCTTTCCCGCACCTTGAAGCGCAAATGGTAATCAGGCCAAAGTTCTGTGGTCTCCGTATGACAAATCGCAACAATACCCGAAGATATTGGTCGCCGTCTCCTCGATGTCTCTTCCGCATGGATGTAATTTACTACATGGCCAAATACAGTGAGAACGGGAAGGCTTTTAGGAATCAGTTTTCTTCTACTGCTGAAGCTCAGATAAAAATGCGGGCGAAAGGAGCCGTACCAATCCGGATATCCTGCTCGTTTTCCAGTATTGATTCTTGTGACCGGTGATCGTCCGCTACCTATCCTGTGTCTCAGCAAATCTGTCCATTCAAAGACACGAGGGAATATAAGGACATACCTCTTTGAAGTTGTCCAACAATAGTCGAATTTTTTGTATCAAAGCTGAGCGGTGGAAAGTACCAGAGCCGATGCCTCCCTGCACCATGCCTTCGACAAAAGACTTGGGCAAAAGGATTTCAATGGAACTCTACACGAAAGCAGCGTACCGCAAATAATAGTAACTCACCTTGTCAGTCTCTTGCCTGTACTCCTCATGTATCTCCATCAGCATCCTGGCTTCCAACTCCAATTCCTCAACCTGGCCAACCAAGTGTTCCCCCAGCAACCCTCGTAGTTCATCCCGTTCCTGTGGCGGGGCAGCAACTAATATGGATTCAAGAAGAGAAACAGTGGGAGTGTATCTTTCAGAGTGCATGGTTGTGTTTTTCTATTGTAACTTTTATGTTACTAGCAATGCATCTATTTCTGAAATAGAATCCGCGATTACTTAAGCTGATCGCATAAGCAAGAAGTAGTAAACCCTATCAATGCTACTACGGCTAGACAATTTCATATGGAGCAGTTAAACTATCTACTTCTTGATTAGCTGAGGTGTAGTTGCTCAATCTAATGTATTGTATTTGACACGGCTGATGTCGTATGAAGACTGGGAGGCCTAGCACGCGATAATCGAACGAAGCGGATTCTTTGACACTTCCTGTTAGTCTGAACGACAGCCATTGTCCGAGTTCCGTTAGAGTCTATTTGGCTTTGTGTCCCGCCTTCTGCATCATAAATTGAAACAGATCCCGTGGATTGAGTCATTTTTGGACCAGAAAGCTGTGAAAGTATGGATTCTGCTGGATTGCATAGGTTTCAGCAGGTATCTGGTGTTTGCCTACCGCTGTCATCCTGGTAAGTGCGTGGTTCACAATGCCAATGACCTTGTCCAGAGGCCTACTTGGTAAAATCTTCGCCATAATCAAAGAAGAGCTCTTTCTCAGCTTCGATCCGCCGCGCAGCGTATATGCCAACCCTGGAAACGATAGATGAGTGGGAACTGGTTTCAAAAAACAGGAGAAAACTGGAACACTGCACCTACCTAAGTTCGCCGCTCACCATCTTAACTAATTAGTTTAATCGAATCCGATAGATACCATTAGAACTTTGGCGAATTTAGTTCAACAGTTGAGCTCTCCTCACCAACTGGGAAGCAATTGGCTTTATCTGGATATTCTCCATGATTGATAAATCGGGTTTTGTTCCCTTTCCGTGAGGCATCCACTAATGGCGCATATTTATCTCCCAAGCTGAAAAGATAATTTAATTTGGACGCTGCATTGATGGCATCCCGTCTGCGTTTGACCGAACAACGTGGTGAGCTACAGTCAGAATCTGTCCTCAAGTTTGATGGCACACCTATTTGATTCTGCAACGGATATCACCTATATATGGGGATGATGAGCACTATAGTACACGGAAAACTTAGATTCTTATACATACCCCTCCCGTGTATTCAGCAAGCAGCTCCCCTTTCTCCGCTAATATTTAATGCTCGTGAGTCGCATGCTTGAAGCAGGAAGACGTCGCACACCATACCAGGCTCACGTAAAAATGCTCCACGACCGTGCACCTCGCTGTCGCCAACACATAGATGCTATATTTTATGTGACGTCGCGGTTATCGCAAACTTCGGAGCTTGCAGTGTAGCGTCAGCAAAGTACCAATACCTTCTTCATATTTCTTTGCATAGCTTGATTATGGCAGGTTAAGGAGGATGTCTTCCGTCCAACAGCCCCACACTCCACTACAATCAAGATATAATCTCAGTCTAATAAATGCACTGTTCAATATCACTACTTCGCTGTACCATCTGCACCGCAGGATCTGGGCAATATTTAAGTTAGTTTGTATTCATCTTTCTACTAAAGTTCTCGCAGCACACGCACCTACACACATCAGGATCACATTCCCTCTCTTCGTGAACACATCTACAAAACTCCTTCCCGTTCGCTTGGAGTTTGAAATGACCTTTCACATGCCTGTTTTCCGTTTGGTCCCAGGTGGCTGGAACTTTAATCACTTTAGCACGACACCCCGATACGCAGTCACAGCCAGGATATCGATATGGACAGAATTTGGAGCACGCGCATGTTCTCTCGCAAAAGTTCCCCGTTTTCACGCAGCTGCAGTTTTCTGTGCACACAGCGGTAGCGGGGTTATGTAAGTGATCTTCACAGCTGCAAGGAGCGGTCGGCGTACGCTTCCGAGTGGGAGAATATTCTATAAACAGAAGTATTGGAACAACTAGCGCGGAAGATAAAACATATTTGAGGACCTTTTTTGGGAACAGCAGGAGGTAGTGCCATGCGGCCAGAGATGGCGAGCCTATCCGCCTCCTTGATCATTTCGGTCAATGATGAAATTAAGGCCCCTTCGTACATAGCGAGCGCTGTGCAGTCGCCGTTAGTCAAGGCGATGACCATGTAGTAAACCTAAGTATCAACAGGTTACATCGGATCAAGGAATGTATACTGCACATCGCAGTGGTATGTGAACTCACGTCTGCACACGACTTATTCGAATATGATATTGATATTCGGCAGTAGTCGCGTCCAAAGCATCGGTAAGCGACTCCCAGAGTCCTCAATTCATCACTTTTCCAGTCAGCAACACGGGCTGATATCGTGTCCTCACAGATTTCTGTCTCTCTCTTATATACAGATTTAATCAGGGTTGTCTCACAAGACGTTTCCTCATAAATAAGGGTATGTACCTGAAAATAATAGCAACAGTTTGAGCTGCATGGCGAAGAGACGCTTTTCGGGACATTGGGTATTTCGATGAAAGGTTTGCGCTGGCGCAACGCTGTAGTGGATACTAGGGCATTGGTAATCCAGTCTCCAAGACCGACCGCAGCACACTGACCATCCTTATCGAAAGACATTAGATGTGTCTGACATCCAGCTAACCCACATATTTGACATATGAGATGGAATTCACCATCGAATGCGGTATGCGAGCGGCGATCTCCATCCGTGCTCAATCTTAAATGCCTGACGAAGATCACCGTCTCACACAGATTAGCACAGCAGGTCGACACAAGACTCAGAGGAGTGAATCTACCGTTTAAGCAGCTCGACAGCACTCATGCTTCCAATCTTCTGACGGGCAAGTGCTCGAAGAGTTCGGGTTACCTCCAGCTTCGTAGAAGTGAAGGTGGCCTTTCGTTTGCCATTTGAAAGGTTGGCGAAGAGCTCTTGCAGAACATCCCTCGGAGCGCACGAAGACAAGATATGCTCACTAAACGCAAGTATCTTTTGGCGCTCTGATGTTCATGCGAGCGTGAGGTTCAGAACCTGCCCCGCAATTCGGGACGGTTGTTGAGTCAGATAATGCAATGGCCCACCCTTATCATTTTCCATGGACCAGTTTGCCAAGTCCTCTACCCATTCATCGTCTTCTTCTCCTGAGCTCAACAAAGCAGAACGCCGTACGGGGTCATTCGGCTCCTACAGTTTGAAGAACCATATGTGAACAAACTAGCCAAAGGTGTCCCATAAGATGGCAGCACGGGGTTTCTGTTGTGAGTACCTTTACACTCCGTGCAGTTGGAATAAATGTGAAAGAGTTCATACGCTCGAACTTTCCTTCCACAACAACAATCGAGCTCCCCGTTGTTGATCCTGCCTCTTTTTTTATCGGAGTGTTTGACGGCGTCAATTCCCAGGAGGACGGACGGAATCCAGTTGTGTATGCTTTCAAGGCTCGCTTATATACCTTCTATAGAATTCGAATGCAACACGGTAAACCGGTGGCTAATGCAATCCGCCAGCCAATGCGACAGATTCCCGAACCTTGCGCTGGTTGGTCAACTCCACATTCCAGCCTTTCTCCCACTTTTGCAGGTCAAGTAACAGCTTCTTTTCAACTCTCCTGTCCTCTTCGTCCGAAACCGAACTATCACTCCCGTCAGAATCCTCTGCATGTTTCCTCTTCCTTGCATTATGAGACTCTAAATCCCCCGTGTCTGCAAAGGCGTTATCAATCCTGGAACTTTTCCTCGACATCACTCCCCCAGAACCATCCCTTGAAGATGCCAGGAGAGGCCAAGTTGCTCTGTGGCACAGTCATGTAATTGGGCAAGTGCTGCGCACGCAAAGTCACAGAAGGCGGGGGCAGCCAGTGGAGGAACACGTACCGCGATGAGTCAGCCAGGTGAGCTTCAACTGCCCCACTCTTGCTGTTAAGATATAAACCTCATCCCACCGTTGTCCACCCCGTTAACAAGCTTACAAGCAAGAGACTAGCTATCAGCGCTATATTGGTAGCTGCTGCTTTGAGGTCTCGTTTCCTTTGCTCGAAAAATTGGTCCCCCAGATAGCAACTCCTGGGCTTGGGGGATCTGCCATGGCTACAAACGGCCTTTCTGTTTCCGATGCGGTCGCTCTGGCGCAGCAGCTAGCAGCGACGTCCTTGAGTGATACATTACCTGAAAATCCAGAGGATCATGTATCTTTCTTTGGAGAGGAGGTTATTGGAGCAGTTGACGCAAACCTATGTTTGAGAGTATGTCTCAATAGAGTTCCCACGTGAATTGTTTATGAACTGACCTGTATCCCTTCCTTGAACAGGACCTTTATTTGAACGCAACAGCAGAAAACATGACAAAGATCATAAACCAGCTGGAAGATCGATTGCGCACTGGCCAAGGAGAAACGCTGTTCGAGATAGGTCTTGAAGGTAGGAACGAGTCAATTCCTTTTGGTGCACGGTACATCGGCGTTAACTCAGATTATTGTGATATGTAAATAGAGGACGGAGGATCTATGAATTTGACACAGAGTGAATTTGATATGTGCTTAGAAACTATTCGACGCGCTGCCGACAAGCTCAACGCCGACGTGACAGTGATACATCAGCGGAACACGGTAGTATTAACATCCTCTGGGAAAAGCGCGCAAGAAGAAGGGAGGAGCAATGCGGACGCTTCCAAGGACTACTTCTACGCCCATGCTCTGATTAGACGGCGACCTGGCAAGGTGGAGGACATGACAGAACTGCGTATTTGCGTGGTTGGAAATGTCGATGCTGGAAAATCAACTTTGTTGGGTGTCTTGACTAAAGACATGCTGGATGACGGTCGCGGAAGAGCTCGCGTCAATCTCTTTCAGCACAAACATGAGATTGAGAGTGGGAGAACTAGCTCTGTTGGGATGGAAATCATGGGGTTTGATTCCAAAGGGAATGTAATCACTCCCTCAATGCTCGGCAAGGCTAAGCTGACCTGGGATGACATCTGCTTGCATTCGCCTAAGGTACAGAAGATGGCTTCTGCCACGCAAAGATATTTTCCGTTCGTGAGTCGACTCTAAACTCGAGTTATACAGGTGTTGACTTTCATGGACTTGGCTGGTCACGAAAAGTACTTGAAAACGACCGTATTTGGGATGACGGGAACCAGTCCAGACTTTGCTATGCTCATGGTACATGATGGAGTGATCGGATGCTCCTTATCGTGATTTAACCGTGTGCTCTCTTTCGCAGATTGGTTCAAATGCTGGGATAATTGGAATGACGAAAGGTAAAACAATTTTTCAGACAACATATCCCACGGAGAAGCTGACTTTATACTTGGATAAGAGCATCTCGGTTTAGCATTGGCCCTCAACGTGCCGGTGTTCATCGTCATAACCAAAATCGACATGTGTCCGAGTAACGTACTGGAGAGCACTATTAGCCAGCTTACTAAAATACTGAAGAGTTCTGGGTGCCGTAAGATTCCCATGTTCATCAACACGGTCGGCGATGTGCTGGTTACCGCGGGTAATTTCGTCAGCGAACGGTGAGTACGCGCATATTGAGGCCGAATCACCGTACGACCCTAACATTTTCCCAGAATTTGCCCCATTTTCCAAGTATCCAACGTCACTGGCCAAGGCTTGGATTTGTTGAAGCTCTTCCTGAATGTCATCCATGCAAACGGTATTGGAAAGTATAACCCAGACCAGCCGGTCGAGTATCAGATCACGGATACATTCAGCGTGCCCGGTGTTGGTACTGTCGTCAGTGGAACTGTCATTAACGGTACGTTTTAAAAGAGCAACACGAACACGTACTAGATCCTGACCTTTGTTGCCAAAGGCATCGTGCATGTTGGAGACCAGTTGCTCTTGGGACCCGATGCGAACGGACATTTCATGTCGACAATGGTGAAGTCAATACACAGGAAGCGCGTCAATGTTCCTGTTGCATTAGCAGGACACAGCGCTTCCTTCGCCTTGAAGAAAGTCAAACGTGCGGGTATTCGGAAGGGCATGGTGATGCTGAGGTATGATTGCTACCCCTAATATGACATTGACTTAGACAATACTGAATATCCTTATCATCATACGCACGTTGCAGCAAAAATGCCGCTGCGAAGGCCGTTTACGAATTTGAGGCGGAAATTCTTGTTTTGTATCACAGTACTACTATCTCGCAGAAGTATCAGGCGATGTTGCATTGTGGATGTGTTAGACAAACGGCAAAGATTATTGGAATGGACAAGCAAGTATTACGAACCGGCGACCGTGCGTTTGTGCGATTTCGGTACGTAGGATACCCAAATAGTCATTGATAACATTTGACACCTTGAATTGATTTCTCATTGCTGTTCAGATTCATTCAGCACCCTGAATATCTCAAGGAGGGAACGCGATTACTGTTCCGTGAAGGTTGGTGCTAGCACGCTGCTTTAAGACGTTGTACATATACTCAATGCAATTGTCTCTCCCAGGTCGAACGAAAGGAGTTGGAAAGGTCGTCCGATTATTCACTGAAGCCGAAGCTCTTAAGCCCAATCCACACCCGCAGGAGGACGTCAACACTGCCCGGAAGAAACCTCCAAATAACCCACCATCAGGATCCTCTCCATTAGCAATTGAAAAGAAGACATCTCGACGACATCATCATCACGGTGGGGGTCATGGAACCACTAAGGCAGATACCGGCCATCACAGAACGGGAGGAGGGGCCAGCGTCGCAGTAAAGACGTAACGTCCCTAATGCTCTTCCGCGGTATTGTACGATAGTGCCGTACCACACACGAGGTCGCCGTTCTCGCATTTCTCTGCTGTGGAAAAGATGTTTTTACTGTAAATGCTTTCATTGTTTTGTGGATGGGTTCATGAGGAGTATATATTTCATTTAATGAGCCAAAGGCATTTTAATGAGCCAAAGGCAATAAGGCAATTAGTCTTTCGAGGAGCATTGTGCACCATAGGAAAATTTAAAAATTACAAGACTTTCGTAAATAATCTTGTCCTGATTATCATCCTCAGCCCAACCATAATAACGCCGTTTCTTCATGGTGATAACTGTTGGCTCGTTGCACTTGTTGAAGAAACGATTCTTGAATGGAGCGCGAAGGCGTATTAACCTGGTCTGTAATCAGGAATTGTTGTGTGAACGTTGTGAATGGAACAGAAGCGCCCGCCCGTAGAGCTCGTCGGATTTGCCATGGTAGCGATAAATAAAAGAAAGGGAAGACAAGGTGAGTAGCAAGCCAGATACGTTCGACATCAGTGAGCCTCAAACATTGTTAAGGGCAAGCGGGCGATTACGGAACAACACGTATACGACTATCGTACGTGTGAGATGTTCCATAATCGCCCGCTTTCCCCAACTTTCTCATGAATGAGACGACGGTTTGACATCCTGTAGAGAAAGCATGCTGGCACGACGCAGGGCTGGCGCTTTGGAGTTGTTTTACCCGCCTGCACTCTGACAAGGTAAAGGTCCAAAACACTGGCCGTGATTTATCGCTGCCCGGTCTACAAGCTAGGTCAAAACCGCAACCGGATCGGCCTTTGTATGGTTTTGTGCGTCGGCATCCAAAGGATTCCCCCGGGCTATGGATGTAACATCCATCATCTCAACGAATCCACCATGTGCAGGATGACTGCCTTGACCTCACCAGGGAATCCGCCCAAGGAGTGGGATGACTTGCTTTGGGAGGTCAAAGCAAGTCACCGATACCCTCGCGGCCACCTGCTGGACTGTGAATGTTGTTGCGACAGCAACATCTGACGCGGAAATGGCCAGGTCACCCCATCTGCCAGACCACCCACATCCGAAGAGGCTCCTAAGCATCAGGCAAACTCGCCATATTCTTTGTGTTCAATTCAGTACTTACCAGATGAATGGCGATTGGGAAGATGGGTAGATGAGAGGTCGCGCAGAAAGAATGACGCGTTCCCAACTAATGTTGCGCGCACCTCTGAGTGCGCCACTATATCATGACTGTGCCCCATCACATGAACGTCACGTTGCAAAGTGCGCAGCTAGTGCGCGCCATGGGCGCCGCACCCCACCTTAGCCGCGCGATGAATCTAGCAGCGCAAGCAATTAATGAACTAGTTACTTGAAGACCTGGCCAAACCCAATTGGTGCAGTCTTTGGGGTTTCAAAGGGCCATGGCAAAGAATTGACGCATATACTTGTAGTGATCTTGTGGATAGCTGAATATTCCATAGTTGGTTGCATAACAGTGGGTTGCATGCAATAAATGAAAGACAAAGCTGCGACAAACTCCTCATCCATGCTCCAATCATGGTCGCAATGTCATTATCGGGGGTATCTGGCCAATGCACTTGCAATGAAGCAGGCAGGGGACCTGCAACCCACCATGCCGTATTTGTTGAAGATACCTCTATCAGCGACAAGTAAAAACTGACATCGAGGCAAGCGTCTCGTGGTCCAAGAGCGAATCTTGTCCCGTCCCTTCATCCGAATATTCTGCCCAAGGTGGACGACTGCTAACTTTGACAGGTTTCTGCAGCTAGTGCCACGGACTGGCCAGGTATGCAATGAGATCCATCGGGTAGAGTAGCATTGCCAAGAACCCTCGAGCTGTCAGCCTGATTGTGCCCTTTCGTATCTACAAAATGTCAAATTTGTGAAGCTTCACATCACAGAGCGTCGGCGTACGTTTGAGATATGAGGCGCGTCGGTTGTCAAAGCTCAAAAGCTAATGGACTTGGAGTTCACGAGAGTATTGATGTGACGACTTTCGGCCCGAATCATCTATCATCTACCCACTGCCGATCTCCCATATCTAAGGCTAAGTTCAAGTTTAATTGACGATAAATGATTGATCCAAATCGGGAGCTCTCTGACGCACAAACCATACATGATGTCGAGCAGTGGGAGACTATTGTGAAGTCAGACGATGATTCTCTGATTGAGAACCAGACATGGGATTTACCACCTGGAAGATCATACCTGGCGAAAAGGAGTAGCGAATGCCCAAGGAACAGGACCCTTCACCAAAAGTTAATATCAGCGCGCCGAAACTTCTGCTGCCCAATCCTAGCAAGAGTTTAAGGTTGCCGCGGACATGAGTTTTAAATGACGGCAAAGCGCCGCGTGGCCAAAACTTTGAAGAATCTCAAACCCAGCTTTCAACTCGAGCTAGATTCCTGCCTCAATCCATCTGCTCGGATCTTACTACATGGTAGAATCAGGAAACATAACCATCACTTTTTCTTATTGTCCACATCGCCTCCCCACTGACCCTCCATCCAAACTAATATATACAAAATGCAGATGTTGGTCCAGTAAGGTTTGCCGACTAAGCTGCTCATTTTTGTTCTTCCTCTTCTTCTAGGCAACCGAGCTGAAGACCTTCCTCCGCAGGAATCCCCAACTCTCTTGCCGTATTATATCTAACCAACCATGGGTGCCGCAGGACGTGTTCCAGTGGAAGCCGCTCGTCAGGATTATACCGCAAAAGCTGTGTGAAAAAAAAAATTCAGCTTCTGAATCAAAACAAGGATGGAATACAACAGCCGCCTTACGCCTGAGATAAGGTCCTTTGCTTCAGCGCTGACATAATCAGGAATACGCAGGTCCACCTGTGCGATTCGTTTATAGGTTGCTCGATAGCTGGTCTGATCCTCAAAAGGAGGTACTCCAACCAGAAACTCGTAACAAAGCACGCCTAAGGACCATAAGTCAACATTCCGACCGTGATCGCGGCCCTCCACCATCTCTGGAGGCAGATAGTCGAGGGTACCGCACAGTGTCTGCCGTCTATGAGGCAGAATGGGTGAGGATCGGTGGATACGGAGGAGTCATTATATTTAAGTACACACCTTGTGTTAGGAGCATGAACTGACCACCCAAAATCAGCGATTTTCAATTCTCCTTTCATTCCCAGTAGAAGGTTTTCTACAAAGCATATCAGCGTGGTGACTCGCATGACTGTAAGGGCAAGTATTATATATAGTACCAGGTTTGATATCACGATGGATAACGTTCTTCTTATGCAAATATCCTAGTGCATTTGCCATTTGCGCGATGTACTAAGAAGCAAATGGGAGTTTATACAGAGTCCTTCCGCGTGGTAAAAGCTGGGTAGAATATAGACGAATACCTTTGAAGCCCTTCTTTCCGAGAATCGCCCATATTTGCTCAGCTGCTTATACAGTTCCCCTTTCGCAGCATACTCAAGAATAAGGTACACTCGCTTAGCATCGTAAAAGTACCCAAAAAGGCGCAAAATGTGCGTGTGCCTGAAAAACGGGTTGCTGCGTAAAAATACTGCGATTCCAGTACGTAGCGTCTCCCCAAACATACCTGAGATGAGACTGAATCTCAATTTCACGTCTCAGTTGTTTCTCAACTTTTGCGTTGGCGAGCTCACTCTTGAAAAGGATTTTCAAAGCCACGACAAAGCCACTACGCTTTTCACGGGCCAGATACACCCGTCCAAATTTCCCTTTCCCAAGGGCCCTGCCAACGTCGAAATCATTCAAGGACCATTTTCGACCACTGGGATGAGTACTGCCGTCACTGCTATTTGGGCGATGGAAACTCAGCAAGAGTCAAACAAGGATGTCGCCGCCAAACCTACACTGAAGATGCCTGCGGATAGATACTCTGGTTTAAAAGGACACTGTTCTGCTTGGACTCTGGAACACGCTCGGGACTTCTCATCTGCACAGTCTCGTTGAACTTGACCATCTTTGGCGTTGGAGGGGTGGCAACCTTCACTCCTGCAGTAGTGGCTGCTGTGTTTGGGGCAGCATTTTCTTTTTGCGCTTGCGGCGGCCTTTGTGATGTTTGGGGCGGCTTGGCTCGGACTCCTTTTCCGTCAACCACAGACTGGGTTGCATTCAAGCGATTCGCAGTACTGTATTTAGTGCCAGTCGGTGACCCTGTGGCCGCTGTCGTTGGGTGTGGTTTGAGATTGGACAAGTTTGATCTCTTCAATGGTGCAATTTCTGTTGTCGGACGACCAGCCATTGCTTGTTTCGTCAAAGGAACACGAAGAGGTGCCGCTGACGATTTGGTTAGACCTTGACGGACAACCTGACGCGCGAAAGGGTCAGATGAGAATTTACAGCCGGGTCGGGAAAACAGGCAGCAATAGATGGGATATTCTCCAGTATATGTAGCAAAGGGGACACAAGAAACTCCGTAAGGTTATGGCCTTACCTTCGGTGCCGTTTGTTCCTTATCTTTCAGCGTTGTTGCGCGCATTTGAGTCTCAAGCGACCGAATCGAACTTCCGTTGTACGACATCCTCGGCGTCCTTCCCGCAAGTCAGAGAAGGGCGCCTTTCAGTTCAACCGATAGGGGATTTGATGGGCGGGACTCTTCCTTCAACACGCGTGAAAATCTGGCCAAGAATAACCAGGCGCGATGAGCGAGCTGAGGTCCGTCGACTCGCTTGGAGCTGCTTGACGTCAACTAGGGTTGTGGTCCGTCTTCCCGTCCCAAAGTCAGCTGGCACTCGGTCTGTCCTCTGAGCAGCTGAAGTAAGCGTGTTCTGGATGGGCAGGAGTCGGAGGGCCGTGGGTGGAAGATTGTTCGAAGTGAAGCTGTGTCCGAAAACCTCATCACGTGCATGTCCGAAACAAGCCACGCAGCGTCATTTCGTTGATTACAAAAGCAAATCGCATCATCGATCATAGAGCGCAATTGCGAGCAGAATATAAAAGAGAGCAGACCTTGATACTTACCCCTTGTCTTTATCGTCTTTTGCATCGGCTTGCTTCACCAGAATGTCTCAACCAACTACAAAGCTTTACACTGGAGCAGAAATCCCGTTGATTGCCTTTGGCACGTACGGAGGTGGTGACGACGCTGCCACATTGGCAGGGGCCACGCGGGCCGCTCTTGACGCTGGCTACCGGCATTTCGATCTTGCAGAAGTTTACGGAAACCAGGCCGAGCTCGGCCAAGTATTTTCCAAAGCCATAGTCGATGGTGTTGTGAAGCGATCCGACTTATTCATTACATCAAAGGTGTGGAATACCAAGCACGACCCCAAGCATGTGGAGGAGAGCTGCAAGAAAACCTTGAAGGACTTGCAATTGGATTATCTGGATCTGCTGCTAGTCCATTGGCCATTGTCATGGAAGTATACTGGAGAGGATTTAAGGGTGGAAGGAAGTAGCTTCCCTCGGGATCAGGATGGTGAGCCATATTATGAATTAAGAACGCTTAGGCGACCGCAGATGTAATGCAGTTGTTCTTGTAGGCAACGTAATCACTGCGCCCGTGCCTTTGCACAAGACCTGGGCTGCATTTGAGAATCTCGTTGATGCAGGGCTTGTGAAGCATATTGGAGTATCCAACTTCCCCAGCGTGCTCATTCTGGATCTTCTCACTTACGCTCGCATCCGACCAGCCGTCAACCAAGTTGAGCGACATCCTTACTTGGCGCAGAACTCACTGTTGCAGTTTGTGAAAGACAACGGCATTCATCTTTCAGCCTACACTCCCCTGGGACGTCCCGGGAAAATCGACAATGTTCACAAAGAAATCATTAAAGAACCAGTTGTCGAAGCTATTGCAAAAGAGCTAAAGGAACAGTCGGGATTGGACGTTAATACTGGCCATGTTCTGCTGCGCTGGCACATTGAACGTGACGTCAGTGTCCTACCGAAATCTAGTAACCCGCACAGAATCAAGTCGAACCTCCACATCACGTCCCAGATCCGGTTGACTGAGGAGCAACTGAAGAGGATTGATAACTTGGATTCTGGGCTGAGATACAATGACTTGGATTTAAAGACGGGAACTGTGCGGCCAGGTGGAAGGACAATTTATGAGATTTAGTGTCGAGGGTAGGAATAATCAGTAGATCTACGATGTATTATCCTTGTTACGAACATTGAAAATAACATTCATGTCAAAACTGCATTTCATAACATTTCATATGGTTCAGACGCATTTCATTAAGGCCAAAAAGGGTTATAGTGCCTGTCTGGGAGGTCGCGCTCGTCTTTGGAGATCTTTGGAGAGACTGACAGAGTTCTTACTCTTGACATCCTGCGGTAGCGATAGTCTTATCAACGGTTGTCTGAGGCAGAGACTGTTGGATGGGATGAGCAGGAGGGGAAGAAGGCTGTCTGTAGAGCATGGTGCGGGTGAAGCGGCTTCGGCTGCGGCCGCGCACGAGCGCACACTCAGGCCTCGGCCACAACCAAGGGCCACTGCACTGCGGTCCGGGTATGCTACGACACTTCAGATTTCTTTGGCCTCAGAATGCGACCTGGCTGCAACGAATTCTCGCCTTCCTCCGGATTCCATGGTAGAAGCTGAAGAAGCTATATTTCCTCAGTATGCACGAACTCTCGAAGCAAGTTCCACTTACATACGATGCCGAAACTTTATTCTTGCTCTTTGGCTACGGAATCCGGTGAAATATCTCGAGTACACGCGCGTGGCTGAAGTGGCATCTATTCAAGGCCGGCTAGTCAATATATGGAACTCGCCGGTCCTTAGAGATGCTTATGAATTTCTGCAGAGGTACCGATATATCAACTTTGGCATTCTGCCTCTTTCTCCCCAGCCATCCTCGAAGCAGAGTCCGCGCATTATCGTTATCGGGGCGGGAATCGCAGGCCTGAGTGCAGCGCGCGAGCTTTTAAACTTGTATAGACATCATCCAACCGAAGCACAACCGGTGATAACAGTCCTAGAAGGCCGAAAGCGGGTCGGTGGCCGGATTTTTACCTTACCGCTTCATACCAGAGCCCAAGGGGAAGAACATCCATCTGGTGTAGATCTTGGTAAGCAGCTACCATGTTTAATGCCATAATTTAGCGCGGTTTTGTATGGTAGTCTCATCGTCTGGTGACAGCTGCCCAGGTAAGCAGTTGCCTGCTGTTTCTTTTTTCGCAGTGTGGCAGCTGAACAGTGGAATGACATACTTGTACCAAATATTTCCAAGATAGTGACTGGGTTTGAAGGTATTGTACGGATGTACTGACTTACAGTAAAGTTTGATTTAACATGTATTTTAAAAAACGACTCTCCCACCGCAAGACGGGAATCCACTAGATGTCATTATTATGAAGCAGTCACAACTGCCCGTTCACGTATGCGTATAAATGGCCCCTTGGCGGATGCGCATGATGTGTTTAAAATCGTTTCAATTCAACCAGTTTCTCTACAATGCGAACGAATGCCAGCTGTATGATTACAATGGTGAAGCTGTGGATCAGCGTGTTGATATGAGATGCGAAGAGCTCTTTAACGAGATACTGGAGCAAGGTTGGAACCATGCATGCACATCGTCCGATTGCGTTTTATGTCCCATGGTTGTGACAAGTCTCAACCCTTTCTACTGGCTTTCTTGACAGCATGTCATACGGTCATGGAAGACGGCAGACGCTACGTCGTCACTGGTCCCCGTGTGCGAACATCCACAAAGACACCGGCCGATATCCCACGGCTACCTTTACCTTCCCTTGGAGAGATGTTTGACTATCATCTCAGCCGACATCCCAAGCGCGTCATGCTTCGACCATTGGATTGGCGACTTATCAATTGGCATATTGCGAATCTCGAGTTCGCGAACGCTGCATCCATTGATCAACTTAGCCTATATAACTGGGACCAGGCAAGTCATCTTGGTCAGAAAATAGGCGGGTGCACTGCCATTCTAAGGACGTGCGATTTAGGATGATGAGGTTCGTAAATAAGCGGCTGCTTTGTGGCGTCTATTGAGACATCATACCCTTCGCACCAGCACGGATTTGAAGGAGACCATGCCATGATTCCGGGAGGTAAAACATTCCGCATCCTAGCTATTTCTGCAGGCCCAACTCAAAGAGTATTTTTATGACCTAAAAGGATACGGACAAGTTCCACACGCATATGCGTTTGGGATGGACTCAGAGCACGCGGTTTTGGATATCAAGTTCGAAAAAACTGTCGACCTAGTCTCAGTGGACCCTGTCACTGGAGAAGTTACAGTGGAGTGCGCGGATGAAAGCTTGTATCAATGCGATGCGTTGGTACGCACTAGTAGCTTTCGTTTTACCTTCACACGGTAACAAATACAAGGTTCACAGGTAATGACTGTACCATTAGGGATACTCAAAGTAGGTATGCCGGTGATGTTCAGAGCGAAACGCAGGATGGCTCCTCTGATGTCTTGTCAAACAACCATATGCCGTGGTTTCCGCAGAGTAACAGTATCGTCTTCGACCCGCCTCTTCCAGCGTGGAAACGGGGTGCCATTGACCGGCTTGGCATGGGGTGGTTCAATAAAGTTATCCTTGTTTTTGAACGCCGCTTCTGGCCGGCAGATATGGATAGCTTTGGCGCGTTATCGGAACCTGAAGACCGTTCAGACTCGACCGGCGGCCTTCCGGCATATACGGCGGTTAGAGGACGATTCTTTTTGTTTTGGAACGTCGACGATTTGTCCTCATGTCCCATGTATCGAATGGCCAATGTCCGTGTGCGGTATCATCATTAGGAATTTATACCCGACAACGCGACTTCCCGTTCTATGCTCTTTCATTGCAGGGGAAGCGGCCGTCGAGATGGAGGCCGACGATGATGAGACAATAGTTAATAAGGCTATGACCGTCCTTTCGCGTATCTTTCCTTATGAGCATCCCCTTCCCCCTGTTGTCGAACAAGTTGTGACCCGATGGAGTCGAGATGAGTTCGCTCGAGGCAGCTATTCCTATGTCGCGAATGGTGCCTCAGGTTGGTGTTGTACAAGCGGAGAGATCACAATCGTATGCGCTGATAGTCTCATATGTAGGAGACGATTATGACCATCTTGCTAGACCGACGCATGGAAACATTTTTTGGGCGGGCGAAGCGACATGCCGTCAGCACCCGGCAACCGTCCACGGTAATCTCAACAGCCCATCCATCATATGGATATGTGCTGACCGAATAATATACTTTAGGTGCACTTTTATCGGGTATGCGCGTTGCGCAGGAAGTTGGCGACCTGTTCCTAGGCCCTCTCCAAGGCAACTCAATATAGCAAATCACTTCATTATGTACAATTGAGCATAATCTATATTATCTCTATCGGGCTTCAAAGGTTTTGTCTCGCTGCAAAACTGTTCCATGTGTGAGGATACTGTTACACCAAGTGTCATGATATTGATGCACATACCTGTCTTGTCAAATTTCATTAAAATTGTTGTCCGAAGTGGAAACTGGTCAGTTGCCGTTGAGTGCGCGCTGACTCTGGCCGGCTACAGGATAAATAGGTATCAATCGATATCTAAGGCAGCCAGTGGTTCAGTTCAGTTCGTAGCGAGATACTTACGAATCCGCATCCATCCAGCACCGCCTCCACAACACCTCCAATAAAAGCACCACAACTGAGTTGTGACATTTCTCGCGGTACCGCAATGAATTTGGTTATATTTGGCTCATTGTCAGATATCATATCTGTGGGTTGGTAATTGATACTCAGCACATCCAGACCTTATTGTAATGAGCGGGATGTTGTACTAAAGTTCGACACTCACACTCATCCTCGTTTTCCGTGCCCTTCTCCAACGCGTCCGCCACCTTGCCGAAAAGAGTTTTCCAAATGGTCGAGTGTATGAAGGACAAGACGTTCAGAAGACGTGTGTCTCGACGGCCGGGCCGCTCTCTGAAAACGATCAATTCGAGAAACCGAATACCAACACGATATCCAAAGTCGCTCAGTCTGATACAATCGGTGATGAGTCACCATATACATCCGGTAAAGTCCGCTTGACGACCGCGGCTCGTCGTTTTCATGCCAAGCTTACTTTTTCTCCATGTCCTGAATGCCGCTACTCTTTTTTGTTGCGTAGCTGAGCATTTCGGCGAAGAGGAAGGCATAGGCCGCCACGCTGACCTATTCGGAAAGGACATTTTGATGAGCCCCAAGTCACATGTGAGGTAAACAGATCTACGTACCTCATTGGATCTTCCTTTACTGAGGTTTCGTTCAAGAATTGCTGGCCTTCGTAAAGAGGAGGATGGCCGTGCGGTGCTTTGTGACATTTCGACGAGAAAAGGGATGGAGATCCGTTTCCAGCAAGCTTGAGTAAGGTCAACAGCCTTGCGCGTTCGTAATAAAGCCTAATCCGGAAGTGCGAAAGGGCACTTGGACGCTTACGTGGCTTTCGTTGGGCAATTCGCAATTTGAGCGACATTTTCCAACATTTTGCAGCCGACGATGCTAGCGTCGTCCGACATGCCTTCCATAACCCCAGCTCATCGATCGGACTCTCTCATGACCCTCCTTGACGCTCTTACAGAATACGAGGCGTTACGTACAGAGACGGGACAGACCTTATCAAAAGCCTATATCGACCTTGCCCAAGCGAAGTACATTTTGGGCCCCGGTCGTCTGGGCGCCGTGGCGTATGACGGGAGGATGAAAGCAGGAAAGGTTGTGTGAGTATCTCACCGTACTGACCATCGAGATTCGTTTTGGTAAAGATTGATATGCAGACATACAGACGAGAAGGGCGAAATGTTTCTGATGCGTGGGGTTCTTGATACAAGCACGAGTCTGACTGATTCAGACGTGAACGTGTCGATGGATAAGGAAGACGGACTACGACGGCGTAGGGCGGGTGGTGTCAAGGAATCAAACGGGACTTCAGACGACGAGAGAGAAGAGAATCAGGACAGCACAGATGACATGCAAAGCGCAGATCAAAAGAAGCCAAAGCGGCCAACAAATCCTCTAAATTGGTTTGCACCTCTGCCCCCAACCTCCCTACGATCTTCCCAGACCCATTTTGAGCAAGGTAAGCGGACCTCGTTAAAGTTGTGTGGCAGAGTTCTGATGCACATGCAACCGTAGTGTTGAGAGATCTGATACGGTTAAGTAACGTAGCAAGGAGGGTGGAAGAGTTAAGGGTAAAATGCGAAGCTCAAGGTGTCCATGGTAGACAATGAAGTCGGAATGTTGGTCGACTGTACGGTCACTGGCTGACAGTGCAATTTTCATTGAGCCTTTCAGGTTACGACTTTTTATCATTATTAGACGGTGGAAATAGTGTTATACTTGGTCCAAATACGTCCTTTAAGGTTTCACCCGGCTTCAGCCTCCTCACATTCCCTTGCTCGTCAATGTATTCCCCTTGATCTAAGATATCATAATCCCCTAATGTTCTTGGCGAATTCACCGCCTTTATCCAATCCAGCTCCAAAGAGAAATCCCCCGGTTGCCGCACCAGCGAGAATCCGACAGTTTTAATTTTAGACCGGTCCATGGTGATTTGACGCTTTTGCACGTATCCATGACTCGTGAGAACAAAGTCTCGAAAAGGTATCTGGATACTTCTTTTAGCAATTGGCCCGCATCACAGCACGAAATGCTTGCCACCGTACCATTATGACTTCCCATTCCCCAGGTCGTTGGAAATACAGCCGATGTTGCCAAAGGTATGATGGATAAATACTATCCGTTTGTAGGTTAACAAACCATTGTCGCGTATCACCTTTCGCTCTTATTGCCAGATATCTGAACAGAGTCGTGTCGTATCTCGGACGATGGAAAAGAGTCAACGGTCGCTCCTGTTCATCAACTAGGTAAGTTCCCATGACTTTCCAACAAGTAACTGGAAGTCCCCCAATGTACCTTCGACCGCACTCCAGCATATCCACTCCGATCTATCTTGACTCCAGGAGGAATATCCGTAGATAGTGATCCCCAGAACAAAGCTGTATTCTGAGGGGTGAGTCCCCAATAAGCTTCGGACAGCCCTACCAGTTTCCAAGACTATCTTTGAGCCAAGGTGTCAGTATAAGGGATGACTGACGGTCATTCTGACCTCCAATATCTGCATCGGATCCTACAACCCAGTCTTGCAGATCTTCAACGTTTTGAAACTGAAAAAGGGGCATTTCTTTCCTCCAACTGACATCAAACTTGATTGCTACGGTTGGTATATATGAGCCGTACGTCGCGATGGACCAAAGGAAGTATAAGTCCGTTACCTGCAACAGTTTCGGCTTTCATATAGTTCCATGATCGCTTGAAATACGAGCTGATCACTCGTAGCCCTTCAGTCATTCTCCCCCCTGACGCCATGGCGTGCTCAAACTGTGAGGGACGTCGATATAAATAGGCGTCGCCGGATCGCCAGAACTCTAAGGATACAATCGTATCAAGCTGAGCCCCTCGTCTAGTGCTCTTGTCATTTCCATACCTAGGTATGTACTGCTTTGGAGCTCGGAGATCGGCAAGTAGTCAGTTTTGAGGTTTAAGCCTGAGGTCCCAAAATGATAGTCATTTGTTGCCATGGCTTTAAGAGTGGCACAGTCCGTGTCACTCGGACTCTGAATGTTGAGAGATCTACCGACGTTCACCCTTTGCCTAACCGAAAACCATGCGGCCTTCAACACGACTACGGGCGTTTACAACCGAAGATGGTTTACCGGGCGAGGATTGCCTGTTTGTCAGTAAGGATGTGTGGGACGAATTGATACGCCAGGGAGCAAGATGTGTCCCTTCTCGTGGTCTGTGACGATGACTGCACTTTCAAAATTTGTGAGCTGGGCCCTGTTTCTTACAAAGTATCCTTGTAGCCGGGAGTGGGTCGCGGCTTTTGGTGTCTATTACTCTGGACGATAGTATCTCCGCCGGTTACGAAACATACTTTACTACAAATCACCAAGGGCAACGGTCGCCCTGTAGTTCATTCCTGTCGTACGTGCGGATATCTTATGCAACCGAGGTGAGAGCCGCCTCAGGTGGGGTTGCCGGTGGAGCGTGCAGCTGAAAGGTTAGAACGTATTGAATGTCCTATGTTGAAGGTTGAAAAGGCCACTGTGCGAATCCCTCCACAATTTTTCACCCGAAACGAACTTCCGGTGCCAGATCCAGATGATGAAGTTGATATCGAATTGCATACCTGTGGGACCGTCGAGCTCAATGAAGTCATATTGGGTGCACTGGATCAAGCTTCCTACGAAACGGCAACGAAAGGTACCCACATGCGCCGTCCCATAGTTCCCTTTCCCCGCTCGCATTTATGACCCGCACGCTAATGAGTGCTCTTATGCTAAAGATGGTCGCTCCATTCAAAATCAGTTGATTGTTGACGCCACCTTACTTCGTCAATCCGCTACCTGCAGAATATCGGTCGACGATAATGTCCTTGTTTTTCGCGTGCTGATGTGCTCGCCGGTCCTACAAGGAACAATCTCAGCAAACTCGCGGGTCATTTTTTCGAGAGCAGAATGGCTCGTCGGTCCTGACCTCAGTATGACAGCAGTCAAATCATTGGGCAACGAATCTCTCGTGCCAGATGTCCTTCTTGACGATGCCGGCATAGAGGATGGCCTTCATTTCAGCACAGATGCGGATCGTCTAGACGCAGATTTCGTTGACGCAGCACATGAAGAAGAAATTCATGGCAGCAGGGGAAGCTTGAGTAGTGTGGAAGCATTGCCTGTAGTGTTGAGTCACCGGGTACCTCGGTCGATGGTATATCCCAAACCCGGCGCGCGGGACGACTTGGATATCGGAATTTGGGTTCCATATTCGATTTTGGTTAAGCTCAAAGTGTTCAGCGGAAGCATGGTAATGAGCTGGGTGTTTTTGATTCTACCAATTCGACCGCCCGCTAAATTCCCCTGCGCTCGATAGGTTTCGGTGCTAAACGACCCATCTTCAGCGGAAGGGCGATTGTGCAGAATTTATGGTTGCGATACGCCTTTCGAGCAAAGGTAGATCCCTGCTTTTATCCTGATAGCTCGGCGTTTCGCTGACGACTTCTTTGCTTAAACCCAATCGAGAAGGGGAGGCTCGCAGTTACCCAACGCCTACATGTCTCCATCATTATATTTCAATATGCAACTCAATCCCTCCAAGCCAATACACCTGATGCCGCTCTCCCGGGAACAAATGATGGAAGCAATACCAGTGGCAAGCGAAGTGACGGTGGCGCGTCTCGCCGGTTCTTTAACAAATGACAAGAGAGTGTTGGATGAGTGCTTGATTCAGCTAAGAAAATGGTTCGAGGACACAGAAAGGGTGGTATGCGAAGGGGATATCATCACCGTCGTGGTTAATGGTGAGAATTTGTGGAAGCGGTTTCATCCGATCAATGAGATTAAGTTTTTGTGCTGGACTCAGAGGAACAAGCTCGCATGCATGCCCTATTCTCGATGGATGATAGTGATGAGATTGTAGAGCATGATCTACAGTAAGAGCCATCGCACCCTTTTTTAAGGAATCATCGTAATGGCTCACGGCTGTGTTGTGAAGGTGTTTCCCGGCGGCTGCGAGAGCCAACGATCTAGCGTACTTCAAAATCACTCATGTGGCTGTTGATTCATCCATTGACTCGAAGGGAACTTCAAGATCCATGGGTGTCATGGTAAAAATAGACCCTGCCGTCACAAGGATAACGCAGTCCGGTATCGCGCATGGTCGAGTCCCGCCACGACAACGGAGCTACTTGGGAGCTGGTCCGTTGGTTACCTTTTTGCAATGCGTTAACCGACTGCACAAAGGGCTGACCGTTTCCATTTCTTTAGGCATTGTACCAACTGCACCGGAGAAAAGCGCCAGCGATGCATACCGGGAACTTTCAGGACTCATGTCTACATGTCTCCATCCGACGTCCTTGGCATTAGGACTGAATTGCACAGTTCTTCTTCATGGTCCTCGAGGAGCGGGCAAACGTACGTTGATATATGCCGTTGCGGAAGATCTAGGAATTCATCTGTTGGAGGTAAGTGGCCGGCTAGTAGAGAGCGATAGTGACGAGAGCTCATTCCGTGACCTCCACGTAGGTCAATGCCTACGACATCATCGGTGACACGGATGCCAAAACGGAGTCATTCCTGCAAATTCAATTTGAGAAGGCTGCTGCCACGGCGCCGTGTGTATTAATTATACGTCACGTCGATGCCCTGGCTAAAAAACCTGGAGCTGCTGCCGCCGAGCCAGGAGACGGTATGTGATATGCTTAGGAATTGTACTTTGGTACACATAACGTACTTAATGTCTCATTGTCTTCCGCAGAACCGACTGTGACCAAGGTTCTCTCTGAGTGCTTGACAATGATTTCGGAGTCTTTTAAAACGTCAGGACACGTAGTGATGGTAGTCGGTACAACTGCTGATTTGGATAAGATTCCTACCGGAATGCAGGCTCTGTTCAGGCACCATTTGTTATGCGAGGTTGGCTCTATCTCGGAAGAGGATAACAAGTGTCTTTACTGATTCTGCCACTTCCTTTAGAGCCCCTCAGAGGAAATGCGATTGCATATATTGACGAATCTAACCAAAGGCATTTCGATGACGCCGGATGTCAGCCTGCCCCTTCTGGCCATGCAAACTGCGGCACTTGTTGCTCGTGATCTTGTTGATCTGGTAGCCCGCGCCGGCTACAATGCCCTAGAGCGGGTACTGGGCGCGATGTACGTTCTGTGACGTGCATGTCGTTGTCCACCTCCACATACTGACAAGTGGGCACACAGGCAAGCATTAGGGCACAACGTTTCCGAATCAGACGTAGTACATGCGGGCGTAGCGGTAACTTCTGAAGATTTCAGTAAAGCTCTAGACAAGTCACGAGCAGCCCATTCCGACGCCATAGGCGCGCCGAAGATCCCGAACGTTACCTGGGATGACGTCGGTGGTCTTAGCCACGTCAAAGACAACATCTATGATACCATTCAGTTGCCACTGGAACATCCTGAACTTTTCGCCAGTGGTATGAAGAAGCGTTCGGGTATCCTTCTATACGGCCCGCCAGGGACAGGCAAAACCTTGGTGGCTAAGGCGGTTGCTACCAACTTCTCCTTGAACTTCTTGTCCGTAAAAGGGCCCGAGTTACTGAACATGTACATCGGTGAATCGGAAGCAAACGTGCGCCGTGTTTTTCAAAAAGCTCGTGATGCTCGACCTTGCGTCGTTTTCTTTGATGAGTTGGACAGTGTTGCGCCTAAGCGCGGGGAAAAGGGGGATTCTGGCGGTGTTATGGACCGAATAGTGAGTCAACTTCTTGCGGAGATTGATGGAATGGGAGGTGGTGCGGACGTATTTGTGATCGGTGCTACCAATCGGCCAGATTTATTAGATCCTGCTTTGCTACGACCGGGAAGGTGCGTTCCGGATCTGATCGAATGAACTCGTTGCTATCAAGATAGTCTGCGCTTACACCGTTTATTTCTAGGTTTGACAAACTGCTCTATCTGGGCGTTAGCGAAGACCATGACTCGCAACTGAATATTTTGAAGGCATTGACCCGAAAGTAGGTGCTCAACACCTTTCCAGGGATGTTTCAGATCCTTACGATACTCTCCTTAACAGGTTCCGCTTACATCCGTCTCTCGACCTGCGCCGCATTGCCGATTTGTGTCCATTCCACTACACCGGCGCTGACTTTTATGCTCTGTGCTCAGATGCTATGCTTAAAGCGATTATAAGGACAATCGATAATGTTGACGCCAAGATTGGTATGCTGTAGCCTCGTGCGTTAGTTCGGTTTGTATTCTGGGAGTCGCTAACAGCAAACTTCTCAGCAACTCTGAATGCGTCAGGTCCACACGAGCACCATCCTCATCCCATTCCCCCGCCGTATTATCTGGAGAATATGGCGGAGGCTGAAGACACTTTTGTCCAAGTCGAGGAGGTGGATTTCCGTAAAGCTCTCGAGGAATTGGTGCCTAGTGTGAGTCCTAAAGAGCTGCAACGATACAAAGAGGTTCGAAGCAAGTTCGAAACGGAAGACAAGGAAGACAAGAAGAAAGGGAAGGGGAAAGCCGTAGCAGATATGGTGCCTAGTGTTGTCGACAGAGCGCAATTGAGTTTCCGCTCAGATGCTGGAAAGAAGATCAATGGCGGATCTTCCCAGCAGAACGGTCACGAACCAATACCAGTTCCGAACGGACTACCGCCCGTGGAGCACGTAATATCAAATGGACGCTTGAATAATGAACATTCAAAAGCTTATTTTGCGGAGGAGGGCAGTGGCAGCAGTGGCACGGACATTGGGAGTAGTGGAAGAGCGGGTGGTGAGCAGGCAGTTAGCGAATCAACCCACCTGAGCGATGTGCCGACAGCTCCGGGTGAGCCAACTGCAACGCCTGATACCGCATCAGCCAGGAATAGTGCGGACGAATTAAATACGTCTGCAACCGATCCTTCGCATTCAACAGATAGTGCCAGCGCGAGCCCGTTGTCAGCGAAAGCGAAAGGTAAAACGCCAGTTCACAAGACAGGGAAAGGGAAACGGCGGCGATAGTATTTCAATCATGGTATATTATTGTAGTGTCCACCTCTTGGTGACGGTGAATATCAATGTAGATAACTATCTATGCATAAATTCAATAGTGGGGATGGTGTGAAAGCCTCCCTACCCATACTCCGTTCAGCATCTATTTGGACCCTGCTTTCATATTGTCTGGTTTTAAAGGGGATCTACTTGCCATTTCCGCCGCTGCTTTGACGCCTTTACTCCATTCTCTTTGGACCTGAGCGTCTGGCATGGAAAGTACTAGATATTTCCCATTGACCAAATGGATACAGACAATATCTGGACGAGACGTGCCGTATCCAGTTCGTGGACGGGTGACCACCGCATGACGAAGGCTGTGAGTCGAAATGGGTGATGAAGACGGTTTTTTCTGTCAGGAATGTCAGTCAGAGGTCCTTTCAATACATGTAGCAGTGATTCCTCTTTGTACCTGGTAGACCACTTCGCCGTTCCTCCCTCTACATTTCCAAACCTCCCAAACCGCCACCTTCCATCCATCATCAGGTACCAACTCAATCCAAACTCGCCGCCAGGCAGTCTCCCCAGATGCACCCGCCAGTGGAATCACGCTATTAGATTTCCATGCTTTGGATGATAGTAGATTGGAAAGTTTGCTTCGAGATGAGAAAGATGGATCCATGCCTGGTTCCCACTCTTCACGAATTTCGCAGGCAGTTGGTGACGGGTGAAGCGGATTCCGGGCGCTAGGATGCTCGTTTGGATGTGGATATGCTATTGGGTTGGAATCTGGAGTGTGGCTGGGAGGACCTGACGGGGGAGGTAATGCTGGGGTGCCTGGACCATTAGGACCGGGGGCATTGGGGAAGGAATTTGTCACCGCTGATCCAGCAGGGTGTGACTTTTGAGTATGAATACTATGGAGATTGACGTTCTCGTCAGAAGAACCTGGATACTCCACATCAGATGCAGTGTCGCGGGAGGTTGGAAACATGTCCCGTCGCCCCTTCCGCACATCAGAGTCCTCGATTGAGTTGCTATGTGAGCTTGATACGTCTGTGCAGTCTGAATAACAGCGACGGTGGGGAGCTGGGCTTGGAAAATTGTCGTACTGCTGATCCGGGATCATTTCCTGCTCCTGAACGTTCGCGGGAGGCTTGATGCCGGGTACTGTAATGGCATGAAGGACAGCCGATTCTTGATCTTTCATGTTCACCTGACCATTATCAGCAGAGTATTGGAAACACTCAAAATTGTACGGTGGTGGAGGCTCCATGTCTGCCAGTGTGGGTTCTGTGGCACACGCGTACGCCTCAGCCGCTTTACCATGTCTGCCAGAATTGTCGCCTGCTACCCGCAAATCTGCGTCACTAGACGGTGATAGGCGAAGATCAAGGCTACGCTGCCCGTCTGAAACGTTAGATACATTGAAGAAGGTCCTGCCTTCCACAGGCTGCCCATCATCGTTCTCCTCCGCAAACACTTCAGGCATAGTTGTCGGGACGCTTGGGGCGCGCGAAATGAGGGTCTCCACGTCCTCAGTTCGTCGTCGTTGCGGAGTTGTGGTTGGTGGATTAAACGATTGCTGCGAGTTTCGCAGAGGTAGTTCCGGGACGATAATGTCACGAAAACTAGAGGTTTCCTCGATGGATGGTACATTGCCAGCTGCATTTCTGTCATCAGTAGGAAGAGGAGGAACAGGGCGTTTCACTTTCTTTTCATTACGTTGGGGAAGAGGTGGTGCCTCCATAGCGATGATGAGAGTTTGGTGAAAGCAAATACGACAAAGGAAAACGGGCAATAGTCGGAAATAGCCTCTTGGCAGATTAGGTAACATGATCACGTGTAAATTCACGTGCCTCCCACCAGAACAAATTCGGCTCCTTCCAACCTTCACAACCACACGCAAGTTGCACGCTGCAACTCCACAGAACATTCACAATGGCGGCGACACACGAACCTATGCAGGTGAGGTTTCAAAAGCTCCCAATCGAGTGAGCATACTCATGTAAAGAGAGAAGGAAAAGCTCACCTGTTGACTGGGGGATTCCGTACGACAGATTTCACCGATGCCCACCATCGATCCCGACCTGAACGTCTACGGTATGGTTAAACCTCTGGGAGATGTGGAGTTTGAGGACAGGGGAACAGGGGAACGTGCTGGAATCCCTGGGGGAGAGCAAAGAATAGATTGAGCTTGCAGATGAGCAAAGTGCTTTACGCACAATAGTGCTCACAACTGGTTGTTGAGTCAACCTCTTCGTCCCACTTTTTCTAACCGTTCTGTTGTTCCAGATCGGGCAGCTGTGGTGAAATCGCGTGACGAATTCTTCCGCGAACAAATGGTCCGTATTCAGGAAGTGACGGTGCTTCGCGACAAGATGCGCTGGTGTTACAGGCGGGAGGGTGTCAACCATTTGCAAAACTGCAGACACCTGTCTCAACAGTACCTTGACTTGATGAAGGAGATGAGGACCGGATGGATTAAACCATTTAAATTGTCTGGTCCGCCGATACCTGAACGTGTACCCACCGCGCATGAAGCTGAATGAAGGGTTGGAATTAGCAGAAGGCAACATATGGTAAGGTTAACAAGTGAAGATACGCCTCTTCTATGTATACCGAAACACTAAGAATACTGCTTGTAAAATTGCAGGTAGACTTATGTACCTCGTGTATCAACAATAAAGCATATATTCACAAAAATGCGCAATTCGGCTGAGTTGCTAGAGTTTCCGTCTTGTAGGGCGAGCAAAACGTACGAATCAATGATAAACTTGGAACCCCGCTTCGCATCTACAACCCAAATTCCATTTTTGCATTGCACCCAACCCAGTTTATGGTGGCCAATTTGATATCTATAGACATGATTGAAATGTAAAGATCCCTCAGACTCGAGTAGGCCAATAATGACTTATGTGCGGCAATATTGTATTGTTACATCCGGGACATTATAACAGGTTAACTACTGTTGAGTAATTCCCGCCGTCCAGAGATGGGCCTGTCGCACGACGACCCCCCTCCTTCTGTGACCTTCTACCATCCCTCCCGTATCTCACACTTCAAACATTAACAAGAAAGCCCACCCAGCAACAGCGCTTAGTGACCGAGAGTTGAGAGAGTTTGCTTCACAGCGGTCAGGTCCTTTTGTGCGTTTGTGGCAGCCTGAGCCCGAACACGGAGAAGAGCCTTCTTCTGAAGGTAGTAAGCGTGAGACTTGGTCTTGCGCTTCTGCTCCAGCTTCTCAACGACGTCCTGGTATTTCCAGCCGAATTCGCTGGAGATGCGCTTGAGAACGGTGAACTTGCGACCGGGAGAGAGACGGAGCACACGGAGGGCGTCAGGGACGACCAAACGCTTCTGCTTGTCGTACGGGGGAGGGACACCCTCGAAGACCTTCAAGCGCTCAAGGGCAGCAGCACCACGGGCGGTCTTGTGCGGGACCATACCACGAACGGTGCGCCAGAAGATGCGGGAAGGAGCACGGAAGTGGAAGACACCTCGGGCAGGGTTGACAACGCAACGCTTACGGAGGAAAGCCATGTACTTCACTAGAAATCACCGAGAGGGGATGAGGTTCTGCCACCACCAAGAAGAATATGCGAAAAAAAAATAGTACGTACACTTGTTGCGGAAGAAGGGTCCGCTGATGTTGATCTCCTCAGCACGGACAATAATAATCTTCTGGCCGTTGAGCAACTGTTTGGCAACAATCGATGCCAAACGACCGAGCAAGTGGCCCTTGCCGTCAATAACAACCTCCTATGCAAAAGAAAAACAGCACGCGGTTAATAAGCTAGTTTACGAACATTATCAGCTTCACGGTGTGTCCGGACACCCTCCCAGTCTATGAGAACGAAAAGGCGGCCCTCGTCCACAATTTCCACCGTTCGTCCATTTCACAGATCACTACTCCGTCCACAGGTCCGTCAGACCCTCCAAATGAATTTTCCATTTCTGCTCTCAGACGGTTCTCGACAGTAATAAAAACCGTTCACTCCGAACCCACACTTGCTTCCAACTGCATGAGACCCGAAAGACCCCCGCTCCCCCTCGATAGTGTTTCTACGCCTGTACCTTCTGGAACGTGGACATCTTTCTTCTTTTTTGGGGGGTTAACGTGCCGTATCGAAGATTTCGAACGACGTGCGTTATCGGGCTTCTCAGAATTAGAAGGGAAGGAAAAGGGAAGGCCTCTTGCTGGACGTTGCCGACAACGACCACGACAAACAAACGAGGCCCAATGTGGCGCGGCAGCAAGAAAAGTCAGGTGAAATGTGCTGATTGGCTACTTTTATGGCACAGTTTGATTGGTTAAATGAATATCACGTGATTTTGCTTACGTTTGCATGCAAGAATTAATGATATTATGAAAGTATAAACAAATGAAAAGGTCTCAAGAAAATAAACTATCCACCATTAGAGCAGCTGCTCAATCATTCCCCCATCAGAATCAGAATCAGAATCCTCCATCTCCTCAATAACATAGTCCTTTGCATCCACAGACTTTAATCTCTTTGCAACCGGAATCGGCAGATTGGTTGACCCTCCATCCTCTTCGTCTCTACATAGCATCTGAACCAATCGTTCGATAGCTTCTTGCACTTTCTCATCTTTTTCCTGTAGATGAAGCTTTTGTACCACAGGATACACCTTTTTGGCCCGAAGAATCTCACGTCCTTGTCGTGTAGTGGTCAGAAGGAGTAGAATTTCAACAAGGGCAAGTCGTAACTTGGCATCCTGCTCACGTTCCTTGTCTGGTTCCAGAAGCTGCAACTCGTCTGGCATTCCTTCCATTTCCTTAAAAATCAAAAATCCATATCAATCACTGCGGGTCAATTCATCATTCAGCTTCGTCGCACCTCATCTGTATAATCTTCCGGCCCAGATAGAGGAAGAAGGAGATATGGCAACAAATTCAGCTCAGTATCAGTGAGTAATAGTGCGTGTCCTTCTGGTTCAAAAGCTGTATTCTTGATTGTATGGATGGCGGCACTACGGCGGATACGGTTGGGGTGCTCGGTAAATGGCACCATCTTACTCAATCGTAACGCTCCGTCAACTCCCGTCCGTCCTCGGAACCATGCCGCTCCGGCTGGTGTCATCGCCACATTTGACAGCACCCCACCAAGGAAATGATATTCGGCGTCCGGATTATATCCCTTCCCTGCACCCCTCACAAAGACTTCCAGCAGATTGTCGAGGTAATGGGTTTTTAGTTTGGTGGTGGAGGGATTAGGTTGTGTGGAAGGAGTTGGGATAGGAGACGTGGATTCCGCTGATGGGCTGGGCGCAGCTGCTGATCGTGAGATATCCGCGACGAGTTTCCGTGCCACAGAGTTACTTTCGGAAAGATTGTTTAACAACATACAACATAGATCGGCTACTACATTTCGAGGTAACTAGTCAGATATAAAGAAGCACAAAGATAAGTATTAGTATGAAGACATATTTGGGTGATACGATATGATCTACATACCACAATCAGCAATATCAGGTCATAAAGGAAATCTTCATTGTCCATAACGGAAACAAAGACAGGGTCCACGCACAGGTTGATTAAAGCACTGAGTGCATCATGAGCTGCCAGCTAAAAAGAAATCCATGGTGTCAACTTTTGCTTGCGGAACTGAACCATAGATCACACCAACCGGCTCTCCCTTGGTCAATGCCATTAGATCCTTTACTACTCGACAGCCATCTTTCTTGAAAAAGGGAAGAAATTCCGGCGTTGTAGTGAGTCCTGCAATATTCTTTGCTGCTAGTTGCCGCACCTAATATAGGATTGGGTTAAGCTTCGGGAGAAAATTGCTTTCAAAACGGAATTTTGCATACATCTGGTCTAGGATCTCTTAGAAAGGAAAAAAGCTATGAACGATATTTACCAACAGGTTAGCAACGCGAAATCGGATGTTCGAAAGCTACATTTTCCATACTTCGTCTAGTTGTGCCTCCATATCTGCAGCAGCAAGGTGAGGTGGTGAACACACGACAGATTGTCCAAGAAGAGAGGCGAGTTGCTGTGGCAACAGGCGCTTTCGTAAGCACCCTCAGACGGGAGCAACCCCACAGACTGTCCTTGCCACCACAAAGCATGGTGCCCACATCCATTGAATTGGGTTTGGACCGCATCAACCGCCTTCTAGCCGCTCTAGACAGCCCTCAAACCAAATTTCCGGTCATACACGTAGCCGGTACCAATGGCAAAGGATCAGTGACTGCATGCATATCAGCAATCCTCACGCATGCAGGTTACAGAACTGGCCGCTTCAATTCGCCCCACCTGGTTTCTCCCCTTGATGTAATTCGCATTAATGACCGTATCATAGCCAAAGATTTGTATGCGACATGCTACGGGAAAGCATTCAGGGCTGACGAAGAGAATGCAATTGGGGCCAGCTTGTTTGAAATTCAGACAGCGACAGCCTTTTTGGTATTTGCGGAGCAACATGTCGATATAGCGATATTGGAAGTTGGGTTGGGTGGGAGATTAGACGCGACCAATGTTTGCTGTAGTCCATTAGTGTGCGTTTTTACTGCGATCGGTATGGACCATGTAGATCTCCTTGGGGACACAATCGAAAAGATTGCCGCAGAGAAGGGTGGCATCATCAAACCGGGAGCAATGGTCGTCATTGGACCACAGGTCGAAGAAGAAGTAACTCCTGTTCTAATACGCATGGCCGCCGCGCACAACTGTCCAGTCCACATTGCTTCTCCTGCCGTTCGCCCATCGGACTCAGACTTGATCGAGGTCCAATACAACGGCCAAATTGTCCGCACTCCTTTAGCTCTTCTCGGCGCCTTTCAGTTGTCAAATGCTGCGACAGCGCTGAAAGCCATTGATGTGCTCACCTCTGCGCATCCTCAATTCAAGGTCCCAATTGACGCAATCACGTCTGGGATGTCCACAGTACGATGGGCTGGAAGGCTGGAATGGGTCGATATCCCAGGTTTGGGTAGGATACTGATTGATGGTGCGCACAACCCCCCGGCAGCGGAAGCCTTAGCCGACTTTGTTAGCAATCAACGCAGTAAAACAAAAGACGGGCGTGTAGGATGGATAGTGGGCTTGACGCAAGGGAAGGACTTGGAAGGCCTGCTGAGCTACCTTCTGAAAGAGGGTGACAGCCTCTATGCTGTCCCCTTTAGTCAGCCAGAACAGATGCCATGGATCCGATGTATACCAGCCGATTCGATACGGGAACGAGTAGTCAATTCATTCTCGGGTGTCCATTGTCTGTCATTCCCAAGCCTATCACAATGCTTAAATGCGCTGGGACAGGACGAGACTCGGCCTAATCTTTTGGTTCTCTGTGGGTCTTTGTATCTGGTCGCAGACTTATATCGTTTATACTCTATACCGTCATGAAAGTGGAAGGTCCCCGTAGTCGAATCTTTGATAATATATACTTGGTGTAATGCTTATACATAGAATAAAGTGAACGAACTCTTATCGCTGCTTTGTTCTGTCCCCTTCCCCACCAGCGAAGATGCTTGTATTATGCTCCGCCACTTGCATCCACCTCTCCTTTTTTCTCTTGCCCTCGATGTACCTCATACTGTGTGGAATCAACCAGTTAATTCATTGCCTCGCAGCATTTGAGCAAATCTGATAGTAGCTCACCTCTCATCGTAAGATCTTGGCATGACGCGAGGAACTGACCCCCCGTCTAAGGCCATGAACGTAAAATGAAACGTATTCGTGGTGCTTTGCTCGTCACTGATCGGATCTAATACATCTGCCCGAACCTTGACTTGGAAACTACGAGACGGCGACCCGGAGGAATAGGTTACTTGAGACGTGAGACTAAGTAGTGATCCAACGTGCACTGGTTTACGGAAGCTGATATCGTCGAGGGCAACAAAGTGTATCCGTGATCTGCAAAAGATGAGACCAGTCGAGTGGGCTAACTCGTATGCGAGACGGATCAGATAGCCACCAAATACGTTTCCGTGAATATTGCGGTCTTGAGGCATGCACATAACGAGGCTTTGTTTTAAAGTATCTTTCATCCATTTCACATCTTCTGGCATGTCCCTGTTGTAGGTTGGATCCAAATATTGGATGTACTCTTTATATAGGTCATGTACCAGGGACATCTAAGAGCAAAGGGGTGAGATCTATTGAAAAGAGAATGTTGCAGGAGATTGATGATTACCTCTTCAAAACTTGGGGGTATTAGGCTTAAGTCAAACCTTCTCTCGGCGACCTTTCGAGCTTTGTGCTCTAAACACGGACTCGGTTAGCTCGCCAGCTTGGCTTCAAGACAGTTTCGGGAATTAAGGCTCACCAGCTCCCAGTTTAAATAATCGGCGCTCTTCCTCTGTTTCCAGCTTCAACTGATTGATGGCCGCGGCCTTTCCAGTGTACGGATCTCTTGCAACCTAATCATGCGTACGTTATCAATAGGTATTTTCGCAATGAGTAAGACGGGAATGACTTCACCATTGAAAACTTTGCCGCAAGAATTGGCTTGCCAGGGACACGCTGGTCCGCCGATGGTTGGCCAACTCCAAACGCGGATTGACCTGACTGCGGGGCTCCCTCTGGCACTGTCTCGACCCAGCAGCTGACCTCCATTGATGATGTTCCTACCCCTATATCTCAGTTAACATATGCACGCTTAAATGCATCACCAGATGCACTTACATGTGACATGGCCACTAATCCTAATATCTTCATCAGGTGGTATGACATCCAACATGTCAATGCGATCAAGACTCGCTAGGATGTATAATCAGTGTGTGTGTCTCCAGGCGCTTCTAGAACCATCTTCATGATATTCACCTGTTACAATGGTCAACGGAATCGTCTCTGATCGCCCATCATCACAATGCAAGTACCCAATCGATCCAGCTAGGGCATCAAGGTCTTCAAGGATCTTCCCGATCCGAATTCCACCATATACATTGAGATACTCTTCTTTGACATCCGGCTCGGTTTTGAAAAGAAGATATTCCTCAATATAAGAGTCTTTCATTTTCTTTTCAAGAATGACTGGTATGTCGGTCTGGCTTTCACCCGACTCTGCCCGCTTTTCCAGCGCTTGTTGTTGCTTTTCAGCGAGAAACCGATTGATCCACATACTAGATTCGTTTGACTGCATTAGGAAAGAGCACCAAAAAGCATTTATAGTGACAGTGGAGGGACATGTACCGATGTGTCGCAGACGTACGGTTGCGTACGTAGGGCAAAACCATCCACTTCCGTCGCGTTGCTGCTTCAGTTTGCATGGCGTCTGAAAATGAACGACAAGAGGACTGTAAGCATCAAAAGAGAAGCTATGAGTTAGTCGTTCCATTACTTTTTGCGCCATTTAACTTGGTTCTGCTGTCTTCGGCCGCGGCGAAGGGAACCAGGTGCAATTCTCGGCAGAGCATCGGCTGGCAAGCGATGCGCTTCAGCCCCATGGTGTTGTGGGAACCTGGACCTGCAAGCAGTCCTAAACGATAGGACCTACGCAGCATGTCTGTGGAATTCCTTACAGTGAAATGACGATGGAATAAATGGGGAGATCTACAAAGTTTTTGAAATTCCGATGACTGCCCAGAATGGCATCATTACGTGTGCACACGGTTGAGAATGACAACGCTTTGTATTTTCCCTTCCTTCAGTTTACTTACTTTTGACTAGACGATGCCAACAGCTCCCGTCCCAGACGCAAGCGAGGATGAAGCTAATTTCCATGCAGCTGCAAAGTATCTTGCGTCACGGCAAGACCTGCATTTGAGCAATGAGATCATGTTACAGGTTTGTTGAAAGAAATGCTGTTTAGGACTTGCGTTCTTTTTGGGTATGAATGTAACTAGATGCCAAGTGCGTTAATAGTTTTACGCGTTATACAAAGTTGCGACTGTTGGATCATGCAACGTTCCAAAGCCAGGCTTCTTTGACTTTGCGGGGAAGGCCAAGGTTGGCAGTCGATGGAGCTCAATCGATATTCAACACAGGCCGTTTTCTGACTTCCACTACGTTCAAAGTGGGATGCATGGGCTTCTTTAGGAGATTTGCCCAAGCAAGAAGCAATGTCACGATATGTGAGATTCGTTGCTGAGCATGCTGGCTGGAAGCCGGGTGAGAGCGATCGCGAGGTTAGTTGGTAGCTCCAGGAGTCTCTTCATTTCCTTGCACCAACTGTATTGCATATCTCCAGACTACGGATAGCGAAACATCACCACGCACACGCCCTGAAAAGACTGACAAGTCTACCGGTGTATCAGTTAGTACAATGGCCAATGACCGTGAAGAGATTAGGTATGTGGACATAAATCCATGCTACCAAGTCAAATACGAAACTAACTGGTCCGTCAAGTGATGCCGACAAGACAATATGGAACTGGGCCGAGGAAGGGGTAATTGAGAAGGTCGTTGATATGATTGATGCCAAGCGTGCCGATGTCAATCAAGTGGATGATCAAGGGATGACCTTATTGCACTGGGCCGCGGATCGAGGGTATGTGGAACTGACCAAGATACTACTGGAGCGAGGTGCATCCGTTGATGCACAAGATAATGAGGGCCAAACACCACTACATTATGGTAAGAAAACACATGAAATACCCGTGTCACGCCACTTTGATTGATATCTCTCGTATAGCTGTCATTATTGAAAATGAGGATATTGTGAGAAAGCTTATTGCTAGTGGGGCAAGTTCAGCAATACGGGACTTCAATGATGAAACGCCACTGGATTCTGCCTCAGAAGGCATTAAGAGTGTTATAGTAATTGAATCTTCAAAATTATCAAAAGGATAGAAATCTTCTACGGCGTAATATCCATCCACCTCTAATGTTGTTCCTATTCGTCCTGGGTTCATGTCCAGATAAATGGACTTGCAACAACGGCACGTAGCATCCGCGCAGGTTTCAAAGGGGGCGGAAGGTTGGGATAGAATGCCAGAAACCACGTTGCATGGCGAAATGCCAGCACGCAACCAACGATCATTAACATAAGCTTGCTCGGCACCAGTCTTGCATGGCGCACCGCCAGATAAAGTTACAACCTGGCAGTCCAGACGATTCGAGCTTTGGCCTTATCGATTATCATAGTCCGAGTGCGCGACAGATACACTACAAGTATCAGATATGATGAGATCTTGTATCGGATCCTTTTCTTGTTTTTGTATCTGATCATGTACTTCAGTAAGGCAATTGGAACTGTTTGGATTATTAACATACACATCCCAATGTCATTTTTCACAAAGCATATAATGTATTGATATTCAACAAAAATTGCAGACCCCTCCTAGTCATTGTAACCTGAGACCTTTAATGAGCCAACTTGCTTTCTCAAGCCCTTGGGATGGCCCGCCTTTTCGTCCAGATCCTCCTGCCTACTCTTTCCGCCCTTGAAAACTGGCCGCTCACCGTGTGGAGTGACGCGAATGGCATGCCGCTTTTCTGGCCAAAAGTCGTAGGTAGCTGAGTGTATCGTGGATCTGTTGTCCCAGATTGCCACGGCATCCTTTGACCACTTCCAGCGGACAGTCACATCCACGGATTGCGAGATCAGCTTGAAGAGGAACGAAAGAATAGCCTCAGACTCGGCTTTAGGAACTCCAACGATCGAGCGAGTGAATCCTGGATTAACAAAGACAGACTTCCATCCCGTAACGGGGTGCGTCCGGACTAGCGGATGGACAGTAGTGATAGGATCACGGCGAACCGTTGTTCCAGAGGCCTGGGCGCCCTGTGCTTGCTCGTGAGCTGAGTGAATGGCGCTCAATCCCTCGAGATACTGCTGGAAGGCGGGTGAAAGCTGGTCGTAGACTGCATATCCCGACACCCAGAGAGTGTCACCGCCACCACCAGGAGGGGTGGTGATTACCCTAAATGAGGTATAAGCGGGAGGTTGAAGCTCGTATGTGACATCCGAATGCCAAAGTTCTTGCTGTGTAAACTGGTTGTTTCGTGGAGGTCGCTTTCCGTCAGCGTAAACAACGTGAATTTCCTCAAGACCTGCTTTCTTCGGGAGACCGGTGGTAGCGTGCTTATGAAGCTTGCCCCAGTATCGACCAAGATCCAGCTGTTTCTCGACAGTAAAGTCCGATTGGTCACGAACAAAGACCACACCGCGGTGGGCTACCAACCGAGCCAGATCGTCCTTCTGCTCGTTGGTGAGATCCGCTAGACGCACTCCCTTGAGTTCAGTTCCAATGGTAGGAAGTACGTTCTCAGCTGTAACGCTATTGCTAAGAAGCCGCGAGTACTTTTCATCCCCGAACAGCCCGCGATCGGGGTCGACCTCAAACTCAGCTAAAGGTTCCCACTTAACGTCGGGAAAGCTGGGAAGGAGGTAGTCATACTCGTAGCTAGTTTCCTCAGTTGTATCAAAAGCTTCGGCGTAAGTAGGTGCAGGAATCGCATATGAAGGGATATCAGTTCCAGTTTGGCTTTTAGCTGTTGCTTTGATATCGCTGATTAAGGTAGCTTGGTCCGGAAGAGCCGCCGTTTCTGCGAGTGCGTGTGGAGGGGCCATGTTCTTACTCAGATAGCAATGTCAAAGATGATTCTGGATTCTGGTGCCTGTGATGCACTGGCTTTTGGAAAAGACCGCTGCGACCGCCCTCCTTTTAAAAGACTTCGTTAAGGTGGGTATGCTGTTCGCGATCGTGGCGCAGTGAGTTAGGTAAGGAACGCGATCGCGCAATTTGAGAAAGACTTCAAAGCATCACCGCAACCCCAACACGTTCGCGAGTACGACGGACCCCCCACGGTTTGCATTTCTAAGCTCATTCGCAATCACGAGCTTTGATGGTGGGGGAAGGAGGGGGTAATGGGTGGGAGATCCATGTTCCACTATTTGTATTATTCATCTTGTGGCAGAGTGATGGAGATTGATGGTTTTATGTTTCCTAAATGGGGAAATCTGTCAGGTAATGGTCAAGCGTTTGTGTGTGCCGATTCAAGCATGCTATCATGGAAGAGTGGGGGATTTTCGAATCCAATCGTGTCCAATTACGAACTTTGGGGGTCTGCGGACTGAAGTGATCGAATGACGATTGAGAGATGAGATGCAATCACTCATGCTATCTGATCACTTTTATTGCTGGCAGTCATTTGTGCTCTGAAAGTTGCTTGGATCCTGCCAGGGACCTCGTGCCTCCCGGAGCCACCAGGGGAATATCCATTCTTCAGCATCGACGGAAATTGACGTGCCATTCTTGATTAGTAACTGTAAAGTTCCTGCTGTTGAGTGCTTTTCAAAATGTAATATTCTCATGCCATTCGAAGATGTTCCAAGCGTTCTTGGTGCAATCACCCATATGGTTGCTTGGGAGAGGACGTTTGTAGTCTAGCATGAATATCCGGCGCAAGCTGGTCCTCTAGGAGTAACCCTATTGAGCCATGCTGAAGAGATATTGGTGAAAAGCATCATTCGGGAGTTTAAGCAACTCGGCTTCGAAATCGCTTTCATCATGTGGATTATTGTTAGCTATCTTCGCTGCTCAAAGTCTTTGACAACTGGAGGACTCTTGTGTGGTTGGTTCAAACCAAAATTAGGCGCTGTCTCAAACTACTGTACACACGCGTACGCCGTTCTGCAGAAACTGAGCAATCCCATCGCAAATACATTCAGCACCAAGAAGGTGCCCTTTACACATTTCAGAATGTCACATCAGAGCGGAATACAACGTAAGACGTTTGGGGCCCGGTCGGTCTTCAGCAGGGAAAAGTGGCATCTTGACCAATGCATTCACAGCATCCGAAGAGCTTCTTACAACATTCAACAATGCATTGCAAACGACAGACCAGCGTGCCATCAAAGTTGTCATTTCTGAGGGTTCGTCCTTGTATCTTCCATATTGTCCTCCAATGTTCCATAATCAACACTTTTTACTTTTCTTTGAAGAGGTCATGACCGTTTCTGACACTTTGCCAGTGAAGGGAAGCTGGGAGGAAGGTAAAAGTCGTTTGCATGGGTTTGAACCAATATGCTTTCCATAAAAGTAATGCAAGAGTGGAACAGATTTTCCCCTCCTATCGGCTTGGTTTGGGCCCACAGAACCCTGCTTCGTTCTGTGCCGGATGGATTCAACTCTGCCAAGTGGAGATTTTGAATGGATCTTGCTGCAATATGTCCCTGATTATGCCAAAGTATGTGATATTCTTGTGTGTCTTTGTATGACATACCCTTTATGCGGCATGTTCACTCATAATCACATCAATGTGCATGTAGGTCCGAGATAAAATGTTGTATGCATCAACAAAGGCGACTTTGACAAAGGAATTGGGCGACTCAAAGTTTGTGGACACCTTGTACGGAACAACACCGGTACAATTTATGGTGTTCATTCATAGCAGGAAACCTAATACTGAAAGGACACCAAATCCAGGCTGAAATGTCGCTTGATGGGTATCGTAAGCACATTATACACAAGGAGGCAGATGTGCCATTGACGGAACGTGAAATCGAAGCTCAAGCCGTTAGATTGGCAGAGGTGGGAGGGTGCTTGCGAGATGCTATTTATACCTTGGAAGCTAATGGGTCGACAGTCGAGTGCAGACATTGGAATGTCGTCACGGAGATCTCATGCCCAAGGCGTGACATTCCCCTTTTCGGATACGGCTAAGGGCGCTTTGCGACAACTGAAGGATGGGAAAGCGAATGTGGTTGTACTGGTGAGATGATCATGGTGTTTAACTCAGCCAACCGATCGATCATGACAATACGAACGGATTTTCAGTCGGTAGACTTGTCCCAAGAATGCATGGAACTTGATACGGCAGGGGATACGACTTTGTCAGAGCTACCGTCAGTCATTGAGCCCTCAGTTCCACGTTTTGTATTTTTCACTTTCCAAAATACCGAATACAATGGCGCGCCTTCCTCCCTAAGTGGGTTCCCAAGCATAGATAGAACACTTCACTTCGCTGATTACTAAACTATAACAGTCTTCATTTATGTTTGCCCGCCTGAGTCGAAAGTGAAGGAGCGCATGCTGTATTCCTCTTCTCGTGCCAGCGTTGTTGCGTATGTAGAAGGTGAATTGCAGTTAAATGTGGTAAAAAAGGTAACTTGGAAATTACTTCTTCGTATGAATGGACGACCAACTGATTATTAAATTCAATATAGTTCGAGGTTGACTCTGTCGACGAGGTGGATGAAGCCACTTTAACAGAAGAGCTCTACCCGAAACAACAGGGTACACCAGGAATGACGAAGCGTGCGTTTGCACGGCCGACTCGACCGGGAAGAGGTCCTGCGCGCGTATCACGGGCAGGGACTCCTTCCTCTACTGGGAGTGCAGATACTTCTTAGGATCAATGGAAAATGTAGATTTCGAAAACATTTGAGATCCCTTTTTATTTAGACCGGCGACAATCTCAAGTTTTACGCCGTGTCAAATGGTCGTATATGACCACCTGTGTGTGCTCATCGGTCTCAATTTCTGTTCGCGTCGTGTTATCACCTGGTTTTGGCTCCTTGAACGCGAGGAGGAAGATTAACTTGAAGGAAATATACTCTGGTGCCAATAGAACAAGACATCTCTCATCTTTCAATCCACAGACATACCTTCGGGTCAACGTTTATGATTTTCCTATCTCTTTTATTTTTAAACAAGAGTCCGTTCTCATTGTCTGCAATCACCTGAAAATTTGGGGTGGCATTACTCGTACAGGTTTGCGTCTCCCAATTATAAAAGCTCATGTCAGATGGGCGGGGCATCAAAACTTTTGCACGCGAGAAGTATGGTTCGAAATTCTCGGTCTTTAAGCGATAAGCGTAATCAATGTAGCCGGATATCTCTTGCGACTTGTTGTTGCGGGTTCGTATGAAAATTATGGACTGTGGTGGTAACCAGTGAATATATGCAAGACAGATGATTACTCTCAAATTACCAACTCAACTTTTACCTACAGTGAGTTTCCCACTTCTGTTGGCTTCTTCCCTATCTGCAAGGGCTTGAAGAAAGAGAGATTTCGATAGATCCTTTCCCTGGGATGCCAGGACTTTAGTCGCTAACCGTTTCGACAATCGGAAATTCTCTGCCGCCTTCTTTCTCGATTCGAATTCTTCCCTCTTCAAGGGCTCGCCTGAACCTCTGTATCCCAGTTCAACCAGCTGTCGTGCTAGTTCTTTGTCCTTTTTATAATACGGGTTACCGTGGACCCCCCGCAGGATATGAAATCGGGACATATCTTACTTCCAAGTAATACAAGTCTATAGCAGTAATTTGACTGTCAAGATATTCTTCATAAGTACCAAATTCAGCAATGGTATTATCGCCTGGACCGTTAGGGAGGTCCCCCAATTCGTCGGCCATTCTGCGGTCTCAAAGCCCGTCGTCAGTTGAGAGTTCTAAACTCAAAGAGTTGCTCAACTGTGTCGGAGGCAGCTTACGAGAAAGTCACGTGATTGTATCACCGATTCCTCATTGGCGACTTCTTTTTGGGCAAGTTGATACCAGAGTTGATGCTTGACCTTTCGCAACGTTTTCCAGCGATTTTTTCAAGCGCATTTTGACCTTCAGACGGCTCCATCCTTGTATTCAGTCATTCTCAGATCGATAGCTTCTTAGTGTAAACGGTTCCTACGGCATTTTTTCCCATCTTCTCGGCCATTCGGCAGTACAGCTGCACCAAGAGTGCAATGGCAGCAGACAATTCAGGAGCAGAGCTCGAGGCTGAGAGAACAAACGAACAGCAAGAGACAATAGAAAAGAAAAGCAATGCTGCTCGTCGAAAGTCCAAGTCGAAAGGGATAGCACCAGAGGAGCTGATAACGAATGAGAAGAAAGAGATCCCCAATACAAGCTCGACAGATAAAAAGCAGGCTGCTGCATCAAAAAAGTATGATCGTGCAGGAATAACCACCATTTCCTTGAAAGTGAGTAGAGTGAAGGAAGGAATGGGTGGCATCTTAAGCATGATTTTGACAAGCTACTTTTGCAGGGCGTGGGGGATAAGAAGCTGAAAGGGAAGCTCAAGAGGTCGGAGAAAGCGGCGCGCGAGGCAGCGTACAAAGCTGCTCAAGCTGAAGTACTGCTTCCAGCTGAGGCTGGATTTTTGGAAGCAGAGGGTCTGGAGAAAACATGGAAGTTCACACAGAATCAGCTCAAGGACAACTTGGATGCAAATACCAGTAAGAACGTTTTTGACCTCAAGCTGAAAGATTTTGGCCCGTACACGATGGACTACACTCGGAATGGACGACATATGCTGATTGGGGGACGGAAAGGGCATATCGCTACATTTGACTGGAAGACGGGAAAGCTCGGCTGCGAACTTCATGTCAAAGAAACCATCCGTGATGTGAAATGGCTACATAATGAAACGATGTTTGCTGTGGCACAGAAAAAGTACACGTATATCTACGACAACACTGGTTTGGAAATTCACTGCTTGAGACAACATACTGAGATAAATAAGCTGGAATTCCTACCGTACCATTTCCTCCTGGTTACCGTGGGCAACGCCGGATGGCTAAAGTATCAAGATACATCTACCGGCAAACTCGTTGCAGAGCTTCGTACAAAGTTGGGACGGTGCGATACAATGTCCCAAAACCCGTATAATGCCGTCGTACATCTCGGTCACTCTAACGGGACGGTTACATTGTGGGCCCCCACGGTGTCGACCCCCTTAGTGAAAATGCTATGTCACAAAGGGCCTGTGCAGGGAATTGCGCTTGATCGAGGAGGAAACTATATGGCCACTACTGGATTAGATGGCCAAATGAAGCTTTGGGATATCCGCACGTATAAATGTCTTCAATCGTACTACACTCGAACTCCTGCTGCCACATTGTCGATATCACAACAGGGACTCTTGGCGGTTGGATACGGACCGAACATTAGCGTATGTGATTTACTTAGTTGCATTGTGCGTCGTGCTTATCATCATTCTTATCACACTGGGTTCCCTTCGTTATGCAGATTTGGAAAAATGCTTTCAAAACAAAGCAGAAGGAACCATATATGACTCACTTAAGCGCCGGCAATATTGTACAAGATATTAATTTCTGTCCTTACGAGGATGTCCTCGGATTTGGTCACAGCAGTGGCATATCTAGCATTGTTGTTCCCGGATCTGGTGAACCGAACTTTGATACTATGGAAGCCAATCCCTTCCAGACGAAAAAGCAGAGACAAGAAACCGAAGTTCATAACCTACTCGATAAGGTTCAGCCTGAGATGATTGCCCTAAACCCAGAGTTTATCGGTGCTGTTGATCGGGCACCGGCGGAAGTCATTGCGGAGGAGAGGAGGCTGGAATGGGAGGTAGGAAAGACCTTCATGTAGTTCGACGCAGCAATACTACTGGACAGTTGTTCACCGGTGCTGTTTGCAGGCAAATCACCCCAACCAAAAGTTTGTCCCCCAGCACCGTGCTCGAGGAAAGTCCTCCTCTATGCGACGATACTTGCGCAAACAATCGAATGTCCTGGATGCAAAGAAGGTATATTTTGGATTTCTATCGCTGTTCTCTTCTCTTGTTATTGATATTTCGCATTTGAATTCGTTGCATCAGGTCGAGATGCAAGAGCGTCTCGAAAAGGAAAGAAGAGAGCGTGAGAAGGAGCGCAAGCGTGCGCGTGGGGAGGGAGAGCCAGAAATACCTCGGACGGCTCTAGATAGATTCACAAAGAAGATAAAAGTCTGAAGGTGTATTGGTCATTATTTAATTTTCATTAGCGAGTTTTTAAAGTTCAAGGCTGAGTTGCATATATGCATTCAACAGCACAAGGCTTGTTACCCAAATATCTGCCTACAAACACACTGGCAAGCGACTGACGTAAGCATCGATCACCCACGTAATCCATTTGTGCACAGTGGACTCTTTGGTTCATCGTCATGGTCAGTGGCAAGTTTTCTATGCAAGTGTCCAAATGAAGAGTATTTTGGCATGGCAAAGCTTAACAAGCTCCATAAGCGTCGCAGAGCCCTGCTCTTGGCGTTGGTGGGGTTCGACACGGCGCATCGCAAAGCCCTGGAGTGGCAAGCTCAATGACTCATCATGGCTCCTGGGGCTTCTTGGCGAGTGTTAAAAGACACAGCTTGTGGTCCGAATAAGGAAAGATAGTGGGATTTTGCATGGAGTGTGATGGGATATGTGACTATCGTAGCATATGCTTCAATTGCGCCCAATGAGCGCTTATCCATGAGCGCCCTATAAAAGGTGTCCTTGAGTTTGAGCTCCGTACCATTGGCAAAAACGCTTTCACACAAAGTCCAGATGCATCACTTTTGTCCATCAATCCTCTTTTCTGGTCTCATACTAGGCGGCTTTCTACCTCTGTTGGCCGCCGAATATCGTTCTTATGATGGGGTTGGCAATAACCCTGGCGGTCTCGCTGGCCTTTCACAGCTCCGGACACCGTTTAGCGGCGCATGGTACGATATTTCAGATCCCATCAATTATACCAACCGCATTATGGTATTGGAGACAACGGATCCGGTCCTTTCTGCACGTAATGTGTCCAATCAGATGGCCTCTGCTATGGTCACTGGTGGACCACGTAAAAATAGGAGGATGATCAATGATTTGCATACGATGTGGGGAGCCATGATTGGGCTGGATTATGTGTGAGTTTTGAAGTACATGCTTTGGTATTGAATCACGAACCTGGTCTTATAGATGCTGCAATTGGGTCATGTTCAGGAAGACGATGATGAACACCACCAACGTCACCATGTCGATCCCGAGGTAAAGTGTTCTTGTTGTGAGCGATTATAGTAGCTGGAACTCCAGAGCTGACACCAGTGACGCATCAGGTGCGATGGCTACTTTGACCCCGACTGCAGTGAGTACGAGTAGTGACCCATGTCACTACAAAATGAAATCCTCACCGCCCAAAATACTACCCGGTTGCTAATCCAACTTTTAGCCGGTATCAAGAATTTCACATTTCAACGGGCATTCACAAATGAAAGTGCCAATCCCGAAAGAACCGCACTCAATCTCGTCACTCCCTTCCTAGATGCCGGCGTCATTTACGGCACGAATGAAACCCGAGCGAGACTTTTACGAACCTTCATCAATGGCAAAATCGTTCTAGACTCTGATGAATTACCCCCACGAATTTCCGAAATGCCTGCACTGGACATGGTGGGTCCACCTCCTCCATCTCTCGCCACCCAGCTGGGAGATGCAAGTACCCGTGGTGCTCCACGAAGCGAAATGAGAGTGGGGGGCGATGCGATTTCAAATGTTAACACATTCGGGTTCGTGATTGTTACGTTATTTATGAGGGAACATAATCGATTGTGCGATCAATTTGCGAGCGAGCATATAGGGTGGGATGACGAGACCTTGTATCAAGAGGCCCGGAGATGGTAAGTGTTCTGGTATTTGGCATAACTACCTGTATCTTGTAGCTACGAGATTTTCGAGAAAATAATCATGCTGTTCAAAATTAAGGGTCATTGCTTTCATGCAACGCATCACTTACTACGAATATTTGCCGGCTCTTACGTCTCGCGTACTACCTACATACACTGGCTTCAACGCTAGCACGAATCCGCAAGTGACCATCTTCAATTCCGCATGCATTTTACGATACGGACATAGCGAAATGAATGATGCAATCGAACGGCTGGATGAGCGATACGTTCCTCACCCACGGGGTCCGATCTTGGTTCGGGATGCCCCTTTTGATCCCGATAAGGTGCTGGATGCTGGAATTGAACCTGTCTTGAGAGGACTTGTGTCTCAAGTGCAGAATCAAGTGGATTGGGAAGTCACTGGCGATTTACGGAACTGGATGTTTGGGCACCCAGCGGGAATGCCGGGTGTTGATATGATTGCGCTGGATATTCAAAGGGTTAGTTAAAAGAGACCCGATGATTTAATTCTATATTCACATTTCTGGTTACTTTACAGAACCGCGATTTTGGCATCCCACCTTACAATGATGTGCGAGAGTCCTATGGCTTGTCACGCGCGAAATCCTTCCAAGAGATTTCGTCCAATCCTCGAATTGCGGCAACGTTGGCAAACATGTACGGGTCGGTCGATAGAGTTGAGGCCTGTATCGGTAAGTCACTGTTGATAAACAAACCTTCAATAATCAGCAGAGTTGCATGTTCAGCAATATCTGCAGGTGCGCTGGCAGAGGATGAATGGCCCGGCTGCAATATGGGTCAGCTGCTTCATGAAGGCCTTCGGGAACAGCTGACTAGAATACGGTAGGGCATCTTAGTTCATGTTTAGAGTTACTTTCGTAGGTTACTAAACGATACTGTTAGCAACGGCGACAAATTCTGGTACCAAAATGAGCAGTTCGCACCCGAGGACCTCAAGATCATCGAGTCAACATTGTTGAGGGACATCATCGCCCGGAATACATTGTGGAAAGATCCGCCAATAAACGTGTTTTTCTCTCTGGGGGCACAGATGAGCCGAAGAAATCTAGTCGAGGCTGAGCATGCGCTAGCAAAAAATGAAGAGTTCCTTGAAGACTTTCCAAAAATTTCTGGAAAAGAGCAGGCAATGCATTTAGGACCGGCGTTCAAAATGTACTGGAGTGTCAACGTGAGGAAGGGAGAGGCAGAGTTTGTTGTTGTTGGACGTAATGAGGTCCGTGCTTTTGCTTTGACGGTTCATTGTTTGTTTTGTTTATACTGAAAAAGTCAAGTAGGGTTGGATTGGCGTAGGATTTGAACCTGATGATTCAGGTATGACCAACGCAGACATGGTCCTCGGCTACGCACTCGAAAACGGTACTACCTATATTCGTGGCGCCCGCTCGGTGGCAAACGAGCCCCCAATTCCCTATCCAACTGATAACCCTGGAATCACGAACGCAAGCGCGGCACGCATCCATGGATTCACAGTTTTGAAATTCACTAGACCATTAGCTGCCCGTCCTCCATTCAACAAAACCTTGCCAATTGCAAGACCTGCGAAAGTGGTATATGCAATGAATCCAATGTATGTCGAACCCTTATATCACGGGCCTGAAAGAGGATTGGCAAATGTGGACTTGGTGCCTGCTTATGGTAAGAAGATGGACTTTAGATCATGTATCAGATCGCTCAACTTTCTTGATACAGTGAACTACCGTCCTGTAACCTTCAATAGCGCTATCGGGATTGTTTTCACCGTCATTGGGACAATTCTGCTCTCGATAACACTAGCAACCATATACGTGGTCATTACTCGTCGAATGGACCCTATCGTCCGCAGATCAAGTCCACCCTTTCTTCTCATCATCCTGGTCGGCGTGGCTTTGGGGTACGTGTGCATATTCGTCTGGACGATCCCAAGGAGTGATGCCGCGTGCAAAGCAAGGATGTGGTTGGTAGGATTGGCTTATATCTTGATGTTTGGGTGAGTTCCACCGCCCCGTTGCCGATTGTTCACTGATTCTAACCATCAGGTGGTGGATACAGCTTTGCAACTGTAAAAAACTACCGTATATACTTGGTGTTTCGGGGAGCAAGTGGATCCAATTTGAGTACTCGCGCCGTTCTTTTGGGAAGTATCCCATTGCTGGCCATTGAAGTGGTAAGCGAACATCGTCGTGCAAGGCATTTGTATTCCCAATCATTAACAAACATTCATTGGGAGATCCTCCTTACGATATGGACATTTGCCGACGCACCATACCTTCGTGTAACCAGCGATATGGTAGATTGTTGGTATGGTCGTGTGATGCCAGCAATTGTGCTGGCATACAATCTGCTTATTTTATTGTGCGGCCTATACATTGCCGTGTGCGTCCGTCATGCATATACCGACTATCGGGATTCATTTGCGATTGCATTTTCGGTAAGTATCTGCTAATAACTGACACCACAAGTGATCTCAACAAGTATTAACTTTTGGGATAGACGTACAATTTTGTGATGTGCATTATCATTCTTGTACCCGTATCGGTCTCAGGTCGCACCGCTGTCGAGCGATATGTTCTCGAATGCATAGCAATCCTCTTGGTAACAACAGGGGTCCTAGCGTTTTTCTTTGGTGGCAAGTTATGGACAATCTATGTCATCAATCGTGGTAGCATCCGTCTTTCTTCGTCATTCGTCCCAGAACACGAGTACCGAGGATCTCGACATTGGGCTTGGTCGTTCGGGAGCGCTTGGAGGCATACCCTAAGGGTGCGGAACCCGGAGGAACAGAGAGTGGAGGTGACAACACCTGCGAATCAAGAACCAAAACCTGGAGAGGGGGAGGCTGTTGCCTCGAACAGTGTCATCTCGTCCCCAACGATCGGCCAAGCATTGATGGAGAGGCTTTTCATCGTTAACCGGTCAACAGAAACCCAATCCAAACCGACCACAGAAACAGAAGGCGTCATATGATGATGAATATTGGTAGTATTTTCGTCCTTTGATAAGGAGCTGTAGGGTGCAAGGCAACAACATGGCCTATTCGCATGTAAATTAATAGCTTAAACCTTGGGAATGGAAAAAGATTTTGCTGCAAAACCCTGCTTCAAAACAGCTGTCTATACACACTAGCAACAACAGTACCAGACAACATACACAACAATATGGAGGTGCCAAAGTACTCAGTGTGCAGGCGCGCAAAAGTTCTAATGTCCTTGCCGTAGTTGATGTTTTCGGTAGGCTTTGATTCAACAGGTAAATAATTCAGGGGAGGTTGGCCGTTTGCTGATAACAAGCTTTCAAGCTCTGACCGCGCAACTTGCAATTTGGATTTTATGGTTTCATTAGAACCTACCATATGCTTTCTTTAGCCATTTTGCTGCTCCGGGAGTTCCGACCAAACTTTTTGCAGAGGCTGTGAAGGATGAAAATTACTAGTGGCGAGTCGTACGAAAGTGATATCTTGACAGCTGCGGATGGTGAAAATGGCGAGAAACAACTTGTCCTCCAAGGATGTACATTAAACACCATGCAAAGCACACACTCTCGGATCCCCGTATCAACTGGTTGAACAAGAAAGATTAGTTAGTCCTTTAGAACTTTTTTTTTTTGTTTCACTATCAGCGATTTATTGTCAAGGGTGGAATTCGTCCCTTTCTCCATTTCTGATTATCCTCGGTCTGATTTGACGGTTCTCAGCTTTCTTTGGACCGTACACCTTAGGCACAGAGGAGTACGCACTGCACCTACCAAAACCTTTTGGGAAAAATCCAACGATGGCCTGTAAGTAATCGTTTTGTTCATGTACTCGCTTCATGGCGGTAACATATCATTGGTTTCAACAAACTAGCTGTAATGACCTCATCTGGCCGAATGATGAAGCGGCTTCTTCGCCAATTAAACAGAATACCCATGGTAAAAGAAGCAAATGTGAAAACTAGTTTTTTGCTCCTTGCTAATATGGATAGAAAATCATGTTAGCTTGCATGGATTTTCATCATGAGTGGATTGGGGATCATGTTTGGTCTTGTTGCTCCTCAGTTTTCAAAAGAGTACCTAGCACTCCTCTCCACTCATATCTTCTTGCCCATGGTGAAATCGCTCATTGTTCCCCTCATATTCTCGTAAGTTGCCTTCTTTTAGGCTTTTTAAAAAGGGCTGTTGGGCTTAATGTTACGTTTGCGAGCAAGGCTGCTGGTGGTTGGAATTGCTGGACATGGAGACGACCTCGCACGGGTAGGAAAACTCGGAGTAAAATCCATGGCGTACTTTCTAGGATTGACTTTTATTGCCAGTGAGTTTCACAGTTTTCATTGGAGGGCCATACTATTATGATTTTCTTTTGCTTATTCCTTTGTGGTCTCTAGTTTTCATTGGTCTCGGGTTTGGGAATGCGATTAAACCAGGAAACGGAGTGACATTGGGTGAAGTCAAAAACGCCAATGCCACAGCTGCAATCAAAAGCCAAAAAATCTCCCTAGCATACGAACTCAACCAAATCATTCCCGAATCGTTTTTCGCTGCGGCTTCCGCCAACAAGTCGTTGCAGATTACCTTTTGTGCAATCATGTTTGCTTGCGCTTGTATGCTGGTCCCGAATAAGGAGCATAAACGAGTCATGGTGGATTTTTTTGATGGTTTGGCGAACGTCATGTTGTCTGTTACGAATTTAGTGATGAAGTTTACACCTCTGGTGAGTATCTAATTTGAAAAAAACGAATCTAACGTTTCTTTAACCTTTATATTCGTTTCAGGCCATCGGCGGAGCCTTGGCGAAAACAATTGCCACAAACGGAATCGGCGTTCTGTCTACTCTTGGAAAACTGATCGGAACCGTTTACCTCGGCCTCCTCACATTTGTTTTCGTTATCCTCCTTCCCATCGCCCTTTGGGCCAAAGTCCCACTAGTGCCCTTTATGCGACAGGTTTCTCATCCCCTCATCATTGCCTTTTCGACTGCCTCATCCGATGCTGCCTTGGCAAAGGCAATGGAGAACATGATAGAGCTGGGCGTTCCAAGGGAAATTGTTTCATTTGTTATTCCTGTAGGGTACTCGTTCAATCTTGATGGTACAACTTTGTACCTAGGGACTGCAGTCCTGTTCGCCGCGCAGGTTGCCAATGTAAACTGGAGTGTTGGCGAGCAGATCTTGCGAATGCTCTTGGTCTTGCTAATGAGCAAAGGGATTGCTGGTGTGCCGAGGGCATCGTTGGTAGTCTTGGCCATGGCATGCGACAATTGGAACTTGCCAACCGAGATTGTTGGTTTGGTACTTGGAGTGGATGAAATCATGGATATGGCCAGAACGGCTGTCAATTTGCGTATGTGCTCTCTTATTGGCGCAGATATTCTTGAGATCGTTGGCTAATCTTTGAATGCTTTCGCGGAAAAGTCGGAAATTGCCTAGCTTGCGTCGTTATTGCCCGCTGGGAGGGCGTCTTCAAACTATACAGGCAATCGACCGACGACAGCGACATTGAGGACTCCCCTGATGCGCTACATGTGAAGCTAGACGTGGATAAGACTGTTGCATGATGATCTGTTTTGTTATATTGGAGCTGGTCGTTTACTTGCCCGCTGGAAGCGGGCCAAATAGGTTGGATTGGCCTCATAAGAGTGTTCTGGAAAGTGACCCTTCCACCGAACACATCGTACTGACATGGCAAGCCTGGCGCGCCTGTAGCAAGAATGCGACTTTGTATTATTTCTGTCTCCATATCATATGCAATACCAACAGAGAATACGGATCGGTATCTAGTTCAACATTTTATTAAACTTTTTCACGCGGCTCGCTTTACTTGCTTTGCGTTCTGGTGGATCTATAAACCATAATGAAAAGTAAATATTGAATCCCGATCACGGCTTTAACGTGTACTCTTAGATTCACCTGTGGTTGCACGTTCACGATACCAGCGAGTAGCTTGTCAATGACCTGGGCCTTGTTCCTGTTGTAAGCTGCAGTAACTTCTTTAAGCTGTGTCTCAGTGTCCGCGTTTGCCTTTGATACGATATCATCTGTGCTTCCAGTGTACTATTCATATCATAAGAGGATGTGAGAGAACTGATATTGGGCATGTATAACAACTGGTGACAGTAACAAAACGGTTGCTAACCTGCTTCTCGAAATCAGCGTGTTCCTTGTTCTTTTGTGCCTTCAACGCTTCAATCTCTTTCTGCGCTTCTGTTCGTGCGTCCTTCAAGCGCTGCACACGATCTATGCAGGGTGAACCGCATGTTTAGCTTATCGCGCATTCGTCATTCCTTTGGTGTCTCTCGCCAGTAGCCATTCTCCCCACGCCGTCCATACTGCCGCTTTACGGCAGAGTACCACCCGGCGCTGTACACTACTATAGCACCTTACATTTTCTTGCTGTCGCAACAACTTTGGAGGCCTCCTTTTCAGCTTCCAGTAGAGTTTGAATTCCTTGTGCGCTTTGAGCCTGCCACGAAAAGCATTAACGTCGTCAGCACTGTACACAACGAGGCTCAAAGGGTATATCGGTGTGATATTGTTCTGTGCTTGTCACTCGCCCTCACCATTATGGAGTTATTGTTGACTTGAGCAGGATAAGAAAACGCGATGTGGATGGGAAGCTGAATCGTTCAACGCAGGACAACGCCATCCATAAGCGCGGAGTATCACGTGACAACACCACTCGTTCATTGCCCAAAGTCTGTAGTTCGTTCAAAGTCGATGCACTTTTTCACTTTAAATGAAAGGAAATCTATCCTTTTATGCAAGCTACATATAAGTGTAAGGCTGATATTAATGCATCATATGGAGTCTACGCAGGTCGCCATACGGCGTGCACGTTGCTCAATGCTGGCATGATGTCAATCGTTTGGATGTGGCACCTTGTCATTTCCGCATCATCTACAGTAGCGTCTGCATTCAAAGTCGGCATTTCCGCAAAAAAGTATATGAACTGGTACTCCACGTAGACAGAGCGCCGCTTAACGTAACCACTTTAACAGACTTGGCTATTCCCTTACTTGGGGGGAGTCAACGCCATTTTCTACAAATGAAGATCAGTTACCTGCCACTGGTACTGACTTTTCATGGGCAGATTTGGCCATTAGGCTCTCCCGCAGGTTAACTGCTACAGGTTTTAATCTTATCAAATTGTTCAAAGCACCACTGAAAGTGAATAATGGCCTTCATCTGTAAATATCATCAACAAACCCGAACTGCATCTACAGTTGATGTTAAAGCCACGTGACTACCCTTAGGGAAATGTCATTCAAACTTAGCCAGCCACCTGGACTCTCTCGTCAGCGATACGCGGAGGATTCTGCCAACGGGGTTCCGTAGTAGGAAATGGCATTCATTTGGTCATTTTAAACAATTATTGTTTCTTATAATCCATCTTTTGTGGTAGATCTTGATATTTCTTACTTGCTCCTTCAACTCTGCTGTGGTTTTCTTCTGGGGTTTCTGGTATTGTGGGTGACGGAACCATAAGGAGGATGGCAACAATCGCACAGGTACATGCAATTTATGGCCATTGTTTATTCTTTTGGTATGGTCTGCTACGATGTGTACATAGTGTAAACATTGCCATTACGTGGTGGGACTTTTCTATTAGTTGCAATGTTTCCATACTTACCATCTCTCTGCATACTACGCTACATTATTTCCATTGAGAAGGCACGAGGAGGCCGACATGGGGGCTTTCGATCGGATTTTCTGATTGCCAACCGTCGACGGGAGGAAGAGACCCGAACCCGCATGCGCGAGCAAATCCAATACTATGAAAAAACAGCTCTACAGTCGCATTTTGAAGAGTCGACAAATGCCGCTATCATGCGAAACAGGATCATGCGCCGTTTTGAGGAGCTAAAGTCTCAAGAGAATAGCAAACTTGAGCAACGGAGGGAAAGGTATGTAGGTCGGGTTCTTTTACGGCTCGCGCTCTAGGTGCCGACTAGATATACCATTTTGTTAGATTGCGACAGTTACTGGCCCACGATGACGAACGGTACCAAAAGGAACTGGCATCAACAGTCGTGACTGGAGAATCTCGGGTCGAAGCCATGCGGGCAAGAATGAATGAATTGAAAGCAAAGCGAGAAAAGGAGCGTCAGAAAATCGTGGAGGAGAAGCTCTTGCAACGATGGAGGTGGGAGCATAGTTTTAATGCAACCATCCGAACTGAAATTGATGAAACATGTGTGTCTGTTTGGTAGAAACGAATGTGACGAGCTTCGTTCTATAGAGTCACATCTGTTGGAAAAAGAAGTTGCCAGCGCCAGAGCGGAACAGTTGATCGAAGTCCAAGAAAAGAGAGCATTGGCAAAGCAGGAGAAAAAATACTACGATGATCTGTGGGAACAAGATCGTCTCAAAAAGATTGAACGAGAAGAAGCAGATCGGTTACGAAGAAGAGCCATGAATGAAGCCATGACAGCTACCTTGCAGGAACAGCTACGACTTCTCAAAGAGCACGCGCAGGAGGAACAACGATTAAAGCAGGAAGAGGGAGTTTTGATGGTAAAGTGACCGCTCATACGACCTCCACATATTGACATGCGCTAAATTTACAAACTCGCACCATTCTAGCGACAAGAACACGAGCTTCGCCTGCTAGAAGAAGAACGAGCCCGACTCCGCAAAATCCAAGACCAACGCCAAGTCCGCCTCGAACTCGATGCGTTCAACAAGCTCAAAGTCCAACAACGTCAGCGTGAAGTCCAAGATGCCCTCGACTTGGATATCAAGATTGTCAATGCCTTTTTCCGCATGGATGAGCAGGAGAAAGAGAGCCGTAATAGACGAAAGGAAGAGATGAGAAAGGAAATGCTGCTTTATATGGAACATTTGAGGGAACAACAACGGATTGAGAAGGAGAGAGAACGAGAGGTTGACAGGATGTATGCTGAGGAAGCTGAAAAGGTTACTCTTTGCTCACAAAACCTGATCTGCCTACCTTGAGTACTGACAATCTTTGTTCTCACAGTTATGGCAAGCCCGAGCAGAAAAATGGAGTAAAGAACAAGGTGCACGCGACCGGCTCATGCAAGAGGTTCTATCCGGTCGCCAAGAGCAACTACAAAACGCCCGTACGTTCCCCACCATACTTGCCCCTTGAATGACTATCATAATATTAAATTTTCCCACTTGTGTACAGTCAACCACAATCGTGTCCGTCAGGAAGAAGCCCGAATGGAAAAACATCTTCTTGAACAGCAAATCGCTCAAGCGCGTGCCCAAGAAGAGGCAGAGCGGGAGCGACATGCACGTAATGCACAAGAATATAAAGGGGCATTGTTACAGCAAATGACAGTTGCGCAAGAGAGGAAGAAGGTGGAGAAGGAACAAGCTGCACGGGAGAGTGCGGCTGAAAAGGAAGCTGAAGAGTTATACAAGGACTTGCTTCGACAAGAGACGGATCGCGCGCATCAATTGCCAAGGTTTGGACAGAGTAAATGTGAAAATCACAACGTTTTTTGCTGGAGGCTTACCCGTTTTTTACTTGTAGAGTCCGAGCCTTTAGAGCAACGAACCGTGATGCTACTCGATTGACAGTCACACCCATGTGGGCGACTGTCGTTGGGTCTGGTGCGAAAAAAACGAAATAGAACAGAGCCCATGTCAAATAAAAAGTAGCATAAAAAAAGCGCCTATGCGTGTTTGGTTAGAGCATATTGTTTTTCTCTATTGTTGACGTCAAAAAGCTCGCGCAGATACAGAGCACGATGTATATGTATTGAGACCGCTGCATGTTTTTCTCTATGCTGCGCACCACCACAATATGCGCTTAACGAGATCCCCAACTAGATGACACAATCTACTATACTTTTGACGCCACGCACTTTTCATTCAGCAATTTCCCCGCCAACCTGCTTTGCGCTGCCGCCCGGCAGGTTTGCATCTCTTGACATTGATGTGCTTCGGGAAGTCGATGTTTGGCACAAAATCCATGTGTACAATACCTGCACTGTCCCACAATTTTGACAACCTTGTCGGAACAGCCAGACATGTTACACTTTGTTGATTTTTTGCCAGACTTTGGTGTTGTTGGGGCGGTTGATGACGATGATGATAGGGAGGATGACGATACATCTGCGCCGCCACGTAGGCGCAGGACAAGATGGAGGGTTGATTCTTTTTGAATGTTGTAGTCTGACAAGGTACGGCCGTCTTCGAGCTGCTTTCCGGCAAAGATCAAGCGTTGCTGGTCTGGAGGGATACCTTCCTTGTCTTGGATTTTCGCCTTGACATTTTCAATAGTATCCGAGCTCTCCACTTCGAGGGTGATAGTCTTTCCGGTAAGGGTCTTTACGAAAATCTGCATTCCTCCGCGGAGACGCAAGACGAGGTGGAGAGTGGATTCCTTTTGGATATTGTAGTCGGAGAGGGTTCGGCCGTCTTCAAGTTGTTTACCGGCGAATATCAAGCGCTGCTGGTCTGGCGGGATACCTTCCTTGTCTTGAATTTTGGCCTTTACGTTTTCAATGGTATCCGAGCTCTCGACTTCGAGGGTGATGGTCTTGCCGGTGAGCGTCTTTACAAAGATTTGCATGGTTGTTGACAGTTAGCGGTGAGTTGTGTATGTGTGTTTGCGTGTGTGTGGTTTTGTGGAGTGTGTTGACGTTTGATAAACCAATACGTACGTACACAAGTTGCAGATGGCAAGAAAAAAAAAAGGAAATGAAAAACACAAGGGAAACTCCCCAAACCCTCCCCTTTTTATAGGACGCAAACTGCGAGACGCGGGCGGTGTGTTTAGTCATTATCTTGTAGTGGGTGGGAATATTTGGATGATGAGTCATTAATAGATTTGTAACCATGTGACTCCAACGGCCAACTGCGCCTCGGGTGTGGCTTTTACCCGAAGGATTTCAAAAAGTTGGAATTGATTCAAGCAATGACGAGAAACGTAAAGACATTTGAAATTCCGACTGGAGATTCCTTTGGAGATTCTCTTGAGGAATGGAATGGGGAGATGGTGGCCTTGGTAAGTGAGCACTTGTAGTAGTAGTAGTAGATGGGCAGAGATAATAAATAAAAAAACAGGTGTGATATGTGATTTAGCATAGCCCTTGAGCCTTTTTGACAAAGACCCTTGGCTGTTCAATTCCCTCCTCCTCGCATGCAGCTGGCGGAAGTTCCTCCTCCTTTTTCCTACTAAATGGCTGTAAGACGCTGGCAAATGGCTGTGTTTTTTGCCCAAAAGGATTCCATCATTTTATTGATAATGACGTGGTTGAAGAATTGGGGGCGCGCGGAACTTGCCATGGCCAAAGTTTTTGTACTTGATTTCTTTAATCTTTTGGCTGACTGGTTCTTGTGAAATCTTGTATTGCCCTGCCCTCCCTTTCTGACATGGAACTGCATATTGTTATCGGCAATTGTGGTAAACATTTTCAATAACGTAGCGTAATGATACTGACTGTTTGCGCCATCCCATTCGCTAGGCGGTATATTCTACAGTAAATGTACAGTAATCCAATAATGATGCAATAACAATTTAAGACCAACAAAAACATGAATAAAATCCACCCTCCCATCTCCCTTGATATTTTAGACTTCCAAAGTCACTTCAGGGAATGGAAGGGCCATAAAGTCATCGTCAAACTCGAGTGCAGAAATGTCCTCTGCCTGCTGCAAAAAGACTATTTGTCGTTCCATTTCAGACAAGATCATTGTGACAAGATAATACAAGAACATTCATGCAGAATAACTCACATTCATCTTGAAATGGTAATTTCATGCTCAAATCTGGAGGGGACAATTCCGGCAAGTTATCATCGTAGAGGGCATCCCAGATGGCTGGATCCACGTAGGGATCCAAGCGGGGTTTAGCCAAAAAGTGGTGGTCGACAATCAGCTCTGGGTCTGGCCTGTATTTCTCCTCTGCATTATGGAAAAGGCGTTAGCAACCATTTAGAGCCCGTAGCCGTTTCACGAACATCCATACCGAATGTAGATGGAGGCATATACTCAATCTCAACATCCTCTAATGCTTCTACCGCAGTCCCTGAAGCAACATCAGCTGTACTCTCCACTCGGTTCTCATCCCCAAAATGTTTCTTCACTTTGGTCGAGCTCTTTTTTGCCGATGATTTCAGAGATCGGACCTGTTCACCAGATCGGCTCATCGTGGATCGTTCTAATGCTCTCTGTGAATCAAAGGCCTTGTACGGAGTTTCGAATTTTGCAGCTTTAAGAGGCTTCTCGTGGGATGTCGGCGCCGTATTGCGCGGTGTGTTGACCTTTTCTTGCAGTAAGCGCTTGACGGGGGCGGGAGTCTTGACTGGGACCATGAGCTGCACATGTTTGTTCTTGGGGATATTCTTTAGAGCGCTTCGTGATTCTACAGTGGCGTTGGTTTCTTTGACGTTGACCGATTTGCCTTGCAAGGCGGTCGGCTGAATTCCCACTGTTACAAGGACCATCCAAATCAAGTACACACAAAACAATGCGCTAACAGAGAAAGAGACATACCTCGCCCGCCAGGCGTCTTTGCAAACCCACTGGACCCTTTCCCCACCTTTGCTGGCGTCGCATTTTCCTTGTCCACATTCAACAGTACGGTTTTCTTACTCGTTAGCCCAGCCCGACCAGGTGTTTTAAACGACAGGCCCTTTGCTCCAGGTGTCTTGGTCGCGCCAACAGCATTCTCCTTGTCAACATTGTTTTCCTTGTTTTGCATGTGCCGTTGGACGGCGCGAACCGAGGGAAGATTCCGAATCATTCTGTGTGCTGCCAAGACTCTGAATGCGGTATGGATGACCGCCGTCAGATGCAATCTCTGTGACGGCTGCGGCAGAGGGCTTGTAAACAATTAAAACGCTGCACTTGTCTCGTCTGGTCTGTTGGAGATCATCAGATGCAAATGCGTAGCAATTTCAAGTCAACAGATCAGCTACGAACAGAGTTGTCAAACACACCGACGCGTTCGAATGTCCGACTGGCACTCTTGGGTAAGCATTCCGATCGTCCTCACACCCGTTGCGAAATGCCGTGGAATGTTGTTTGGAAACAGAGATGTTAGCATAGCCAATGCAGCACACCCATGACTTGTCAAATGTATGAACTCTGTTCGTTGGTTACATGATCAGCATCTACCTGATATTTGAATATCAAGATATTGCTCGACAGGTGAGTATGGTACAGTGCATCTGCACCAGTCCTCCAATTGATATTGCGCAGAATTCAACAGAATTATACGAAAAATATATCATGTCCTATCAAGTATACACAGCTCTTTTACATTTACCGCAAATACCCATTCGGCTGCGCACCATTTTGGAACCCGCTTGTCCTCAGAGTCCGCAATTGTGGGTGTGCAGACTGAAAAGTCGTAAACACCATATAACTGAACACGTTATCATCTTCGATGGTTGCACCGCGGTTGGCCCAGTACAGGCGGAACATTTCTTTTGTTATCTGGTCCATTCTTGAAAGGGATGAAGAATTAGAAAACATGTGAATGATTGTGTCGGAGGAAATTCGAGCTTTTTTACCGTTCTGAGCCATCAAATCCTGCCTCCAGCTCTTCCTCAAAAAGGCGATCCCGAGATTTCTCACCAGATAGCCATTCGGTAAACCGAGTGCAATCAAACGCAGCGCGGAGCTGGTGAATGTCAATAAAACCTGCAACCAAAAACCCGTCAGCCAAGAGTCACTCGGATCATATATAAACCAAGTAACTTACCCCGTTTTGGGGTATCCAGTCGTGCAAACGCTTGATCTGAAACGTATCTTCTTAGTGGATCCATGTCACCTCGCAGGTCTTCAATGAAGCGCATATACGGAATTGCATTGCTCTCTGTCGCATAGTGGACGATCAAACCATCCATGTTCTGTCATCCCAGAAAGATGAATCCAGGTGTCACCTAGCCAAAAAGATTGGCCATCACGCATACCTCAACGCCGAGCAGCGGTAAGCATTCTAAGAGCACCTCTGTAAATACACCTGCAGGAACACAAAGAGTTTGATGCGGGTCTTGCGCGCGTAAGTTTCGGATCAATGATGCGACTGTCAGACGTTTTCGATTTGATGCAGTTGAACGAAGTTGGTTCTTGATTGTCTTGAAGATTAGCTGTAACCCAAGAACGTACAATCAGGTTTCCCTTTTCTCTAACTGAAATCGTGTCTCTGGTTTTTACCTCGAGAGGCAGCACGATACCAGCCGTTCGATCCACTCTGCCCATTCTCCTTATACGAACTCTTTGCTCTCCCTCTCTCATCCCTATCGCGGCTACACTATAATCGGGCAACACATCGTAACGTTTGTATACAAGCCTGCCATCCCTTTTCCGTGGCTTGGGTGCTGGAGTTGCTGGGAACCCTCGGGTACCGGTCCTATCATCGGCTGTCGACTGGGTTTGGTCCAATATCGGCCAGCAGCATTTTACCATTGAAGAAAAGGTGGTGTCGGACGAGTAGCTGATGGAAAGACCGGCAAAGTAATCCAGAAACTGGGTGCGAGATATTCTTGGGGGACAGTAGTATAGGAACGTGTCGATGAATTCTAAGGTAACTTCTTCTACTCTTTTATGGCCTGCCATTAAATGTGTGCGCCTTAACCAATATGCACGAATATGCACCAATCTGTAGAGATACCTACCATTTACAACGTCCGGATGTCCAGCGGCGTGAAATGCTCTTTTAACCTCCTCTCTATCAATCTTTCCATCATCCCCTTTTCTGAAATGGCCAAAGAGTGCAAGGATGACTTCCCGCCGTTGGCTACTAATCTTGCCCTAAGGAATTCTAGGCATAAGTGAGCCTGATCAGAACAGGTACTTGACTGAGATTGCAATACCGCAATAGCTTTGACCAGTTCGTTATAGACGAGATGGTTAGTTCCAAAACCGTAGTTCTCGTATAGAATCGTAAAGCCCTGTAATACAAGTGATGAGGACATGTCACGGATGCTGGCTTTTTAATGGCATTGCTTCACGATCTGACCTCTGGAGTAATCTCCAGCTCTGCATCTTTTAATGCTTTTTCGAATCTTGGCAGAGTCAGCTTTCCGCTGTAAACATAAAAACATCATTTATCAATTTTTGATGCCCTCAAAAAAACGTCCTATCCGTTCAAATTACTTACCTCCTGTCCAAATCATTCTTTTGGCAAAACTGCAAAAAACTAAAAATGCCACGGGCACCGCGCCGGCTCAAGGTATCCTACATCGAGGATGAATATCGGACAAAAGAACCCTACAAGCTGCTACAAACATTACTTACACGAAGCTCTTGCAGAATGGATTCCACCCTGGGATCCACTATTGGGTTCTTTGTTTGTGCTTGTGCTCCTAATGACTGGGGCACCTTGGAAGACTTTTGCTGAGTGGAAAATTTGTGTTCGGTTGGTTGAAGCCATCCTTGTTCATAGGCACGGCGTTGTAGGACCGCACGAGGTATATGCTTCGTGCTTCATAAAGAAAAGTAAATATATTAGAGATGAATAAGATGGGAAGTTTACAATATTTTGTAAAAAAAAAATACTGTTACCTATAGTTTGTCGAAAACAATGCCAGTCCCGCAGGTGATTCGAAAAACGATTCCGATCCCAGATCTCGTGGGGGCTTGGCGGCGGACAAGCCTGGCGGGTTCCTTGCCCTGAGCATTTTTCAAGACAAAGGTTGCAAATAGTGCGACTGTAACCGAGCGCTGGCTATCGCAGATGAGGAATTTGGCCAAGTCCGATGCTTATGTCATCTCTCACCCATGGTGTTGTCAAACTTCATCGTACGCTTTTACTTTTTGCTCGGAGGGTAACCATTTGAGGTGGTACCGCTTTTAAGACTTTTGTGTAAGAGTTTATTTGGATATTGGTGCCAGACGATCCTATTTCCTGTCGCTGGAGCTCGTTCGCTGTAACTCGGCCAGCTTATCAACTCTGTTACGGCGTCACAACGTGTGGGGTCATGTTGGCTGCCACAGAACCATGTCATGAAAAGACATGCTGACTGAGAACATGTCAGCATGAGTATCAGCATGCATGTTGTGTATAGCTATTCTTATAGGCTGAATCTAAAGTCTCACTGGCGTGAAGAGCAGTTTACATGAATGGTCCAAATTCAAAATATGCCACCCCAATGGCCCCATGCTGGAATGGATCGACAGCGTTGGTCCCCTCAAGCCCTTTCAAAAGCAACAATCAAGAACACATGTTCAACGGAAAACTCTGGTTGCCCAAAGGGCGCGGACCCTGCCTGACTCCATCTGACGCAAACAAAAGTGTGATTCAACACACAAAAGAATCCCTCAAGATAAAAGGCCGAGCTTTCGTTTCCCTTCCGTCTTTTTGCCTCAACATTCCTACCTACAAACTCGCTACGTTTCTTTTGTTTTGCACCATGGCCGAAATTCACGGACAAGAGCCCCATACCTATGAATATGCCAGCGCAGACCAACTGGCTGAGCGCGATATGGATGAGACGCAAAAGGCGCGTTTCGAGGAGCTGATGCACAAGCCTGCGGTGAGGGTTTTATAAAGTATATCACTCTTTTTGTTAAGGGCGATGCTGTTTATACTTTATTCAGCATGAATTGCGCAACATTTTGGAAGAGCATCACATTGAGTACAAGGTAAGATGGACGGGCGTCTGTGGGATTGATGGACTGTTGTGCTGAACGTTCACCATGATAGGATTGTAACGAAAAGCAAGAGTTTGCACGAAAGATTATGGATCGTGTCAAAGACTGAAAGCTCTACGCAGCTTTTCTCTTCTAGTCCCGTTGCGTTGATCCAGTTGCGTTGATATGGGTTTTTAGTCGTCTAGTTTGTGCTAGTGTTTTTTTGCAATTCTGGTAGACGAGGGCAGGGTAGTTCTACTGGGTGATTTGTTCTTTTTTGACATAACGTTTGGTTTATTTGGGCTTTTGGGCAACAAGATGAAAATGGATTTTGGAGACAAGTTGGGCCTTCTACAAGGTTTTTTTTCCTTATCGCTATTGGACTTTTGGCTTCTTTTTTGGGCCTTTGATGAAGCGACGAACCCTGGCAACATGTAGCGTTCAAAAGTACTGCGCAAGCGACACCCACTCACCCATTCACACATACTCTTCCATTAAAACCATCAACTTGCAAGCAAGAAGCATTCCTCCATCAAAGCAAAGCAACTCACATTCTAATAAAAAAAAGAAGGAATAATCCCAAGTGTTCGAAACTCCGCGTTCAACTCCAAGAAATTTGAGGCGCTTCCCAATTGGAGAATCTCACCCCAAATTGAAACACTTTTTGATTTGTCTCCAAAATTACTAAAAGGTTGAACTTTTCCTTTTGGTTTTTTTTACGTTTGCTTTGGACAAGGGACTTTAGAACAAGAAGAACAAGGATATATTCCCCCATTCTTTTCTACCATTACTTTCACCACTTTTCGTCTTTGACTTGGTTGACAAAGAGGTTACAGCTCATGAAGTCGTCCGCGTCATGTCATTATTTGGCATTACAGTAAAAAGACGTGCGCGAGGCAAGTCGGATTCAGCAAAGGATAAAGAGGTGAGGAACTCAACGCTTTTGTGTGGTCCGTAGAGAAAATGTAGAGGATGGGGGGAAGGAAGGAAGGAAAGCGACAAACGACGGTCGTCATTCACGTGATGAGGCCATCGCTCAGCCGCCCAAAGGAGGCCAGCGGAGGGGAGAGTGCAAAGACGCAAAAGGATCTGGCAGAGGTTTTTCCCCATTCCCCTTCAAACTTGTTAATTAACCTTTTGCGCAACTCCCCGTGTAGGAGGTTCAACAACCCCAATTCAAGTCTCCCAGCACTCGACTTGGGCCGCCTCTGGTTCCACCGTCACGACCATTGAATCGTGCTCGACCTCCCCTCACTCGATCGGCAACATTTCCAGTTTTGCAGCAACCGAGCCTTGACATTCCAAACGCAAACTATCCTTCTTCCCACCTATCCGCCCCGGTGAACGGCACAATGCAGGAAAACGGCTCACACGATCCTCCGTCGCCGACTTGGCGCGAGGACGCTCCCTACCTTCCCTTTTTGGACGAAGTGCGTGCAGCAGGCCAACATCAACGAGCCAATTCCTTTATCTCAGAAGAGGGAACATCGTTAGGGAGACGTCTAAGTTCTCGTGGCCGACGCAGTCTAAATCGTCTCAAAGCTACTCTGAACTTGGGTAGCGAGGACTCGTCAGCGTCTTTGAGTGCTGATAATGACGCTCATTCTTCTCATTCTGCAAGTACAAGCAATACCGCTGTGCACTCGGATGGACAAGAAATTGATCCAGTCACTGGTGTTGCGTTTGCAAACGAGAGGGATAATGCAGACTTCCATCGCGCATATCCCAGCATTGATGATACTGATCGGTTAATCGATGGTACGGTCACATTTTAACGCCTGTACGTGAGAATCCATCTTTTGAATTGTAACCCTTTTTCTTGTTTACCATTAGATTTTGCTTGTGCGTGGAATAAGGAAGGTCTCTTGATCCAAGGACGCATGTGGATTTCTCAGCGTCACGTATGCTTTAAAGGCTGGACGCAAAGCTCGCACATTTGTATTCAGCTTGCCAAAGTGAAAAGCATTGAAAAAAGGAACATTGCCCTCGTCATTCCAAATTCCATGGAAATAGAAACGGAGCGCGGAAAGTATTTTTTTGCGAGTTTCTTTAATCGAGATACCACCTATGACTTGCTCACCAAGCTGTGGAGAAACAATATGGTACTGTGTATTTGTCTATCTGGTGTTTTAGTTTTTGTATAATGTCTTACGGTTTTTATCCAGTCATCAACCAGCTCACGGGATTCTGCGGACGACGAGATCGACGAATCTTGTACCTGCGACGGCTTGGGTACATGTGAATCTTGCTTCACAAAGGCTAAATTAAACGGACGCCGCGGGAGCGAGGATGCGCGAGGGAGACCGCTCTTGCGTAAGCTGGGAATTGGCCAAAGGGACAAGTCATCCACCTCCGAGAACGCTAGCACCGAATCATCGCCACAAATCTCTTCTGTAGCCAAAGCTGCTGAAGTTGGCTCCCCCATTCTCACCCTTACCACCGCCGAAGGTGAAAACATTGCGCCTCCGACGCCGCCAGACAGTCCACCCCGTGCAAGATCCGAACAGCCCGCTGCACAATGTCAATGTGGCGAGGAGCACAGAAGAATGAGAACAATATTAGACAATACATATCCTGTGCGAGTTGAAGATTTGTGGACAATGTGGTTCTCACCCAAGAGTGATGACGGCGACTGGTATGGACGTTTTTTGGTTCATAATCGCAAAGTCAAAGGTGGGTCAAACAAATCAAAGGCTGTGCATTATATGTATTTGGCATTAAGAATGCATTTTGTGTAGATTTGGCGATTGGCCCATGGGTGGCGCCTGATGATGTGTCGGAGGCAAAACCGCTGCCCATACCTTCTGGGAATTCCGCATACAGTCCGTCGATGGCTGACGCTGAAGTTGGCTGGCATAGAAAATTGGAATATATCATGCCCCTCACCGGGCCGATTGGGCCTAAACAAACTAAATGCATTGTCGACGAACAAATTGTTGCCAAACAAGATGGGTAGGTTTACTCTGTGTAGTTGCAACTTTATCAATCCAGCAAAAAACTAATCACAAAGAACATCCAGCGCTATTTGCCTTCAAAGTCGCGCCGTAACCCCCGATGTCCCTTCAGGACAAGCATTCCACGTCATCACTCGAATCTGCCTCCTTCACACCCCACCAGCCAGCACTCATGTCGTCGTATCCACCGAAGTCGTTTTCACGAAATCCTCCTGGATCCGTGCAGCTATTGAAAAAGCTACACCAGAAGGACAGTCAAAATTTTTCAAAGAACTGGATTTGGCTTTTACTGCCGAATTCACCAAAAAGCATGCCCATAAAAAACACATCAAGAAACCAGTGCATCATACGATCATAAAGTCCCACTTGAGAGGGCATTCGCCCTCGCCTTCCCCATTTACCCCCTCGTCATCATTACCGCCAGAAAGGCAAGAACAACCCAACCAGCATGTTATTCCTTTGCTGTCTGGCTCCTCCTTGGAACCCAATTTGACGTTTATGGTGTTTGCTGTTTTGATTGTAGCCGTTTTGTTGTCTTTGAGTATGCAAGCTGTTGCATTGTACAAAGTTGTTGGGATTTTGGAAAAGGTGGAAGCAAGAGTTGGAGAGGCGTGTGGGAGGGTACTGTAACCATAGTCCTATAGAAGTTTTTTGTAGCATAGTCGCAAAGTTTTGTTTTTCTGCCTACATGTTTCTTGACTTGTTTTATTTTTGGCCATAAAGAAAAAACAACCAGTGTTACCTTGCTGTTTGTGCAAGCAGGAGAGCTATATTTACAACAAACGCTCCAAAATGACAAACGTTCACACAATCTAGAGTAAAACCCCCGTGCGATGTCCCAGAAGATATATAACCTTCCTCTCCCAATAAAGCGCAAATGCATCAGTGACAACAAAACAAAAATGGATTAATGTTGAGCCCATTGGATCGATTTCAGATCAATGCCTTCCTGAACCTATAGATATAAAAAAAAGTCATCAACCACCTGTTTGCAAAAAAAGAAACACCACAGAACATACCATCTCCCATAAAGGACTCATCTCCCTCAACCTTCCCACATGCTTCACAACCCTATCCACAACAAAATCCACCTCCGCCTCCGTCGTGAACCGTCCAATCCCAAACCGAATCGAACTGTGCGCCATATCATCATCGGCACCGAGAGCACGAAGCACGTAGGACGGTTCCAGGGATGCTGATGTGCATGCGCTGCCGGACGAGAGCGCAATTTCTTTGAGAGCCATTAAGAGGGATTCACCTTCTACGTAGGCAAATGAGAGGTTGACGCAGCCAGGATACGAGGCATCGGGGTCGCCGTTGCGGACAACGTGTTCGATTTGGGAGGTTATTCCATTAATAAGGCGGTCCGAAAGGGCTCTGATGCGAGCTGCGTCGTACTACAGTTCACCAAAAAAAAAAAAAAAAAGTGATAAGCTATAGCTGTTCTCGTACCAGTATACTCAAAATGTCACATACATTCATTTCCTCTTTGGCGATAGCACAAGCCGCACCCAACCCTACAACCAAAGGAGTTGGTACAGTCCCACTCCGCAAACCCCTCTCTTGTCCACCACCAGACATGATTGGCTCCAATCGTACACGCGGGCGACGTCGAACATAGAGGGCACCAATGCCTTTTGGACCATATATTTTGTGTCCTGATATGGACATGAGATCCACGTTCATGGCGTTCACGTCGAGGGGTATTTTACCGACAGCTTGCGCCGCGTCAGTCTACACATCGCAGAAAAAAAGGATTTAGGAATTTTGTCATATGCAAGGTCAAGAGATGGGGTTAACCTACATGAAAGAATACTTTTTTTGCCCGGCAAATCTTTCCAATCTCTGCAATAGGTTGGATGACTCCAATCTCATTGTTTACGGTCATGATGGACACCAGAGCGGTTTCAGGTCGGATCGCTTCTTCCAGAGTCTAACATGAAAAAGAAGGTAAGTTTCTGCGAGTACACGCCATGCAGAAATGCGTACCTGAAGATCAATCAGTCCATTCTCCTTGACAGGTAAATATGTCACATCGAAACCCTCCTCTTGCAACACACGGCAAGAGTCCAACACACATTTATGTTCCGTCTGAGTAGTAATAATATGGTTCTTCTTACTCTTGTAAAACCTCGCAACACCTTTAACACTCATATTGTTTGACTCGGTAGCTCCACTTGTGAAAATAATCTCTTTGGGATCTGCTCCAATAAGATCGGCCACTTGCTGTCGCCCCTTTTCTACACCTGCCTCCGATTCCCAGCCGTATTGATGAGTTCGTGAGTGGGGATTGCCGTAGAATTGCGTCATGTAGGGGAGCATAGCGTCGATGACTCGAGGATCCATTGGGGCGGTTGCTTGGACGTCGAGGTAGATGGGGCGTCCGTCTCGTTTCACAAGGGATTCTTCAAATCCAGAAGCTGGATGATAGAATGCTTTAATATACAGAAAGCGGGCTCTAAACAAGCAAGGTGATCTTTTGCATATCCCAATCCCCAGCACCTTCCCGCCGCCAATATCATGCAATTTGGTACAAGCATCTCCTTCAAACCCATCCAAAACAACCGATACGCACCTTCTATTGGTGTCTCCTGTGCGGTAGCAGCAGCTTGCACACGTTGTGTCGCAGTAACCAAAGTCTTCCTCGAGTCGACTACGGATCTCCTTGAGCAGTCTCGCAAAACTGTCGACGCACACCGTGGTCGCAAAGCATTGACTGCCTGTACCGTAGGACGGCCTAGGCGATACAGAAGCGACATGATTGGTTTCGTGTCTCTATTCAACCGATGGGGTAATGCCTCCTTGGGTGTGTTCAAAGAAAAACACAATGGGGTTGAACGGTTTGTTTAAAAACTTGGTGAGTCGGCGGATATTTACATTTGACGCGGCACCGTGACTTTGCATTGTGGCACGGGCAGATAATTAATATCACGTAATACGATCGGCAACGTTTGGTTTTGCATTTGTCTTTGTTTTGCTTTTGTGAATTATCAACCATATCGCATCAAAACCATGGCGAGCCCAACCCAAAGAGTACTTTATGATGGTGGGTACGGTACAAGAGGAAAAGATGTATCGATCCAATAAAGTTGATGGATATGTTTTCTTTATAGTTTTCTTGCGCAGGAATTCAACCTTTGTTTTGGTCATCTTCTCTGCTGCCATGGCGGTTGAGATTGGGACGGACACTCTTACTGATGTGATTTGGGATCACATCAATAGAGGGGTTAGTTGGTGTCTCAATGGAATTTCTCGTCTGTGTTCATAGATTTGACATTTCAATGCTAGCGGCAATGGAAAGATATTCGCAAGAGATATGTGACTGAGTAGCATTGAAGCTCGAGGTGTTCTTAAGGTTCTAATCTGGCGCAATACAATCTCTTCATCCTCAATTGTTGGACACATGTTGACACCCGGTGCTTGCACCAACACATTTGAATTTGGAATTTCACCTCCTGCCACTTCCTAATGCATATGCGCTGATTCTATCAGGTACTATCTATGTCTACAATTATATAACTAGATGTTTAACATCTTATTTCTGCAAGAGTCTTTAAAGAATGGTGCTTGTCCTCCAAAGCATATCATGGTCCGCTCCATTGGGTCCACTAAGCAAGACCGCTCCCAGTACGCTGATGCGACATACGCTTGCCAATCTTTTGAGTCTTGGTGGTCTTCCGATTTAAGAAAGAAGAGCACTCACCATTGGTTATGAATAACAAATAACAAAGGTAGAGGAAGGAATCCCAGTTGCGGATCTAACTCATTAGTCACGTGACTTCATTTAGCTTATTTTAGCTAAACGAATAGACTCTCAACCGATAGCGTTCAAGCAATCATCTTCCACATGTTGGCATCACTCGCCCAACGACATTTGAATCGTTCGTTCCCGTGTCTCCAACAGACTACCCGAATAATGACGACGAGCACCACAACCAAACCACGCGTCCTTCTCTGTCGCACCCTCCCTCCACAGTCCCTCCACCGCATCACAACCGAACCATCCATCCAACTGATTCAATCGACGGGCACATCGCGAGAAGAGTTTTTGGAACTTGCACGGGGGGTGGATGGAATATTGGTAAAGTTGACAGAAAAGGTTGATGATGAGTTATTGGATGCGGCTGGACCTCAGCTAAAAGTGATTTCAACAAGTGAGTTTGGAAATGGGTGCTTTATGGGATCCCGTATATCTAGGTCTTGATGTTTGCGCTAATTTTCCGCCCCTTCTTTTTGACAGTGTCTGTGGGATATGATCATATTAATGTACCAGCATGCAAGGCGCGGGGTGTCAGACTCGGTAACACTCCGGACGTGTTGACGGACGCGACGGCGGAGCTCACGATTGGGCTGCTTTTGGCTACGGCACGTAGATTTGGGGAAGCTTTGAGGGCACCTAAAACTGGTGATTGGCAGGCTTGGACCCCTACGTGGATGTGCGGAACTCAACTGACTGGGAAAACGGTTGGGCTGGTTGGATTTGGACGGATAGGTGTCGCTGTGGCAGAACGACTGCAGGCATTCAAACTGGGCAAGCTCCTCTATGCCTCACCTAGTGAAAAACCTCATGCAGCGGGACGGCTGAACGCAGTGCACCTCCCGCTTCCCCGGCTGCTAGCTGAATCCGACATTGTGATTGTGACTTGTGCGCTGACACCGGAAACCAAACACCTGTTTTGTACAGCAACGTTTTCCCAGATGAAATCGACGGCAATATTTATCAATACCGCGCGAGGCCAAATTGTCAAGCAAGACGATTTGATTCATGCCTTGAAAAATGGCACAATTGCTGCAGCTGGACTAGATGTGACAGATCCAGAACCGTTACCCAGCAACCATGAACTATTACAATTGGATAATGCAGTTGTGTTACCACATGTAGGTAGTGCTACGATAGAAACGAGAGAGGCTATGGCGCATCTGGCCATTGATAACTTGCTGAGTGGGCTTGCCGGAGCCAAGATGCCAGCAGAAATTTGATTAGAAAGACCGATATGGTCCTAGTAAATCCTGGAAACATATCGAATGTAGTAGAATGTAGCAAAAAGATGCTGACATGGCTTCCGTGTTGAAATGGGATATATCTAATGCTCGTCAATCCTTCCGTTCCGGGACTAGCAGAAAGTAAGTTGCAAAGGGAGACAAAAACAGTCCGGGATGTCACGTGACAAGGAACCTGCTTACTAACAAGGCTTTCAAAGTTAAGATCGACTGTTTGTCATTTCCGGAACTTGCATTTCAAAAACACATTTGCGCAATTGGGCCATCCGGGAATTGTTATAAAAGGAGGACGTTGTCCCGTCCTTTTTCTCCCATCATCAGTTTGTTTGCAAGTAGTTTCTTGTTATTGAGCCTTACACGTAAGTCTTATCGGTATCAACTTTAACAACTCGTCAACACTTTCAAAAAAACAAGCAACCTTCTTTCAAAAACCTTGTAAGTCCCAAAAAAAATGCGATTCAAGACCGCACATCTCAAACCAACATTACTCACGAAACCCCGCCCGACAGCATCTCTCCACACCACCACAATGCCCACCTACAAACCCGTCAAACAAACCGTAGTCTCAACAGCGCAACCCGAAGGCGCAGGTGCAACCGTTCGAAGAAGTATAGGCACCCACTCACTCCGAAACCTCGATCCATTCCTCATGCTCGATGAGTTTACTGTTCTTCAACCTGCTGGATTCCCGGATCACCCCCACAGAGGATTCGAAACTGTTACCTACATGCTGAACGGCGCGATGCAGCATGAGGATTTCGCTGGACACAAGGGGATTATTCGTCCAGGGGATTTACAGTGGATGACTGCTGGACGGGGGATCATGCATGCTGAAATGCCTGCATCGGATGAACCTGCCCATGGTCTCCAATTATGGGTGAACCTCCCTAAAAAGGACAAGATGGTTAAACCTCGGTACCAAGAACTCCTCGACAAGAATGTTCCGAGGGCTCAGTCGCCTGATGGGGGTGTATCGGTTAAAGTCATTGCGGGCGAGAGTTATGGAGTCAAGGCCGCGGTCTTGACCTACACTCCAATCATTTACCTGGATGTGAAAATGGAACCTGGTAAAATCTTTGAACAATCTATTCCGGAAAATTGGACGGCTTTCATGTATACCCTCGATGGAACGGTTGTGGTCGGGAGTAGTGCAACAAAGGTGGATCCGCATACCACTGTTGTGTTGGGAGAGGATGGGGACACCTTGAAAGTAGAGTCGGCTGACAAGGCCCATTTTGTCGTCATTGCGGGACAAAAGATCAACGAGCCGATCGCACAACATGGGCCGTTTGTCTTGAATGATCGCAGTGAGATTATGCAGGCGTTTATGGATTACGAGATGGGTCGAAATGGGTTTGAGGGCGCTGCAGAGTGGGCCAGCAAGATTGGAGGTCGTGGTGGAAGATAATCAATTGTAGAGCATCTTTTTAAAACTAGTTTTTATCATGTGTGTGTATGATGATTTGTAGGATACAACTATTTTGTTTTTTTTGATTTGCAAGTTTAAAATATAAAAAGAAAAATGCCAAAGGCAACTTGAATTCTCGTGAAAACGCTTACTTTTCAATAAACATCAGTTTATATTCAAATCTGGTCCCACTCACAAAAAAAAAAAAAGACAACTATGGTACAACCAAAATAAAGTTACTATTCCATTCCAAAAGTCATCCCCCCACTCACACCATTCAAACACCTTCATCGCGATGCTGGTGGACTTGTTGTTCCGTCATCGAAAATGGTGAAAATGGCATGTTCGTCCTTGAAGTTATTGTCGACAATGTTTATCAAGAACCACGTGTCCCAGATGTTTTGAATCACTTTGGCAGATTGTGATTCTGGCTCGTAGAGGCACGCCCACTTGTTCCAAAGTTCAAAGGCTTCGTCCTGGGATTTGATTCTAGTCAGATCACTGGAATACACACAAGAATTTACCACGACATATGCCCTACCTTCCACGCCATGAAACTGACAGATTCCACAATGGTTGGCTGGATGATTTCCTGACCGGGGAACACTCCCCATGTAACGGCATTGGGTGAGTCGCCTTGCGTGTTTGTTCGAAGGTCTCCCTGTGATATAATTTAGTTTTACATCTCAACGGACCAGACCACTCGCCAATACTGACCTGTTTGTTTACGGCATAGTAGGTGATGTACGGGTGGCTGCTGACCTTAGTGATAATGTTGTCCAATGCCTCTGGTGAGACAAAGAACTCGAGGTAGGCCTTTTGGTACACAAAGCCGTTTTTCGGTCCCCATCCGTAAATAGGGTGGGTGGACGGTGCGCCGTCCACCGCCGGCTGACTATTTATCGTCAAGAAGCCTTTTGAGTTGATGTCGGCCAATCGGGTACGGATGACGTCAGATTCGGGGTACAGCGGCGAATCACTCCATGGAAGAGCATTCAACTCGTTCATACAGTATTTGGCAAAAAGGTTAAAGATGTCTTTTTCCGTTTGAGGATGGTTCCACATTTGAAGGCATTCATCCGCGGGGTACTTGAGGTTAAACCCGTACCCATCAATCTCACCAAAGGCTGTCAAAATAGCAGCAAGTGAGTAACACGCACATGCAATACATCCATGGTCTCAAGTACGAACCAGGTGATCTAGCATCTCCCCATCGTCCATTAGGGAAGTCGTCCCAAGCCTCCGTTCGCAAGATGTAACTACGGGTCCTGTTCTTCCAGAAGATAGGACGGACATTCTCCTTTTCACGGTTCTTGGCCAAGGACTGAGGATCAAACTTATCAGTACAAAAAGAAAGCGGATGATATAAGCTTAACCCGCTTTGAACAAGGGGGAAAGCACAAGAATGGGCGGATACTTACCGGGTTCCAGGGAAGAGGCCTGGCAAGTTCAATGGGAGCCACAAAACCAAGGCCCTCGAGAATCAAACGGGTTGATCGCTCAAGGTTGAGGGTGTAAAAGTGGAACCCACGAATGCCCGCGTCCTTCATTGTATTGCACATTTTCACCGCCAATTTGACACCATATTCTTTTACGGCCTTATCATCGTCCTACTCATCCCATAAACTTTAGTTGGAAAACACGGAACAAGGATGCAGCAACCATGTCATACCTTGATGGGTTCCAAGTCGTCCAAAATCTCTTTAGGGACAAACGTCTTACACAGCGTAGTCATACGCTTGAAACCACCATAACTTTGAATGGGCATGATACCCGGAAGAATGGGGATATCAATACCTAAAACCAGACAATAAGCGTATTGCTAGCATTGACATTGACAGATTCCAGAGACCTACCAATGGCCCTGCATTGCTTCTCCCAGTCAAGGAACAGGTCTACATCGTAGAAAAGTTGGGTAACAATGTAGTTGGCACCAGCATCGACCTTTGCTTTCAGGTGTTGCATGTCCTCCTCCTTGTCGGGGTTTTCTGTGTGTCCTTCAGGGTAGCCTATAGCAGATACTGGTTAAATCTCGTCACAATCATTCCAACACAAAACGAAAAAAAGACACTCACCAGCTACACCAATACAAAAGTAATCGCCATATTCCTCTCTAATGTACTTGACAAGGTCCCGTGCGTATGAGAAACCCGTCTCGCACTTTGTCCAGTTTTCCTGGCCACGTGGTGGATCACCGCGGAGCGCAAGGATATTTTGTATTCCAGCCGCCTTCGCATCCCGCAACGCAATGTCAATCTTTTCTCTCGGCATGTTTGTACATGTTCTTTACGAGTGTGAGCTTGTACGTCGTTGTGTAAAAGTACTAACAACACTTTACTCACAAATGCATGCAGGTTTCCAGACCATATACTGACTGCGCGGTTGTACAGACTTGCATCGTCACATCCGAACTACTACCTCCCGCATTCCAGGTCACGTCAATGAATTCTGGGCCAAGGGCGTACATCCGTTCCTATATCCGCAACTCTTAGTCACCGTTCTACTTTCCAGTGCTCAGGCGAATTTGCACCTACCATACGGTCGTAGAGGTTGATAACACCTGTCTCCGTCTTTGGAGGGAAGTACTCAAATGACTAGAACCCGAAAAGCAGTGTGAGTCTCCCGTCGGTAAACTTGAGGGTTGATCTACAACTTACCCAGAAGCATCGCTCCTCCGCTGCAAAAAGGCACAAATAAGAGTGGATTTCAGTAAACCTCTGGAGTATGCGGTATGCTGGCCATATTCTTTCGCGCCAAACAAAAAAGAAAAACCGTCTGCGTACCCAAAGCCTTTTCAATCTTTTTTGTAATCTTCATGATGATCTACTCTTGTATTAAATGCGAGAGATAAAGATAGTATGCGTATATGTGTGCTCTGGGAAAATGTGCCAGGCAAATCAAGACAATCAACAAGGACCAGATGAAGGGAAATTGCAGCAAGCAAGACCTTTTAAACCCCCCCCCCCCCTCCCCAAACCTGCTGCGGTAAGCGCCGTTTCCGCCCCAAGACTTGTGGGGTTAGTCACGTGTTTGAGCTTTCCATTTTAGGTTATATTTGATCTTAGATTCAGATCTTGTTAGATATCGTTTTGTTCAGCTTTTTTACTGATATATGTCATGTTGCTTGTCGCTTGCCATGGCTGTTTGACAGCGCTCGACATGGCAAGCACTGCAAATGGTTGGGATGTTTTTGCAATGGAGTAGATCATTGGAGTCAACTCCAAAAGCCCATTGCAGTTGCTGCGCAGTTTGAAATGTCAAGTCACGCGCTTCCACGTGAGCGCATGAATCCGGATCCAATGACATTTCCTTCTTTTTGGGGGATCGCCCTTCTCGACTAGTCTCTTTTTTTCCAGTCCCCAAGAGATCACCGTAGCGAGATCGCTTTCCTCCTTGCCGAACCCAGCCCGTCGTCGATCTCCTTCATTCCCTTCATTCCCTCCTCCAAACCATACTGTAAAGATGCAGGTCGATCCACCCGCCGGTGCACAGTCCACGGACGCCCCCATGACCAGCAAGGATTATTATTTTGACTCTTATGCTCACTTTGGTATGGCCTTTTGGCAGCGAGTATGTTGGGTTGTTTTGTTTTTTTTTTGGCAACTTTATGGCAGAGTGTGGCGCGAATCTCATTCTTTCGTACTTTTAGGGATCCATGAGGAGATGTTGAAGGATGAAGTTCGTACGCTCAGCTACCGTAATGCCATTTACCAAAACCAGCATCTTTTCAAGGACAAGGTTGTTCTTGATGTGGGTTGTGGAACTGGCATTCTCTGCATGTTTGCAGCAAAGGCGGGAGCAAAGCTGGTCATTGGTGTCGATATGAGCAACATTATCCATCAAGCCCGGATCATCGTCAAAGATAACGGGTTTGAGGGAAAAATTCAGCTCATCCAGGGAAAGATGGAGGAGGTGCAGTTGCCGGTGGATAAGGTGGACATTATTGTCTCAGAGTGGATGGGATACGCCCTTTTGTACGAGTCCATGCTCAACACCGTGTTGTACGCTCGGGACCGGTACCTTGCACCAGGGGGTCTCATCTTCCCTGACAAGGCGACAATGTACCTTAGTGCTATAGAGGACGCGGATTACAAGGAGGAAAAGATTGGATTCTGGGATAGTGTATACGGTTTCAATATGTCTCACATTAAGCAATTGGCCCTGCGAGAGCCGTTGGTGGATACGGTGGATGCAAAAGCAGTGGCGACCACGGCATGCGCGTTCAGAAGTATTGATCTGTACACTGTCAAGATTGAGGATCTTGCGTTTGCGGTGCCGTTCGAGATTACGGGAACACGGGACGACTACATTCATGCATTCCTTTGTTACTTTGACATTGACTTTACGGCATGTCACAAACCCGTGCGATTTTCGACTGGCCCCCATGCACACTACACACACTGGAAACAGGTGAATACGGTGTTTTGAGTGTGCTTTTACGATTCGCAATTTGACCCTGTTATGATTTAGACTGTCTTTTACCTCCGCGACTACATTACCATTAAACAAGGCGAAACCATTACTGGCAGATTCTCGCTGGCTCCCAACGACAAGAACCCACGCGACTTGGACATTGTCATTGATTTTGCGTTCCAAGGACAGTTGTCGTCTATCCAAGACCGACACGAGTATAAAATGTGCTGAAATGTTTTAATGTACAGAATGGGGGTATTGTTTTTTCTCTATTTTACCTGCATATAAAGTATTTATCATTGTTGGATTACGGATACATACTTTTTTTTTTGTGTATTGGAGACTCGGGTGGTTTTGAGTATCTGTTATGTAGTGCATTGGCAAAAACAAGGGCACCCATTTGACCACCATACAGTATATTACAATGTGAAAGGGGAATAATTTACAAATATACACACAAGACAAAACCCGATTACAGCCCACCCAACAGCTCGACAGCTTTCTCAAACTCTTTCTCGACCCTTTCGAATTCCTTCTGCTTTGCTTCCCCCCGTTTCTTTGCCTCCACCATCGCCTGTCGTCGCTTCTCTTTCACACTTGTTTGGGTCGATAATGCTGCTAGGACATCATTCAGTTGTGAGTCGAGTGCATCACGCAGGTCAGCGTCCTTGTCTTTCTGTTGGTAGGGGTGTCGGCGTGCGGATGTAGGGGTCTGTTTGGTGCGCTTTTTGGATTGCTTTGTGGAGGGCATTTGTTGTCTACATGAAAGCAATCACCAAAAGGTTAAAGATGTAAACAAAAAAAAAAAAAAATTACCAAATTTCTGTGGCGTTTGGCCGCGTTCAAACGGCCTCAAGTTGGGCTATTTCTAGCAACTGTTCAACGGTCAAAACTCAACGGCATCTACGGTTTATCTTTTCTATTGGAACGGCTTTTGGAGTTGGACTGTGTGTGTAGTGTTATAGAAAGGTGTGTGTGTTGTTTTGTTCTTTTTTTGTTTGTTTGAAGATTGACTTGACGACTTGCGTGCTTTGTTCTCCTCGCATGCAGCGTCCTTTGACGTTTTTCTCTTTCACAAACCATTTGAATTCGTTTTTGGGTCAAAAAATGAGATTCGTCGGGCTTGCAAAGGCATTGCTGCAAGTTGTTGCCTTGACAGCCGTTCTCTTGACATGGTCATCGATAGGTGCCGTCGCCCGCTCTCCTCATTTAAACAATGAAACGCAAAACATGACATTCTTTTTTGATTACGATAGGCCGAGTGACCAAGGCCCTCTGGCTCGAGACGGACACCCTACACGTCTGGTTCGGACCCCCGAAAACACCCACAGAGATCCACGTCGGGGAGGTTTACAATGCGACGATCGAGTGGGAATCCGTGTTACGGACTCGCAAGACGTACTTGAATGTATCTATGGAGGTTGGGTTGCGGTGTGCGGGTGGAAAGGATGGGGGTGTGACACATCGGATTGATAATTGGATTGTACAGCAAAAGGATGGTATGTCGATGGTTTCGATACGAGGGTGCTTTTTGAAGTTGGAATTTTTTTGACATTTTCTTTACAAGGTTCCGTTTACGTTGATTACCCCATGACACCACAAGACCTCCGCTCAGATCTCACTGAAGCGCTTTGTTACCTCAACATTGACTACGTGTACATGGCCAACAACCTCGTAGACCCTGCCACGCGACCCCTGACAAAAGACAAGGCCATGTCAGCTGTATTTAAACTCACACGACGAAAACGGGTGCGTCCTCTTCCGTTTGCGAATGCCACAGTGCTCTCAAATGCCGATCGGACACTATCCCTCCAACTCCGCGTGGATGAATCATCTAGGCCGCGACAATTACGGTTGAAGCAGCCGCTGGTTAAAACGTATCCGTATACGGCTGTGTCGATTTGGCCGGAAGATGATCCCGAGTGGACGTTTGATGAAACGGTGTCGATGTGGGCGTTGGTGAGGTGGATTGTTTTTGTGGGTGGGTGTTGGGCTGCGTCCAAGAATGAGCGGGTTGTGAAGGGGGCGGCATGGGTATGGGATATAGTGTCGAGTTGTTGGAAGGCGGATATTGAGGTATGTTTCTGAATACTGTAATGTGACATGACATGCGTATTGAGTGTTTTTTCTTTCTTTAGGACCCGCTTGCACCTCGTAAAGTGGTACGCTCTCGAAGACGAAGTTTTCTACTTCGTGATCATTTGCCCGTGCATGTCACTTAATGCTCAAAATGCACCTCATGTGGATATGTGGGGTTTTTCTCACTTTTGTTTACGGTATCAGTAGAAGGGGGGGATAGTAGCCAAGTGTATTTAATAATGGATATAGAATCAACATGCAATCGCTGCAGGCAGTTGAGAAATCTTGCATTTTGGCGCTTTGCTGGGTGTTTACGACTCCAATCCCTTCAATTCCAGCATCACCAAGGACATGGTACAGTCCATGATACCCTTACGTAAGCAACTCCGCTACGAAGGTTCCTAATGGTTGATGGAGATAGGCCAAAAGTCGCAACGTAATGTGTGTATTAGCTGTGTATGATACTTTGTTGACAAGAAAATAAAGAGTTGATCTAACCACGATCACCCAAAAAAAAATAAGGGTAAAATCACATTTTGGGGGATCACCTATTGTTGTCCCAACCATCGGAAAATAATTTCTTGTCGGTGTGTGGATGGTGGGTGTGTTTTTGAGTTGGCTTTCATTTTTTGTTTTTTCTACTCTTTTGGGTTTTCCTTGGATTTCCAAGGTTCTTTTTGACGGTCATCATGAACCGAACCATGACACTCCACCGCGCGACATCACTAACGAGTACCGACCAAGAACTCAACGAAGGAATGGGTAATCAAAACCTTCTAACGACCAATTGATATTTGTTTTGTTGACTTTCTGTTCTAGCGGAACTGGAATTGCAGAAATTGGCTAGACAGTATCGGATCATGGAGGGGGATCGAAAGGCTTATTCTGAGGAATCTAGGTTGTTGATTACTAAACAGCGGTGAGTTTTGTGCAAGTGACTGGGAGGAAGGAGAGGACGGAGGGCTGATGGAGGTCTTTAGGGCGACGATTGAGAAACTTAAGCGGGAGAACCAATACTTGGTGGATGAACTTGCGCTTCTGGAACAACGAACGGATGAAAAGAATTTAGTTGGACGTGAGAAAAAGGTGGAAGCATTGGCGGAACAAGCTGGTAAGTTTAATGTGCAGGTCTTTTTTTGGCTAATAAAAATGGTATGGTTGTACTGAGGATGACATGTTTAAAGATGCATATAATCGTAAAATCCGAGCATTATTAAACACCATTTCCAACCTCGATGCAACGACCACTGCCCTCTCCCGCGAAATTGACACACAACGCTCACACCTCGGAGGTGTCAACGCCGCATACGAAAACAGCGAATCCATCACAAAGCAAATCAAAGTACTCGAAAACCGATTGGATAAAGCTCTCGTGAAATTTAATAAATCGCTTGCGGTGAATAAAACGATGCGGGGGGTGATTGATAATTTGAGGAGGGAACGAATGGTTTTTGATGGGATTTATCGGAAATTTGAGAAAGAGGTTGGTGAGCAGAAAAAGTTGATGGCGGAAGTGATTGAGGCGAGTAATTCCGCATATGAAGCTCGGTAAGAAACAAACCATTTTCTTTCATTGTATGCAGAGTTTGTTCATGTATGTCTCGTTTAAAAGAGATGAAGCACAAGCTCGTATGATTGCCTTGAAAGAGAAGTCAGAAAAAGAACATCAAGCGTACATTCAGGAAATTAAGGAACTGGACAGAAGTTTGGAGCAGGATAAGAGGTTAAAGGATTTCATGGCGACCAAGGTTGCTGATCGACATGTACCCGAGGACGGAGATTTGAAAAAAGAGGGCAAGAAAAAAGGTTTTTTTTTTATAAAACACACACACACACACAAACGTATTCTTGAAATACTAATACCATGCTTTTTGTTTTCTGTAGACAAGACGATCCTTAAACCCCGCTTCGGCTCTCAAGATACCCTAACCGACTCTCTAGAATCCTACGAAAAAGCCTTTTCCCAAATCCAATCCAAAACCGGCGTATCCAGCATAAAAGACCTCGTCAAACGCATGAAAACCGTTGAGGACGAAAACTTTTCCTTGTTTAATTATGTCAATGAAGTGAATAATGATATGGAGCAGTTGGCGGAGGAGATTATTGAGATTCAGAAACGGATGGATGCGCTTAGAGTGGGGAATGTGGTTGAGGAGGAGCGGATGGAAGGGGTTTTAAAAGGACTCGAGGTAAGAAAAAGAACCATCCCAAAGCAAGCATAACTTTTGGTATGTGTGTTTACTCGCATTTTAATGGCCCTTTATTTTAGACTCTCCTAGCCACAACAACCAAACAGCACACCCAATACGAAACTCACTACACTGAAATGCTCGCCACCCTATCCGACCTCACACACGCCCTCCAACCCCTCTCCAACCTCTGCCCCATCACAGACGACATTATCACAACACTAGGTCACATTGAACAAAAGACAAACGAACTCCTCACGCTCTATTATGCCGTTTTTCCCAAAAAGACTGGATCGGCTGCTCCGTCTTTGGAGGAAGGGGGGTCTGTGCCTGGGAGTGCGACGGAGAGGTCGACTGTTGTGGTTGTTGGTGGGTTGTTGGGGCATGGACCGAATGCTCCTGTTGGGAATATTACGATTGTGCCGCCTTCGACTGGGTGAGTTATCCCTTTCATTTGTTCTTTTGGGATGCCGGGTGCATTTGGGTTGTTGATGGTTTTGAGTCTGTAGGGATGACCATGACGATGACTTGATTTCGGAAGAAGATGATCGACCCCTTACGCGAGAGGAACTCGAAAAGAGGACATTGCGTGGTGTATGTCTCTTGTCATATCTTTGATGAAGCGATACATGTTTAATGACGGTTTCCTCTAGCTCTCCAAACGTGATAAACATCATGGAACGACCAAGACGGCTGGGTCAAAGCATAAGCGGAAGGGAGGTGCTGCTAAAAAGAGTGCATCTGTCGTCGTAGAGTAAGAGTTGGTTGTTTGTTTTTTTTTTCAAGAAAGGCTGGATTACCTGCACCTTTTTTATTATTCTTTTTTTTGTATAAATACAAGTATGCTGTTGTGTGTGGTTTTTTGGTTGTCCAGATTGTGATATCTTTTTTCATACTCTCATCATTTGTATTGGTTCCTCGTCAAGTGTTCCAAAAAATAAAAGATACCGCTGTGTTAAAACACGGCCATGAACACGCGCTTGTGCTCTTCCCAACTCTCCATCACACATCATCATGCCCCCCATCCACATCTCCTCTCGCGGTGAATTCACCAAACACATTTCCGCCTCCACATTGGCAAGTTTACATCTACTCTGCCTTGCAACCCACCTATTTTCTAACTCCCCCCAAAAAATAGACTGTCGTTGATTTCTACGCAACATGGTGTGGACCTTGTAAAGCCGTCGCACCCCGCTACGAAAGCCTCGCAACAAAATACCCATCCGTCACATTCCTCAAAGTCGATGTCGACGAGCAGCAAGTAGGTTTACACTCCACTCCTTTTCCATCATGCTTTTGTTAATGGTGCAATCGTAGGATATTGCACGGGAATGCTCAGTGTCAGCTATGCCGACCTTTCATTTATACCGATCCGGTAAACGGTTGGCGGAGGTAGTGGGTGCCGATATCAATCGGGTTGAACATCTCGTACATGAACACTCGAGTGGGAGTTCTGAAGGGGTGTTTCCGGGAAAAGGAAGGAAATTGACGGGGGAAGTTGTGCAGGAGGAACCGTCGCGGAGGTGGGTTTGGGTGATTGTTGTGTTGGTTTTGGGGTGGGTTTTGTGGAGCAGGTAGTTTGTTTTTATGGGTATTTTTTGGATTGGGATTGGTGATTGCCAATGCATGTGTTGTTGTCGTGAATTTCTAGGGATGTTATCTGCCCTTTCTCTCTCTGTGTGTGTGCGTTTGCACGACGACCAGAAGCAATGAGATCAATAATGTGGGCCATCAACAAGAAAGAAATGGGCAAAAACAGCATTCATATGTAGTTGCTTGTCGGCATGCAATACGAGTACGCTGTTTGACAAAATAATCGGACCAGTCCACTTTATATTTTCAAAAAACGTTTAAAAACATTTCTATTCATTCATTCATAAAGAGATACAAACAAAAAACGTCCTTCACGTATCCCATTCCGCGCTTACAACTGTTAAATGACACCTTGCTGGTCTCAGATACATTTCGAAAGTTCCCATCGCATTGAAGGGTCGCATCTCCCCAGCGCACACATACATTACGTCCTCAAAATTTGTGTTTGTTGAATTTTCTAGGCTTTAACAGCACCACCCACCGCCTTTTCCAAAGCCTGCGCGAAATCCTCCTTGATGTCATCAATATGCTCCAACCCAACTGAAACACGAATCAAATCCTTGGTAACACCCGATGAGACCTGCTCATCGTCTGCCAACTGCTGGTGTGTTGTCGATGCAGGGTGAATCACCAGGGTCCGCGAATCACCCACATTGGCAAGATGCGAGGCGAGATGGACGGAATTGATAAATGTTTTACCGGCTTCGTGGCCGCCCTTTACGCCAAACGTGAGGACACCGCCGAATCCGTGCTTCAAGTACTGTTTTGCGAGACGGTGGGAGGGGTGGGAGGGAAGACCCGCGTACGAGACCCAAGCGACTTCGGGGCGGGTAAGAAGCCAGTCTGCGAGGGCTTGGGCATTGTCGAGGTGGCGTTGGGCGCGGAGGGAGAGGGTTTCAAGGCCCTGCAAGAGGAGGAAGGAGCCAAAGGGGTTCTGGGAAGCTCCTAAATCACGAAGCTGTTCTACACGGAGTTTGATGCCAAAGGCCATGTTGACACCAAAGGGACCACTGGGGCCAAACACGTCCCAGAAGCGGAGGCCGTGGTAGCCGGGCGACGGCTCGGTGAAGGTGGGGAAACGGCCATTGTTCCAGGGAAAGGTGCCAGCGTCAATGACAACGCCGCCAATGGTGTTGCCGTGACCGCCAATCCACTTGGTGGCGGAATGAACGACAATGTCTGCGCCGTGCTTGATGGGATTGGCTAGGTACCCGCCCATGCCAAAAGTATTGTCGACAATCAGCGGAACGCCGTGAGTATGAGCAATTTTCGCAATGGCTTCAAAATCAGGCACATTGTGTTTGGGGTTTCCAATGGTTTCGACGTAGATGGCTTTGGTCTTGTCGTCAATCAGAGGAACAAAGTCTTCAGGCTTGTCCCCATCGACAAATCTGACCTGAATACCGAGCCTTGGGAGGACAACCTTCATTTGGTTGTAGGTTCCACCGTACAAGTACGAAGTCGCAACGATATTGTCACCGGCTTCGGCGAGTGTGGAAATGGCCAGGAATTGAGCGGCTTGTCCGGAACTCGTCGCGACAGCGTGAACACCTCCTTCGAGAGCCGCAAGACGCTTTTCAAACACGTCCGTAGTAGGGTTCATGATGCGAGTGTAAATGTTGCCAAACTCTTGGAGACCAAACAGCCGTGCACCGTGGTCTGCATCCTTGAAAGCAAAAGATGTTGTAGCATAGATGGGTGTAGCGCGAGCCCCTGTTGTGGGGTCTGGCTCTGCTCCTGCGTGCAGCTGGAGTGTTTCAAAGCGGTAATTCTTCTTCGTTGGGTCGAGGGACATGTTGGTGATGAATGATGGCAGTGTCCGCCAATTGTTCCAAGTTCTTATATAGACCCCTAACATGATCACGTGTTGATAAGATGTTACGCAATCCATCTGCAATCCAATTGGCTGATCACATAGCGTCATGTGATATGAGAATGAGCAATAGGTCACGTGACAAATGCATGAGGGGAAGAATAAACAAATGATGAAGAGGATGCACAGAGTGGAAGCAAATGTCCTTCATTGGAAATTCATGCGAAATGCATAGGATGAGTGTGCGAGAATACGGTTGATTATGTTCGATAATAAGTATCTATATGTGGCCAGATGCATCCCTACCCCTGGGGCTATCCGCGCGACTAAGCATAAAACCCTATCGTGGTCGGTTCTGTAAGGTTGCCTATCATTGATGACTTCTTGTGGATGTCACATAATATTCTCGCAGAACAAGAATTGGTAACAATCCATCCGAGTGACAACTCCGTATGCATTCAACTAGACTTTTTACGTGGATGTAAAATATCTTGCAAATGGGGTCATCCATTAACCGCAATCAATAGCTTTGATAGGGTTAAGTAGTTAATTACATAAACGTATTCTCATCCCAATCAGAATCTTCATGAGCAGTTTCACCCTCATCACATTCTTCATCATTGTCATTCACTGTCGCAACATCCGCAAGAGCGACAATGCGGGCTTGGCGCATGAGATGCCCGATCCAGGTAAAAACTTGCTGTCTGGCTTCAACATCTTCGGGATGGCTCGTAAGATCCATAACCATGATCCGAGAAGCTTGCACATGTCCGTCTTCCCCAATATTGAAAAATTGCCAAATAAATCCATCCGATAGCATGATGTAAACAACCGCCGTCTTTCCTACTGCTTTTCGCTTCTTTTGGAGTGTTGCACCTTGTGCAATGGCTTGGTTGATATACGACGAGTACCATCCCATTTTGGATTGCACAGGTATCAAATAGATATCCTGTGCGGGTGGATTGTCCCAGCATGGTGCGCATCTGATAGCATAATCCACTTTGCCAACAAACTCTGCATGTTTACTTTGCCATCCAATTGATATGTTACCCCAACAACGCATGGGCACGTTGTTTTGGAACTCGTCATTGTTCATCACGTCCATCAATACCACATCAATGAGTGTTCGTCGCACGGAGTCGCAGTCAAACACAAAGCAGTTTGCCATGCTTGCAACAATAGCATCTATGTCATGTCCAAGCATTGAAAAATAGTTAAAAAGATTTGATCAACAGCCGACAAATGCGCACATTTGGGCTAGACATACCAAAAGCCGGCCGTGGTGTAATCTTCCTGACATCCTCAGGCATTTTCCATTTACTACTTAATGGGTTCCAAACGTTAGTAAGGGTTAGTCCAAAGTCCCTTGTCAGATGATTGCCTTTAACATCACTAAATTGGATAGACTGTGAAAAGAACAGACAATCGTTGGTCAAATTCTGGATTTTCATGCTTTATTCTTTTACTAATAACAGAAAGAATAACTTACAGCGACAGGCGGATTTAAAAATGCTTGTAAACTCGGAACCAAGACTGAATCTGGTATTCGCTTTGGAATAACCAATTCCTTTTTCAACCATGTAACAATACGCTGTTCGCGTGATCTCTTGGGCATCTGGTACTAATAGGAGGAATAACTAGATCGTATAAAGTCAAGGGGAAGGGACAAAGGTTCTCCAATTTATAACGTTGGTATTTGACCAGTGCCTTATGTGATTGCTTTTAGAACAAGCAGCCACGTTTGAGGGCTTTCTTTTTTCCTTTACGTCCTTTTCCATGCCAATTGACACGACGTTTTGAATGCCCAAAAATAAAACTGACTCTGGACCTCCGGACGTAATTGTCTAAATCTGAAGACGTAGTTATTATTTATAATGATGGACAGAAAACCATCCAAGCACATGATACTTGTCACCGTTTGCAAGTCTCGAGCTTGGAACAAACGCATCACAGAGATGGGATATGAGTAGGATCTTCATTCACATTTCTTGCTTGAAGGCCTCTTCATGGCAGCAGAGTTGGCGAGAGCTGGGCTTTCGAATGTTTAAGTAACAAGGCCAAGCCACTTGTCATATGGCTATTTATGGGAGACATTGCTGTTTTAGGTTATATATATTCATATATCCTAATTAGTCGTAATGCAAACCCTCAAGTGCTCGATATGTGTGATGCTTTCATGCAACTCGAGTCTTCAAGTTGTTGCAGAGACTGTCGTGACTATGGATTGCAGTTGGCTCAGAATCGTTTGTTGGTCAGGCAGATATCCCAATGCAGCCGCAGCTAAGACAAAGAAACAAACCATGACGGCACATCAGTACATTACTTCTACCCATAAACGCAAAACTTTTAGCACTGCTCAACACTTACCCGCAACACCCGCAATCCCCACAACAACCACACTCGACCACCCCCCAAACCACGGCCGTTCCGGTACCACATTCTCGTTTCCAACAAACTCAACGGGCACAGCTTCTCCCCTCTTGTAGGCATCCAAAACAGCCAACCGATCCTGCACAGCCTGAATTGCATTTTTACGGGCATCCCTCACAGCACTAACCCCCTGTGTATCCACAGCATCCAACCGCTCCAACAACCCGACCAAAGCCTCCTCGTACCCCACCAACGCCTTATTCTTGTCAGGTATTAAAGCCCCAGTTGCGTCCCGTACGAGTGGTGTACGTAGTACGGTTGGTTCACGTGTCTCTCGTAGCGTTCGGAGGTCGGAGAGGACGGAACGGAGGGTTTTGAGCGCAACGGGAGCGGGAATGTTGGGTCGCTTACGACGACGGATGGGCGTGCTTTGTTGGTCGGGTGTTTCGGGGGCGTCATTGGAGGCGGTGGGCTGCGGTCCTTTACCGGATTTTGAGCCTGGCTTTGAGCGTGTCTTTGGAGGCATTCTCTCGTGCTGTGCAAATGTTTTAAATTGCAAAGCAATACGAAATGCGCTCACTTGCCATGAAGTGAGGATCGCGAAACCAAGCCCCATGCGCCACACACTATCCACCAATCAGAGGAACATCCAAAAGAAAACACGACTACGCCACACGTAGGCCGAGCGACGGCCTCCTCCTGCATCTCACGCACGGCAACTCTTTTTCCTTTTTTCTCCCTCTCGTCGTCGTTCGTCGTGTGCATTTCCATTACTTCGTGATTTGCCCGAACATTTTCGCTACGGCCCACCCTTTTCTTTTCAAGAAGACACTTTTGAAAGACTTGCCATGGCTCACTCTGCTGTTTGGTTCTCTCACCCCCGCAAGTACGGAAAGGGATCTCGTCAATGGTACGGGTTTAACGAATATGTAGGAGAGTGGACTTGGTTGTGAAGTGACACACTTGCTTTTTTGTAGCCGCGTCTGCGCTCACCAGGCCGGTTTGATTCGTAAATACAACCTCAACATTTGCCGTCAATGCTTCCGCGAGTACTCTCAGGACATTGGATTCATCAAGGTTTGTTTTTAGATACTGTTCTTGTCGTCGTTGTTGGTATGGTCTAATGTTTTTTGTGAATGTTATAGTACCGTTAAGCCTTTACGGATGTGGTGTGGTACCCCCTTTTGTTGTTGTTGGGCCGTAGCGGGGGGTTAGTGGACTTTTAATAGTACACTTGGTTTTTTACGTCCAATTACCGTTCTTTTGCGAGTTTGGGTGGCGATCATGTGGGAGTTCTGTTTTTTCCAGGAGGGAGTTTCTGATGCATCATGATGGGCGAATCAGCATTGTCGCAAATGTGGAGCACAGGGGTTGTACATCTGTTCAGACGAAATATCTGCGATGGCGGAGTGGCATCTCCAAACTCACATGGCAAAATGGGACCAGCAGTTCCAACAGCGTACTATTGCATATGATGCTCTATGCCTACGCTGCTAATGTCCTGGGTGGTGGGGACAATGTGTTACCCAAGAAGACCGCATTGATTCGGGTTCAGCTGGCCAAAAAGATGAAGCACGCATTAATCCCATTCACGAACATGCCTTGCTAGCAATTCGTTCCAAACTCGCATCTCATGTCTATCTGGAAGTCACCCACACATGTCTTTAGGAGAACAGTCTCTCAATATTCACAGGTAATCGAAAATAAAATTATACAAAATAATAGTGTGCCTATGGCATTACAAGAAAAACCTTCGTCGACTCGTATCCAATTCCGGCTAACAATAAATCATGAGTCCAAACTATCCCAAAACCCATGCACACACACGACATTCTCACCTTGTGCATCCATTCATATTCTCCATACTTTGTATCAAACGTTCCTTTTTGAAGCCATCGAAGCTTTAACGTGAACCTCGGTCCAAGTTCCTGTAGATCGCACCGCTCACCGTCTCTAAAGATATACCTACGAACAACGAAAAATATCCATCAGCCACGCACCCTAACCACGCATACACAAAAAATCAAAACAAACCTATGCCGCCTAAAGAAAATAAAATCCCTCTGATTATGAAACGTTGCGACTTGTCTCCCCTTAAACTCTGGTACATGCGGAAAAAGCGCTGCAAAAAACCTTCCAACAGTATGTCCCAGCCGTGTCGAAAAGTTGTTTAAAATAAGTTCAGGTTTATGTGCGTCTGTTTTGCCGTGTCCTCGGATTTCTTTGGAGAGTTTAATGCTTGAGAGCTTAAAGTGGGCTGTGGGGCCGTTTGGGAGGTGGATCATTGTTATGGCGTCTACAAACAAAATGGGTTGGTCACTTATGTAAAGAAATATTGGGATAAAGAAAGTCGTACGTACTAGGTGTCTTTCGGTCTTCGTTAATGACAATCACGTCCGTATAATCTCGCTTAATGGCCAACTCGACAATCTTTTTGATTTCGAATTGGGATCCTCGTTTTACAAACTCTGCATCCGGAAAGATGGATACGAATTCATTTGCAAATTCATAAACGTTCTATAAAAGGTGTGAGTTATCAACCTTTCATGCTGTTGCTTGGAGTTGATGACATACCGCACTGGCCCGTTTAGAAGTCGTCACCAAAATCTTTGGTCTTGCCCCACTAAAATACTCTTTGAATTCATCCACACCCTCCTCTTCCATCACCTCCTCATCATCCCCAACAAGCGTCTCGTCCACCTCCCGCATATTCTCCAATGTTTTCGGAACATTTTTTTCTAATCGCTCGGCTTTCAGTTCTGGTGCGTCGGCTTCTTGTTTTGCGAGGGTTTTGCGGCGATTGAATTTGGCTTTTGCTTTAAGGGATTTGAGACGGTGTGCGACTTCTGAGCGCTTGAGCTTGTTTTTAATATCTGATGGATTTCGAGGCATGGTTGGCAAAGAATGTGTGTTGTGTAATGTTGAAATGCAAAGACGAACATGCTCTCCATGCATTGATCTTCCCAAAAAGAAATATGCATTGGAATGCGTTTCACGTGACCTTTGACGTGTGTTATTACGTAATCGGCCCATGTGTGCTTAAAAGTCATTTATAGATATCGATATATGCATTTCTTACGTGTTAAAAACTAGCGTAGGATATGCTGAAAGCATTGGTGTAAACAGAAGAAGAATACTATGGCTGCACTGTGTTTTCATAATAGAATTGTTGGAATAATTCCATTTGCTCCGTTGAAGACTTCTGTTGAAAAAAATACTAGGCGCGCCTAACGTGAGGAATTTTTAAGACTTGGGGGTTTTAGAAGGGTACCTGACCCTCTCGAACAATTGACGACTTACGTCCCATTTCACATCATCATTCTTGTATTTACAGCATGTCGTTCTCGGAACGCAGTCCCCTCCTCACATCACCCACACACCCCCGTCCCCGCTCGAATTCCACTTCTACGACCATTACAACTCAAACCCTCATGGGTGCCCTCGAAGCTGCCCATATCCATGCTCCACCAATCGATATTCCCTCTTCCTCCTCCTCGTCTTCAGGGGATGAGGAAGAAGGGTCTTTAAGCGTTCGACCTGTTACGGCCCGGGTACCGAGTATAGAGTCACCGACATGTCCGGATCTGAATAGTTCGTCAAGTGTGGATTTGAATCGGAAAAAGTTGATCATTGCGACTGTATTGTGTTTTTTGTTTTTTCTGGTGGAGCTTGTTGCGGGGCTTGTTGCTGGTGCGTATTGCTTTTTTATTATGTGCAAGAATGACACAATGTAGAAAGATTCGTGAAAAGTAGCCAATGTTTTTTGTTGCTGCGGATAGGTTCGTTGGCGATCTTGAGCGATAGTTTCCATTTATTATCGGATATTGCTGGGTTTGCCATTTCGTTGGCTGCCCTGTACCTTTCCCAACAACCCGCCACAAAACGTACGTATCACTTTGTAACCCTTTCACAGAAACACACACGTATTAACGTTAAAACACTAGGCCACTCTTACGGCTTTTACCGTGCCGAGATTATTGGTGCCATCCTCTCGACCTTCCTCATCTGGATCTTAACGGCCGTTCTCGTCTGGGAAGCCGTCGAACGGATTCGGAATCCGGTCCCGATTGATGGGCGTATCATGTTTGGGACGGCTGCTCTGGGGGTTTTTGTGAATATTGTGCTGGGGTTTACGTTGCATGGGGGACATGATCATGGGCATGGGCATTCACATGGGCATTCGCATGGGCATTCGCATGGACATGGACATGAACACGGTCATGAACACGGACATGATCATGGACATGATCATTCTGAGCATGACCACCCTCACGATCATCCTCACACTCTGGACCATTCTTCACCAAAGAAGCGAAAATCCGTACGTACCATACCCTCACATTCCTTTACTGCTAAACCTCACACATACTCATACACAACATGTCTAGCACACAAACATTAATGTCCAATCCGCTGCTATACACGTCATTGGCGACCTCCTTTCCTCCATTGGCGTCCTCATCGCCGCAACCGTCATTTGGATCAACCCATCCCTCACTATCGTAGACCCGATATGCACATTTGTGTTTTCGGTGTTTGTCTTGGCGACTACCGTGAGACTCATGATGAATAGTTTTACGGTTCTTATGGAGGGTATGTCCTTGTATAACGGGCTTTTGTTTTTGTGTAAGGTTTTGATTTTTTTTTGTGTTGGATTCGTAGCCACTCCACATGATATTGATCCGATGGCTGTTGCGAGTGATTTGAGACGGATTGCGGGTGTACGCGATGTACATGATTTGCATATTTGGAATCTTACGCTAGGAAAGGTAATATATTTTACAGCGCACTCTTCCTTTTGTATCGAGTAGAGCAAAAACTAAAAATCATATCCATCAAGGTCTCACTCTCGGCCCACCTTGAAATCCAACACCACTTTCCAAATGGCACCGAACTGGATTTAAACGACTACCATACCATTTTAACTCAAGCCCAAAACATGCTGTGCTTTAAATATGGTATCCATCATGCTACGGTTCAACTGGAGGGTATGCCTGTTGATGAGGTGTACGTGGAAGAGGAAGGGAGTGATGGGGTTGGGAGTGCGAGAGTACATTGTAATCCGATCATGTGTCGAACAGGGGTATAGATGCGTTTATTGCATAATATATAATAGTAGATTGGAGTCATTCTATATCCCTTTTACATTTTGTTTTTCCGCGCTCTTTTCGCGTGTATGTCGGAACTATACCTTGACCTCCTCTCCAACAGGACACCCCACCTCTTTGAGCACCTCCATAGGCCCAACCCTCTTCACCACCTCCAATTGCTCCTCATTCTTAACCAACAACATCCCCGCAAACCCCACCGAATTGACACTCACCCCAAACGCCCTCTCAACCCTCCTCGGCACAACCATCATAAACTCTCGTGTCATAATCATATTATACGATGCCTGTGGGTGTGCTGCATCGGGTACACCGGACGCTACATGTTCATTTCGCTGTAAACACGGCCCGGGATCCAACCTTGCAGATCTAAACGCGTGTTGAACGAGCGCTTTGTATATTGTTTCGAGTGTTGTCGGTGTGGGTGTCGCTGGAAGGAGAGATATCCCATGTGCAAAAGGGAGTGTTGCATCTGAAAAGGGTGTACCTGTACCCCATTGTTAACATTGTCCGCATGTGTGGGTGTTTTTGGATGGCTAAAAAAACCTACCGGGTTGGTCTTTGCGCGTTGATATAAGTGTTTGAAGGGGCGGATATACATCATCTACTTCTGTTGATGCCGGTATGAGTTGTATGTGTTTATGTGGGACGCTGGGTAGTGTTAATAACGATCGTTGTTGTCGAATTTACAAGACGATCAGTATTTTACCTTGCACCGGATTCGGGTCCGCAGTTGTAGAATCCTAAATATTGACTTCCACCTTGTGTCATGACATTCCATGTTGCGCTGAAATCGTGTGCGTTGAGGGGGAACATTTGTGATTCAAATTCTACCTTCCATCAACACGTCGTACCATATGTTCACTGGTAATGAATGTTCTAATTGTCCCATCCTTACCTTTGGTAACAACCAAAACATGTCCCTTGACCACACTAAATTTATTCAACAAAACAACATGCCGCTCGTATTCATGTACAAACATGGCTGGATCGTAGGGTAAGAATGGGTTTCGCTTGTCGGCGACATAGCCATCTGGTTTCTTGGTAAGAGATGGTGCGAGGCGGATTTGGAATGCTATACCGTGCGTAGGGTGGATGTGGAGTTGAGATGGTATGAAAAACAAATGAGACGATGCGAGGGCTTTCTCGAACGCTGTGGTGATCTTTTGGCCAAGTGACATCTGGAGCAGATCTTACCCGCAGCGCGGAATCGACGGGACCCTGAAACTTCACAAAACAACAAACACGAGCGCGAATGACCTCATCCTTGTTGACATGGCAACACCCGATGTTGGAAGGCCAGATGACCTTTCCTTTGGGCTTGACTTTTCTTGACTTTGATTTTTGCAATCTCCCCCCATCTTTCACCAGTTGACAGCTACAAAATGGCCCTCCCAATAGACCGAACTCAAATCCTCCGACTTTACCGACGTCTCCTTTCGTCCTCACGGTAAGAACCTGTTCTTGCATCCCATAAACACTGCCACCACAACAAAACTAAATTGTTCTTGCATACCAAAAGAACCCTCCGATACACAGACCAAGACTACTTTCGCTTCCGTATCCGAGAAGCATTTCGACAAAACCAGGATGTCACGGATTCGGCAAGACAGGAGCGACTTTTCAAGGTATGTTACTGGTGTCATGCTTGTTATTTTGGATTATGGGTGTTTATTGTTGAACTTTTTTAGAGGGGCGTATTTATGTTGGAGAATGAGCGGGGTGGGTTGGTATAGGTGTGCGCAAAGAATGTCTATGAGGATATCAAAAAGCATGGTTGAGAGCAACCATCGTTGGAGTGGAAATGGTGCTTTTCTGTGTATATTGGGACTTGGGCAATGTAAATAGGACTTGTTTTGTTTATGTGGAGTAGTTCATTGGTGGGTCTTTCGTTGAGGCGGGACGGTTGCGAGTCTGCAACAAATGGCCATGTCATGTTTCTGTGATGTACAAAGAATCACACATGTATGATTGTTCTTTAAAAAAGCGGATGCATTGTGGTAGATTCACCTCGTCATTGAATGCAAACCGTCTATCAGACGAATCAGATATACCATCATATCATAACCTTCATGCAATACCCAACATTTCAACGTTCCGGTATCCACAAAGCCCAATTTCATCCACACAGCAATTCTCATAGTTAAACGACACCTACTACCGACCCACCTCTTCGACGCTACTCGCCGAAGATGTATCCGAGGAACCCCCAGTAACCTTTCTCAAATGCGCTTCCCGCCCCATACGTATATCCACCTCATCAAAGATTTCCACACAGAGTCGAGCAGCTGCGGCTTGGGCCAAACCAAACATCAAGGGTCCAACCCAGGGTATCGAGAGACAGAACCAAAACGGGAGCGTAAAACCGGCAATGATGGGTTCGTTCCGAGCAAGCCAAGCTCTCCGCTGGATAAAAACACATCAGCACGCTTCAAAGAGATACATTAAAATAGAAACCAAAGAAGCACTACCTGACTAGAATTAAGCTGAGACCGACACAAGTACGGTTCAACCAACTCCCGCTCTAGGGCTCTGAACCCCCATATTCCCCTCAACATCGGCCCCGTTACGAATTTCCACCAAGGCGGTGAAATCAGCCCCGCGGCACACATCCACGCCGCCCGATAAAACCCGACTGCGAATCCCAGATATGTAAATGTCGCTGCTGGCCAGGCTAGCAGCCCAAGAACAGGGACCAAAGACGCAATATAAATCACTGCGAGGATGATGATGCGTTTCGCGTATCGCTTGAGGTAGGAAAGGATCCGAAGTGTCCATGATCGTCGTCCTTGCTGTGTACTCACAGACCCAGTGAGCGCCGAAAAAGCCGATCGCTCCACAGGCATCGGTTCATCTAGCACCCTCGCAAATCGCATGACAAACCTCGCTTTGGCACTTGGTAATGCCAATTGAAGCGTCAATCCCCTCAACGCCTCAAAAAACAATCTATCCAGCGGCTCTGGCCATGCATATCGAAGTAAATACAACCCTGCATCAGGTGTAACAAATAGAAACCATTTGACTACCGCATCCACATTATCCATCATCCAATCAAGAATCCCCGTCACAGTCGGTCCAAAGACGGGTTTCACAAAGGTTTCAGAAAAAATATGGAGAAGGCGGAATGGAAAGAATACAATATGCGTCGTCGCAAACAGGACGCCCGTGACGAGGATGAGATATCCAAAAGCCTTATACAGCGTCTTACGTGTCCGTGGTGTGCGAAGGGTGGAAATACAGCCCTGGTAAGCTAAATTGAGGCCATTTAAAATCGATGTTGCGGACCATTCGTGAACTTGGGGTGGGTAGAGGAGGGGAAGTGGTGAGGTGGGTGATAGGAGGGACTGGAAGTAGGCGACGACCTGAGGGAAAGGGATTGACGGTGGATGCAAAGTATTTGGAGGCGGAGATGTGCTTGGAGATGAGGGTGGGGGTGCAGGTTCGACGGTATCTCTATTATCGCCAGATTGCTGTTCTGTTGGGAAGAAAACGTTTTAAGGTTCTAGTCTTTATACTTCCCATGCCGCCGTTTGTAGGGTGAATGAAGAATATCCCCCACATTGCCGTATCGACAAGGACGCCTACCTGGCATTTCTAACATGTCTAAAATACGTCTATAATTCAGTCCGTAGCCCTGATGGGGAAATGGCCTTTACCGTCGTTCGTCAAAAGAAATGGCCCAAAACCAACCCCCACACGACGAGATCACCCATTCGCCTCCTGTTTCCATATCAACAACTTGTCACACCCGGCAAAATTGGGAATAATTCTTTGCGTCCACCGAGTTTCGAACCCTCTGTCTCGTCGCGCATGTGGCACAGCACTTTCGGACCTTTCAGCTTGTTTGCTTGGGGAGAGTTTTGACAGCTGTTGCAGGAAACCGCTGGATTGCAACCTCTCCGTACCCAGCCTCATTTT